GTTTTTTTTTCGCTTGTGCGAAGAGACCCTAACCATCGTGTTTAATCAATCAATCAATTAATCAATCAATCAACCAACCAATCAATCTATCAATCAATCAATCATTCAGTGATCGGGAAGGTGGATCGCCATGCGCCAATTGGGCTTTTTGACCAGAAATGGTGCATATAGTGACAAATGTAAGCCCCCATGTGGCGCGCGATATTTTTCACTTCATATCTTAACGTTTAGATATCGTAAAATGGATTTCCAATCATGTTTCGTGTCGCCATATGTGTGTACATAACTATGTTGTGTTCCCTCCAATTATAGGAGCACCACCTATTTTTGGGACGTCTCGGCGTTTTCATATGGTAATCAAATCAAATCAAATCAAACCATTTTATTTCCTAATTAAAGGGCCCGTAAGGGCATATCAATTACAAACAAGAAAATGGTAGACAAGTATGTATATACATAATTTTAGACATAAACATTCATTAAACATTATTTTATGATTAATATAACATGTACATAGATAAACAATTTGGGTAATAATAGCAACATGCGGTTTAACTGATTACCCAAAAAAACGTAATTAACCATCATCCATAAAATATAAATATGATATAAATTTTATAAACAACTTTAAATTTGTGAAACTTGGCTAGTACAGATGAAAAATTTTCTCAAATTATAATCTTTAAAGTAAACTTGCGATTGAAAACCCAAAAGGCCTTTTTATAATGCAGTTTTTGTCTCCATAAAAGACGCTTATCTGTCCTTGTCAATTTTTTGGTCTTTGGCTCGTTTGTACATTTTGTTAACATGCCATCAGCGAATTGTTGTTTAGTCTTATCAATCAACGTTACTCTCTCCTGTTATTCTTGTCATTGTGATGAAGTAATAATAATACAAGAAGTGGAGAGAAAATGTCTGAAACGTGCTCTAATACGGAACGTCTGGAATAAAGTATGGCAATCGATGAAGACCAAAATTTAATGTAAAAAAACAATGAACATGAACAAGGCAACGGTATCAGTTTTAACATTGTAAATAAAGGTTCTCGTAAATATTGCCTGGTTTGGAAGAAAGTTATTCATTGAAATTAAAATTACAAAAGCAAAGGAACAATATCCATGATATCAATTAGAATCAAACAGGTTAGTTCCACTACACCTCTTGGCTGAAACATACACTTTTTAAATTTTTTTTTGAATTTTTGTTGTAAACGAATGGCCCACTCATTTGACAACATGGCCCATTAATTCTAAAAATGGCCCATTGAATTAACTTTTTTGGAGAGAAAAAATCCTTCCAGATCACTGATCATTCATTGCATGCATGTTTCTATCTCGTGTGTTTACTACGGGGTCCAAGATCTCATTTGTTTCTTTTTCGCTTGTTTCAAGAGACTCTATCCAACGTGTTTAATTAATCAACAAACCAACCAACCAATTAATCAGCCAATCAATCAATCAACCAATAAACAAATTAATACTGAGATCACCCCTAGTTTTTGGTGGGGTTTGTGTTGCTTAGTCTTTAGTTTTCTATGTTGTGTCTTGTGCACTATTATTTGTTTAAAACAATGAAATGTATTTTTTTTTGTTAATTTTCTGCGATTAAATTTTTTTTATGTCATACAATACTGATTTCTTATTCTCATTGAAAGTTGTTCTGTGAGTTAATTTTAAAAAAAATTATGAAAATAAAAGGGTCTCTTTTCTTTATGTTTGAGTCTCCATTATTTTCCATTCTTTATATTTGAGTGCCCCATTTTCTTTGTATTTGAATGCCCCATTTTCATTTTATCTTTGAGTGCCCTGTTATTCTCTATATTTTACTTTTTAATTTGTCATATTTTTTCTTAATTCTAATGTTTTTACCATCTATTCTGCACATTTCGCTTGTATGTAAGTGGATACCAGACAAATTATCACCGTGATCTTTGTACAGATACAGAAGTCTGCCTGAGCGGCGAGTTTCCCAAGAGAACTCAAGGAATAATTTAACTGAACAGAATCTTTTGAAAGAGAAACGGAAATAATGCAACGTTTCCGATGTTGGTCCTTTTATTAAGAAATTAAGTTGTGACGTCATTTCGACATTTGCTTTGCAATGTAAACAATGAAACGCTTTCATCAGGTAAGGGTTTTTTTTATCATATCAGAATCGTAATTTCTGACATGAAAAGGATACACATTTTATTGTTATTGTGTTGTCGTCCATATTCTTTTTGGTAATCATACATAGGAATTTGCGGGAAATGGTATGACTTGCAGCGTCCGCCAGAGGCAAATGCAACTGAAAAAATTTGAAAACACATGTACGATTTTGATTTTATTTGTATATTGATTTTTTATTTTTATTTTTAGTAATTTTATTCAATTGCTTACTGTTATAACGTACGTCCCCATAACATTTTACTCAAATCCCGAGCCTAAATGATACTGGAAAAGATTTCTGCGCAGATGCGGGAAAATAAAAAAGTCTGAAAATAAAAAAGTGAATGATTTTGAGTTCATTAGTAGAATGAAAATTTCAGGAAATTTTCTTGAATTTTTTTAATTTTTTTTTTATTGATTTTTCTATCCTAATAGGGGACTTTGTGCCCTTATAATTGTGAACAAGTCTGTATCCATAGACAATATATTAGGAATCTGACATAATAATACAAGATGTGAGCAACATCTGGAAATGTGAGGGTGCAGTAGTGGAAAATTTAAGATTGAAGTCTTCCTGTTAACAAAACTCTAATTTATACAAAAACGCTAAAAAGAAGCACACTTTATAAGAGTGTTAAAAGATCTATGTGAATACGTTGGATTTATCTCCTCTTACCATTTTAGTAGTTAAGGACATCAATCTTTAAATCATTGCCTGCATGAATAGCTGAAGATTGCCAAAAAGACATGAAAGCGCTACTGGTCGAGAACCAGTCACTGTCAGTTAAGGTAAACTGTCAGATACAGTCACCTGTCATTTTGTTCAATAACGGAGCATTGCGTAAAAACAAAAGACTGTTGATATCTTCAGACAAAAATTCTTACTTTATTTGTAAACACTCCGTTTTGTTTAATCCTATTAAGATAGGGAAATGTTGAATTTTCTGTAAATTGAACATACCGTGGGAAGATATAGTGTGGGGACATGACGTCATTGATTTTGGAAAACTTACTGTTTTTAGACAAAATGAATATCTGAAAGTGTTCCTGATAAAAAAAAATTGAGAAAAACTCTGAATTTCTGATGGTAACTGCATGGTCTTTGACCAGTAGTGACATTATTTTAACTGGACTTAATTTACTTAATTACTCAGTTATTGAATTAAACTAAAAAATTCCACATATCTTTTTATCAATACATGAAGGACACCTCCGGGTGCGGGAATTTCTCGCTGCATTGAAGACCTGTTGGTGACCTTCTGCTATTGTCTGTTCTATGGTCGGGTTGTTGTCTCTTTGACACATTCCCCATTTCCATTCTCAATTTTATGGTAAATGAAGAAGTTTGCAAGAGACCACTTAGTTTTCAATGAAGGACATATTATATGTGTCAAGGTTATAAAAAAAAAAACAAAGGATATGGGGTATCCATCCATGACACAAAATCAGTACATGAACATTTTATATTATAACCTTTGGTGAAATAATTTTGAAGGCACAATTTTTTTCTCTCCAAGAATAAATAGATCTTACTGTGACTTGACTGTTAATGTTGCTCTCCTCCAATTGCAATTTATTCAAAATTCTGACCAAATTGCAATTTGTTTTATAAAACCAAACTGTTCAACTGGTCAGAAATTTGAACAAACTGCTGTAGAAAACCACAGTCAAGTCGTGAAAGTGCAAGGTGATAAAATAAAATTTTCCAGTTTTCGGACAATAAATCAAAAACGCTTTGAGCAGTTTTTATGAAACTTTGGTGAATTGTTTATATCTATTGACGTGAGCTCCCTTTCGATTTTTATAAATTTTAGATTCTACGTTTCTGAGTTATGGGGTTTTATTCATTAAAAAATTTGAAAGGGTTCCACGGAACCCAGTGTCTCGCCTACTTTTGCTGCTAGTCACAGTCTCAACAAAAATGGGGAAAAAATTATTAAAAATTTTCTTATAGATCTATACTATCTTTTGATTTTAAGAAGCTTCTGTCCAAGTTTGGTAAAAATCCAGAATGGTTTATGAATCTAATAAATGTTTTAAAAACTTTAACTACAGACTGTATGTAATGTTAACTGGAAGAAAAACTAAGTCCATTTATAAGTAATATACAGAAAAACAGGAAATATATTTTTACAAAATTTCCTTCTAGATACTAGCTTTTGATCATAAACAAGCTTCTGTCCAAGTTTGTTAGAAATCCAGGATAGTTTAAGAAAGCTATTAAAATTTTAAAAACTTTAACTACAGAGTGAATGTAATGTTAACTGGCAGAAAAACTAAGTCCATTTATAAGTAATATACGGAAAAACAAGAAATATATTTTTACAAAATTTCCTTCTAGATACTAGCTTTTGATCATAAACAAGCTTCTGTCCAAGTTTGGTAGAAATCCAGTATAGTTTAAAAAAGTTATTAAAATTTTAAAATAACCACAGAGTGAATGTTATGTTAACTGGCAGAAAATTAAAACTAAGTCCATTTATAAGTTTCAAAAACTTTAACCACAGAGTGAATATTTGTGGACGCTGCCAACGACAGAATGTAGGATCGCTATGTCTCGCTTTTGCGACATAAGTTGCAGGCTTGACAAAAAGGGGGATTTTCCAGTTTTCAGACAATAACTCAAAAGTGATTTGAGCAATGATGACTGGTTTATATCTATTAAGATAACCTTCCTTTAGTTTTTTATACGACCGCAAAATCGTATATTGGTATGACGTTGGCGTCGTTGTCGTCCTCGTCGTCGTCGTCTTCGTTGTCGTTGTCGTCCGAAGACACATTGGTTTTCGCACTCTAACTTTAGTTAAAGTGAATGGATCTTTATGAAATTTTACCATTAGGTTCAAGCCCACAAAAGGAAGGTGGGGATTGATTTTGGGGGTTATGGTACCAACTGTTAAGGAATTAGGGGCCAAAAAGGGGCCAAAAATAAGCATTTTTGTAACTTCCAGACATAACTTGTGTGTTAGTGTATGGATCTCTCTGACATTGTACCACAAGGTTCCATATCACAAAGGGAATGCTGGGATTGATCTTGGGGGTAATTGCCTCCAAATTTTAGGAATTAGGGGCCAAAAAGGGGCAAAAAACAAGCATTTTTCTAGTTTCATGACAATAACTTGTGTGTAAGTGTATGGATCTCTCTGACATTGGACCACAAGGTTCCATATCACAAAGGGAATGCTGGGATTGATTTTGGGGGTAATTGCCTCCAAATTTTAGGAATTAGGGGCCAAAAAGGGGCAAAAAACAAGCAGTTTTCTAGTTTCATGACAACAACTTGTGTGTATGTGTATGGATCTTTTTGAAATTGTACTACAAGGTTCCATATCACAAAGGGAAGGCTGGGATTGAGTTTGGGGGTAATTGCCCAAAACGTTTAGGAATTAGGGGCCAAAAATAAGCATTTTTCTAGTTTCCAGACAATAACTTGTGTTCAAGTGTATGGATCTCTCTGAAATTGTACTGCAAGGTACCATACCACAAAGGGAAGGCTGGGATTAATTTTGGGGGTAATTGCCTCAAAATTTTAGGAATTAGGGGCCATAAAGGGGCAAAAAACCAAGCATTTTTCTAGTTTCAGAACAATAACTTGTGTGTAAGTGTATGGATCTTTATGAAATTGTACTACAAGGTTCCATATCACAAAGGGAAAGCTGGGTTTGAGTTTGGGGGTAATTGCCCTAAACGTTTAGGAATTTGGGGCCAAAAATGTGCCAAAAAACAAGCATTTTTCTAGTTTCCAGACAATAACTTGTGTTCAAGTGTATGGATCTCTCTGAAATTGTACTGCAAGGTACCATACCACAAAGGGAAGGCTAGGATTGAGTTTGGGGGTGAAGAATCATAAGGGGGTTCAAAAAATTTGAGGGGGGGGATTTTTTTTCCTTTTTTTTCTTTAAAATTTTCCATTTGAAATTGGTTATTTCAGATTTATATATAAAAGCAAATAATAATGATATGGTTTGAATAGGTAAATTAAAAATTTTTAAGTTCTTAGACCACATTCATTCTGTGTCAGAAACCTATGCTGTGTCAAATATTTAATTACAATCCAAATTCAGTGCTGTATCAAGCTTGAATGTTGTGTCCATACTTGCCCCAACTGTTCAGGGTTCGACCTCTGCGGTCGTATGAAGCTGTGCCCCAGCGGAGCATTTTATTATAAAATTCTGATACAACATTGAGTAGTTATGAAACTTTATTCTTTGAAAAAGCGACAGGCGTATTATGTGCTTGTGGAGCAGCTCTTTATTCTTTTAGAAATTATTTTTTATTTCTATCAAGCATGTCAAGTGCAGAAAAACTTTATATTTTGCAATTTTTTAAGTAAAAAACCTGATGAATACCAAAATTGGGTAGGATTGATTATTTTACTATATTTAAAGATTACCTCACAATTTGACAATGCAGCTCGGTGTAATTTGAACAATTTTTTGAATAGTTGATAGAGAAAGATCTTTATCAAAAACATTTACTGCATACCTATCCATTTGCATATGGATCATTTAAGTAAATCTTTTCCCATTTATGGTATACTTTAATGACATTGCAAAACATTTGTTTCATCTCTGAATTTTATTAAATCTTTTCCTTGATGTTTAAAATTTCCAGCTGTGGTTAATGTTATATATGAATCAAGAGCTATTTATTTTATTGAAATACAAAACTATAACCTAAATTTTATTGGTCATCAACACTATCTGAAGTTATTAAACTAGAATCCTATATAAAAGAAAGTCATTAGAACTAAGGACAGGAGAATTGGCATATGTGTTCCATTTTTATACCCCCGCTTTAAAAAACTGGGGTATACTGTTTTATCTCTGTCTGTCCGTCCGTCCATCCAGCCATCCGTCGTCAGTCTTCCGTCCGTCCCATGACTATTTTTTGTCGCATCTTTCTCAGGAACTACACTACAAGGATTTCTGAAATTTGGTTTCAGGGTTTATATAAGTCAACTATACCGTGTGGTGCGTTTTCAGATTCATCACTCAACAACTTCCTGTTTACCGTCAAGTACTTGGGCGGGGGTATCATTAGTGAGCAGTAGCTCACAGTTTCACTTGTTTTGTTTTATTTTTATTAGTTTCACTGTAAGTCTTAAATTTATATATGTGTTGTTTTTTTCTTTATATAGTCAATTTTTATTTGTCACAAGAAATAAAATAATAATTTATAATAATATTTTTTCTTTAATTATGCAGCCTAAAAAACAAGATGTTTGGGGTTTAGTTCAAATTCTATTTAGGGACTTTTACTATTAAGAAATGATACAACCTTTCCAAAAGAAGAAAGCAAAAGAAATATAATTGTAAAGTATAAGAACGGATTATGTGTCCCATAAAACTTAATTTAAAGGTTAGAGGATTTCGTTTTATCTCTCTTACGCAAGCTTATCAGTGTACATATGTATTTTAGTATATTTATATTTTATATCACTAGTCTCTCACAGTTAAAACAATTATCATTATTATTATTATATGTTCCATGGGGTATAATGTTTTTGACCCATCTGTCCGTCCATCCGTTGTGTCTTATTCTTGTCATCGCAACTCCTCTGAAACCACACAAAACAGAACTTCATAAAACTTTGTAGATAATAAGGACATACTATGTAGATGTGCATATGGACAGGAAATTATAATTCAATTTTTTTCTAGGAGTTGTGCCCCTTTGAACTTTTAGTTTTGGCCTAAATATACTACTGCAACAGTTTGTCATCGCAACTCCTTTGAAACCACAGAACAGAATTTTATGAAACTTTGTAGATAGTTAGGACAAATTATGTAGATGTGCATTTCAACAGGAAATTAGGATTCAAATTTTTAACCAGGAGTTATGCCCCTTTGATTAGAAGTTTGGCCTAAATATACTACTGCAACGTTTCTGAAACCACAGAACAGAATTTCATGAAACTTTATAGATAAGAAGGACATAACATGTAGATGTGCATATCCACAACAAACTTTTATCAGTTAATTTTTGTAGGAGTTAAGATTTTGTTTGCCTAGTGACAATGTGGGGCGTTGGACTTTGTGAGCGTACTCACAAAGGTTCTGTAGGCCATGACAAATGATTGTTTGTTTTCCCTAACCCTGCTGGGTCTGTTAATTCTTTTTTTATGCCCCCATGACGAAATGTTGGGGGTGGGGGGGGATATTAATTTACCCCTGTTCGTCTGTTTGTTCGTTTGTTCGTCCAGATATAGATACATGTTTTGTCCGGCTATCTCCTCCTACAGTATTTGAGCTACAGCTTTAAAATTTTGTAGGATGTTTCTACACATAATAAAGGTGTGCATTTCCACAGGATTTTAATTTTTTTCAAATATTCTCAAAATGTTAGGTATTTGGACTTAGTCATTTATTGGTACTAGCTGCATAAAGAGATCATGTTTTGTCTGGCTCTCTCCTCCTACAGTTTTTGAACTACAGCTTTAATATTTTGTTGGTGTTTGTACACATAATAAAGGTGTGCATGTTTACAGGATTTTGATTTTTTTGAAATATTCTGAAAATGTTAGGTATTTGGACTTGATCATTTTTTTGTACTAAAAGTCAGAAAGGGGGATGTTAGATATTCACAAATACACATACTTGGACTTCATTTCCTTCTCACTAACTTGCTATATAATTAAAAACATGGGTTGTACTACTAAAGTTTAATGTCCCTAATGCAATAAATAAGTTTTTTTTAGGATTAATGACAAATATTTCATCAGTACGGGGAAGTGGAACCTGGTGACCACTGAAATTTGAAAGTTGAACTTGGTGATTACTAAAACTGGAAAGTTGAAACCTTTTGGCTGGACATTCCTTCCTGCAAGTGTAGACGTTCAGAAAAGATCATCATACATAGTGTTAAATTTATAATTTCTTATGGCGAGGCGGGGGCATCATTTGTGTCTTACAGACAACGCAACAATTTCAAGTTGTACTTAAACATCACTGTTTGTCAAATTTAAAGTATGTGGAACTACATGTATACTCATGCATATGGCAGATCAGAGGGGGCATTGTCCATATCTAGTTTCTTTTTTCTTTTTGCAGATGAAAAAAAAGTGTTGCTCAGGTATCCTTTAACAATTTTCAATGATGCATTTCAAAATTGTCTGATTATCTCTTAAAAGTGTATCAACATTGCTCAATTATCCTTCCTTTAGTTTCACATAGCTTATACCACAATATAGAATGGAAAACAAGACTGATCATGTACTGTCAGGTTAACAGCAACATTATCTGTAGAGCACAACAGATTAAAAAAAAAATGAAGTAGAATAAAAAAAATCCTGCCTGCCAGGCCTTAATAATTTCCACCTGTTAGGGGAAGCCAACATTCATTTTATCATGGCATCAATTGAAGATATTTTTTTTCTTTTACAGAGGAGCATGAGGATATGAACCCAAGGTATATATGAATAAATGGATTTGGAATACAAATGTATATGTCAATGAGACATTAGACTAACAACACAAGTTCACCATAATGAAATTTAAGGGAACAATACAGGGTAGTCTCCAACCAAGGACAAGCTCTGCATAGTTCCATATATTGTTCAGCCTACTGAAGATATGACACCAGGATATTTCAAATGATAATATAGTTATGGTCCTATAAATTCATGTGGATTTATTTCCCCTGAAAAAAAAGTTTTATCTAACAATTAAAACATTTTACACACTTAATTTACTCTAAAACTGCTTGATAAGAACATTTTGATATAGTGAAAGACACTTTCTTTTAAAAGACTGAAAATGTATTGTTGAGCTGTACATTGGTAAGAAAAAAAAATAGAATTTCAATGTAAAATGAAATTAGTTGTACATAAGGAGATGTGGTATGACTGCCAATGAGATACATATCCAAATAATATATGGATTCCAGAATTATAGGTCAACATAGGGCCGTGTGTTTTGTTAAAGATTTAAAGAAATATGGCCATAGATTTTTACATGTTTTATACAAACATACATTGTAAATTTTTTATATTTCTTGGTGGTTAGAAAATATTAAATTTTATAAGATACAAATAAAGTTGACTATCCAAGACTTTGAATGTAAATGTTGCATTTGCCCTAAGAAAATTGCTTTGAGTATGTTCCCCTCTGCCATCATGCATTGTCCATTTTATGAAAAAAACAATGATCTTTTATAAAGATTGACGAAAAACTAGATCACTACTTAAATATGTCTTTCATATTACAACTGCTGTTTAATTTTGATTTGTTCTCTTCTGTATGACCATTAATGTTTAAGGTTTTTTTCAGTTCCGTAAGTTAAAGACGGAGCTTGAGCGATCATATCCAGGACAGGTAGCAATTGTAAGTTCATCATTAAACAAATAGTTTTATTTATTTGTTATACAGTTTGATTAATTATCATTTTCATAAAAAAATTATAACTTATACTTTGGTTTAAGACATAACAAATATAATATTAATTACAAGCTTGAACCAATATCTATTACTCTGAGTGTAGGTCTGTCTTTAAAAAAATTGAAAGATTTAACTAAATTGTAAGCTGTTTTCTTACTATTATACACAGAATGGCTTATGCCAAAAACAAAAACAGTAGTCAGTTGGAAGGAATTATGATCAATTTCAGTTTTTGATTGTAAATATAGACCTGCCAACTTTCCCGCTTTCTGAGGGATATCCCCCTTAAGAGATGTTGACCCGACCCTTATAAAACTTAATTATTTAGACTAAATACTTTAAAATAGGCATTCAGAATAGTAAAAACTACATTTAAGTACATGCATACTCATTCAAAACCATAGATGTTCTAATTAAGTACACTAATGACATGTATAGGTATGCATTAGGTCCCTATGGAGATTTTGAAATGTTGGCATGTATGTAAATACTATACTAAAGATATAGATATATTTTAATGTATATTTGAGTCCTAATACCCAACTAAAGTTCATGGAAAAGACTGATAAATTCAGAAATTTAAATAAATTTTGTAATAAAATGGGTCAATATCCCAGAAGCTATTTTTAACACAGATGGCCATTCAGGGCTTGATAAATTGCAGAAAAATTAGTATCACATGGTACCCCCAAAATTGAACCTGCATATGCGAAAATTTCTCCGCTTTGAAACGAGTCATCATACATATATCTAAGTCGTAAGATATGAACAGAGGAACTGAAGAAATCAATACTATTTACCACCTACCTGAAAAGAATTGCACATATTGACCCATGTAAGATATACAGACACTTGAAACTTTAAAAAGGTAGGATTTAAATATAAACAGACATAGACACAAAGTTTTATCATTGAGGCATTTACAAAATCAGCATGGCAAAATGAAGGTCACCCTTAAAGTATAAATTTTGCTTTAGTTGATACTCAAAGCTTGTTTATTCTAAGGGAGACTGACATAATTAGCAATATGGTCCAGCCAGCAGTTAGACTTGTGTGGAGGGGGAGTCTGTTTTGCCATATAAACACATATCCAGGTCTTGTCTGAATGGGGGATCAAAGTCAGAATGCCCATGTTGGTCGGGTGGTATGCTTCCTGCACATTAAAAAAACCACTGCAGCAGCTATTTTGGGTCCATCAGCACCAAGCTTACTCTTTTTTTATCAAATGAGCAGGACTTGTTTGTTTCAAATACATGAGACAAAAATCCAATGAAATTTCATATAACTATTATATTCACACTTGCTGCTTTACTGCTAAGCAATATTCCATAAATTTAGGAAATACATTAAAACATCAAAGGCTAGTTAGCTTGTAATTAGAATGCTTTGCCCTTATAAGGTGACACATCTTCCTGAAAGTTCTTACCTATAGTATAGTTAGAATTTGCATTTTCTAAATCCTGCTTACTGTGAGTTTGCATTTTCTTAATCCTGCTTACTGTGAGTTTGCATTTTCTTTATTCTGCTTACTGTGAGTTTGCATTTTCTTAATCCTGCTTACTGTGAGTTTGCATTTTCTTTATTCTGCTTACTGTGAGTTTGCATTTTCTTTATCCTGCTTACTGTGAGTTTGCATTTTCTTAATCCTGCTTACTGTGAGTTTTCATTTTCTTTATCCTGCTTACTGTGAGTTTGCATTTTCTTTATCCTGCTTACACAATACAGAATAAGTTTAATATCATTCAGGGTCTCTATACTTGAATACACATGTAATTATTACAATGAACTTCTCAAGATAGATCACCTTGTAGGTCTTGTGTAGCGTGCTCACCTTAAGTGCAGGAGGTTGGATCAAACCTAAGACTTGAAAATCAGTATTTGCTGCTTCTCCACTAAGTGTACAGCATTTAGGAGTAAGAGCAAAGACTAGTCGGCCCAGAGTTGGAATGATGTGACCGGGTAGTGTGACATGTCTTCCTGCAAACTTACCATGTGAATTAGCATTAAAATCCAGCTCAGTTTGCCAGTGTAGTATTCATATTCATATCACATTAACATAATCTCGTCCTGAATATGCATTTATTTTGCCACTAGATATTGAACAGCCACCCATCATCATCTAAAGATAGATCAATCAATAAATCATCAATGAGTTATCAGAGATTTGCAAGACGGAAATTCACAGACGAAAATTCACAAGAAAAAATTTCACAATTCAGTTTTAACACAATTTTTTCTATGATTAACATAAGACAATTTAAAAAAAATTGTGTCTTACTTTACATGTAACAAATATTTTAAACAACTTTGCAAACATATTGTATTGTCAAGTTTAATAATGATGAAAGAGTTGTTTACAAAAGAAACTTTTGAAATGGCTTTTTAGTGTCAAGAAATATATCCTTTGTGTGATAAAACTTTTAGGAATCTTCAATTAACAGAGCTATTGTACAATTTCCTATTTATCTTATAAAGCAAATTTTTCAACATCTTTTCTTACATATATTGAAACGAATTTGAATTAATTGTGAATGTTTGTCCTATAAATTTTGTGACTTTCTGTATTGTAACCTTTCAATTATTTTCCAAAAGTTGACTATACCCACACATATAAATTTTTAACCTCACAGTTTATATTACATTTTATAATTTTATAGGCAGCTAATTATTGATTTCTACAGCAGTTAAAAGAATAAGAGTTAAACATGTTTATTTTTGTTTTTTTTAGACCGGAGAAGGAACACCAACTGTAACTGGCTTTTTTGAAGTTGAGGTTGCTGGAAAGCTTATACACAGCAAGAAGGTACTTTTACTTGATCATAAAAAAGGGGCCACCAAAAATATTTAAAATTTTAATTTCCATCCCTGCAGTTAAATGAAGTAGAGAGGGGAATACCTCAACTTCAAGATCATTTTGAAAATCATATATGCATTATAAGGCTGCCCTTGCTGCAAAGAAAAAGTTGCCTTATAATTGAGGTGACCTCTCGTTGGAGGTATCATTTTAGAGGTTTCCATTTATATCATGTCAAAGCAACAAAAGAGTTGTATTATTTGAAGTTCATTTATGGTTTATAGGGGGTCTTAATTAAAATCTATAGAATTTTTTAATAATTTGTAAAAATATAGTTTTTATCATGCTTTTGTCCAAAATATAATAAAAAGTATTGGTCATCGGGCTTTTTCTCACGCAACAGGTTGTGCAAAATTGTCAGATTTTGTATAGATTATACATGAAAAACCCAATTTTGTATGATAAAAAGGAAACTACACCATAGAATTTTAAGATAAAATGTGAGAACACTGAAAATATAGCTCTTATAACATGCTTTCAGATAAAAAAAAAAGAAAAAATGGGGTCACCGGACTTGTTTTCTTGCTATATATTAAAATAGGTAAATTCACAACATTTTCTGTTATAAAAATTACTTTATCTGGGTTATCTCCCCTACTATCTGAGCTATCTCCCCTTGTGTGGCAAAGTTGAAAAAAATGAATCAAACAAAAAAAATGTGTTTTTTAGAAAATACAGCCGTAAATATGATAAAACACATTATTTTCTATATTAATTTGAAAAGTCTTACACATGAATTACATTCTACTCTCAAAATTTGCACATTTCATCAAAGATCTAGACCAATTGTCATCTGCTACTTCAAAATCCAAGATGGAGGAAGACACCCCCAGCCGCCTTATATACTGTGAAAATACTTTAATTAGTGGGTATCAATTTCGTGGTTTGAGCAAAAGTTACATGTTTGTGGGTTCTTAAATTGGAGGATTTTAGTTTTTTGAAAGAAAAAAAAATCGGGTGAAGAATTTGAAGCCATCTGAAACGAATACTAGTGAAAATAATTGTATGTTGTTTTCTAATGATTTGTGGGACATTGCAAAATAAGGTGTTCATTTTCATTTACTTGTTCGTTTTTCATTACTGACAACATTCATCAAACTTTTGCTTTCGGAAATAAGCCGATTCATCTATGATTAACAAATGTTCTGGATTGAAGGAAATTGCAAAGTAAACATTTTAATTGTTGCACACGTGTAATCAGAAGTGATGACACTAATATACCCGAGATTGATTGATCAACAGATTAATGATCACCAAAGGTGTTAATTGGGCCATAAACATTTCATTTATAGATAACGGTCACATAGAAAAATGCTACAGATGTACTTTGAATTGTAGAAATAATTCTTATGAAATAAAAAATGCAAGTCCAATATGAAATTATTTATTTTTCGCATGGGAATTATGAGTAACTAAAATGAACACTTCATCGTATATCATCATTGGAAAGTCTGACTTTTTTCGATCAAAACTAATTTTTCGTGAGAATTAAAAGGTAAAAAATTGTACATTTTGGGTTTTTGTCGAGCCTGCGACTTTTGTCGCAGAAAGCTCGACATAGGGATAGTGATCCGGCGGCGGCAGCGGCGTTAGCTAACTTCTCAAAAGCTTTATATTTTAGAAGGTAGAAGATCTGGACGCTTCATACTTTGTATATGGATGCCTCATGTTACGAAGTTTCTGTCAGTCACATGTCCAATGTCCTTGACCTCATTTTCATGGTTCAGTGACTACTTGAAAAAAAAGTTAAGATTTTTTGTAATGTTAAATTCTCTCTTATTATTGTCGAGCCTTCGACTTTTGTCGAAAAAGCGAGACATAGCGATCCTACATTCCGTCGTCGTCGTCGTCGGCGGCGTCCACAAATATTCACTCTGTGGTTAAAGTTTTTGAAATTTTAATAACTTTCTTAAACTATCCTGGTTTTCTACCAAACTTGGACAGAAGCTTGTTTATGATCATAAGATAGTATCCAAAAGTAAATTTTGTAAAAAAAAAATTCCATTTTTTCCGTATTTTACTTATAAATGGACTTAGTTTTTCTGCCAGTTAACATTACATTCACTCTGTGGTTAAAGTTTTTAAAATTTTAACAACTTTCTTAAACTATCCTGGATTTCTACCAAACTTGGAAAGAAGCTTGTTTATGATCATAAGATAGTATCCAGAAGTAAATTTTGTAAAAAAAAAAATCATTTTTTCAGTATTTTACTTATAAATGGACTTAGTTTTTCTGCCAGTTAACATTACATTCACTCTGTGGTTAAAGTTTTTAAAATTTTAACAACTTTCTTAAACTATCTTGGATTTGTACCAAACTTGGACAGAAGCTTGTTTATGATTAAAAGCTAGTATTTAGATGGAAATTTTGTTAAAATTTTGTTCCATTTTTTCCGTATTTTACTTATAAATGGACTTAGTTTTTCTTCCAGTTAACATTACATACAGTCTGCAGTTTAAGTTTTTAAAACATTTATTAGATTCATAAACTATCCTGGATTTTTACTAAACTTGGACAGAAGCTACTTACAATCAAAAGATAGTTTAGAGAGGAATATTTTTATTAATTTTTTTCCACATTTTTGTTGAGCCTGCGATTAACAGCAAAAGTAGGCGAGACACTGGGTTCCGCGGAACCCTTATGAATTTTAAGTAATAGGATAACTATATTTGGTATGTGCGTACCTTGCAAGGTCCTCATGCCCGTCAGACAGTTTTTACTTGACCTCGACCTCATTTCATGGATCAGTGAACAAGGTTAAGTTTTGGTAGTCAAGTCCATATCTCAGATACTATAAGCAATAGGTCTAGTATATTCGGTGTATGGAAGGACTGTAAGGTGTACATGTCCAACTGGCAGGTGTCATCTGACCTTGACCTCATTTTCATGGTTCAGTGGTTATAGTTAAGTTTTTGTGTTTTGGTCTGTTTTTCTTATACTGTATGCAATAGGTCTACTATATTTGGTGTATGGAATGATTGTAAGGTGTACATGTCTAGCTGGCAGGTGTCATCTGGCCTTGACCTCATTTTCATGGGTCAGTGGTCAAAGTTAAGTTTTTGAGTTTTGGTCTTTTTTTCTAATACTATATGCAATAGTTCAACTATATTTGGTGTATGGAAATATTTTATGATCTATATGTCATTCACGCAGGTTTTATTTGACCTTGACCTCATTTTCAAGGTTCATTGCTCAGTGTTAAGTTTTTGTGTTTTGGTCTTTTTTTCTTAAACTATAAGCAATAGGTCAACTATATTTGTTGTATGGAAGAATTGTTAGCTGTACATGCCTGCCTAGCATGGTTCATCTGACCTTGACCTCATTTTCATGGTTCATTGGTCAATGTTTAGTTTACTTGGTTAATGTTAAGTTTATGTGACAGATGTAATAAAGCTTTATATTTAGGACTATCAACATAATATCAATGATTAGTAAAGAAGGCGAGACATTTCAGCGTGTGCACTCTTGTTTAAAGATTAAATGGGTAAAATCCTGTCTGAAGTTGTATTTTTAGTTCATAGTGCGTTTTCTGATATTCAATATGCCCGTATCCATAGTCAAATCTAAGGTAATGGGAATCTTTAAAAGGTCTTGATTTGGACAAGAGTTCTTAAATTTCGTTGGACACTTAAATTCTTGGATAAAACCATCCATGAAAACCACAAAAATTGGTACCCTACGAATAAAAGTACTTTCACAGTACTAGTAATATAAGATAAGGAGATGTGGTATGATTGCCAATGCGACAACTATCCAACAGAGTCCAATTAAAGTGAATTTAAGCAATTATAGGTCACCATACAGCCTTCAACTATGAGCAAAACCCATACCATATAGTCAGCCACAACATGACCAAATGTGAAACAATTCAAAATAGAAAACCAGCAGCCTGTACAAAACTACAGCAATAAAAAAAAAAAAATTATGCTGCAATTGTTTGCACCTGTCCTAAGTCAGGAATCTGATGTTCAGTAGTTGTCGGTTGTTGATGTGGTTCATAAGCGTTTCTCGTTTCTCGTTTTTTATATAGATTAGATAGTTGGTTTTCCCCGTTTGAATGGTTTTACACTAGTAATTTTTTTAAGCCCTTTATAGCTTGATGTTCGGTGTGAGCCAAGGCTCCGTGTTGAAGACCGTACTTTGACCTATAATGGTTTACTTTTATAAATTTTGACTTGGATGGAGAGTTGTCTCATTGGCACTCATACCACATCTTCTTATATCTATGACAAGATGGCAATCAAAGGCAACCACTGAATAACAGACTCCTGGCTTTTGACAGGTACATAATGAATGTGGCTTGATAAACATGTTTGTGTGAGTTCAACCCTCCCAGAAGATGGGACAGTGGTGTTTCCACACAACTATATTCTTGATAACCCATAGCAGCTTATACTGTTTTTATGTTATTTTAAGAAAATGAACATACCCTTTGGGTGAATTATTTAGTTCATTGGTAACTTTATCATTGACAGTCTTCACGATAAATTTTTAAATCTACAGGCCCGAAGCTTAATTTTAAGAAAATTTTAGTTAGATTCTATTGGCTTGTAGAGATGATTTTTACAGGCCCAACAACATTTTTACAAACCTGGGCTGGTGGGCCTGTGGTTGAGCGTGAAGACTGCATTGAGATGTTTCTAGTTGAACATTACATCAAGTTTATGGTAAAGTAACTGGTGCATAATAAATAAAACAAAATTTTGTTTGTTTTTAAGGAAATCTTAACATTATTTTTTTTTTGAAAAGACAATTAAGAAACTTCATGGCTGATATTGACTGTATTCATGATGAAAAATATATAGATCCAAGGGTTGGACTATTAGAATTTGTTGGGAGAATTTCTTTTTACAACATTCAGTAACATTTGTTTATTTTCAGAATGGTGATGGTTACGTTGATTCAGGATCGAAGAAGGACAAAATAAATAATGCAATAAAATCTGCTTTGAATTAGTCCTAATTTAGAATCTCATAAAACAGACATGTAAGTCTCTTGTAGTAGATATTTAAGAGCACTCCATAAACGAATTTTGAATTCATGCATAAATTTCCTATATCACAATGCTTATGTTATTACTAATCACAGTAAGAATTGATTGTTCGGTTACGTTGTTTGCGTCGATTGACCTCAGGTCAACTGGTGTCATTCATTCATAAAATTAACTGTTTAGCAATGTATTAGCTGTGCTAGTAAAGCACTCTTTTTAGGTCAGTTGGTAGAGCTGTGCAAGGGGCCCTAGATACAAATCTTAGCTGATACAGGGATATTTTTTTAGCAGAGATCAAACACTTGAGATTATTTTAGGAATGATGACCAGCAGGATTATTGAATATTATAACCTGCTTATTGCAAAATTTAGAATTTAATAGTAATATAAAATATAATAAGAAGTGGTATGATTACCGATGAGACAACTATCCACCCAGAGACTCAAGGACATACCGGTAGATGTAATGAACTATAGGTCACCTTGCACCCTTCAACAATGCCAATACTGTATAGTAAGCTATAAAAGGCCCTTGAATGACGAAATGTGAAACAATTTAAACAAGAAATCAAACAGCACGATTTATGTAAAACAGAAAACAAATATGACGGCAGCAAGGATCAACAACTGAATAAGAGGCTACTGAGTACTGATCATAGACAGGCACACGAAGAATTTGGCAGGATTTAACTTGTTTTGAGTGCTCATCCCACCCCCTAACCTTAGACAATGGTGCAACAGCACAACATAAGAACAAACTGTACAAAAAATCAGTTGGAAAGGGCTTGACTCCTTAGATCAGCACGAAACCCAAAAAAACTATAAACCAAAAAATCAAAAGACACAAAGTACTGATCTTCGAGTACTCACAGTTGCTAAAAGCTAGTTTAAAACCAAAGACAAACAACAAATAAATCATTTTTTCCAATACTGAATTATCAATCAGCACACATCCAACGGATAAAGTATAAGATGTCATTTACAGTCTGAGAAACGCAAGACCTTTAAAGACTTTTGGAATGCCAAAGTATAGTACATTGTATAAACAGGAAAGACGCAAGACCTTTAAAGACTTTTGGAATGCCAAAGTATAGTACATTGTATAAACAGGACCGACGCAAGACCTTTAAAGACTTTTGGAATGCCAAAGTATGGTACATTGTATAAACAGGACCGAGGCAAGACATTTAAAGACTTTTGGAATGCCAAATTAGAAGTACATTGTATAAACAGGACTGACGCAAGACCTTTAAAGACTTTTGGAATGCTAAAGTCCATTGTATAAACAGGACTGACGCAAGACCTTTAAAGACTTATGGAATGCCAAAGTAGAAGTACATTGTATAAACAGGACCAAGGCAAGACCTTTAAAGACTTTTGGAATGCTAAAGTACATTGTATAAACAGGACCGAGGCAAGACCTTTAAAGACTTATGGAATGCCAAAGTAAAAGTACATTGTATAAACAGGACTGACACAAGACCTTTAAAGACTTTTATAATGCCAAAGTACATTGTATAAACAGGACTGACGCAAGACCTTTTAAGACTTTTAGAATGCCAAAGTACATTGTATAAACAGGACCGACGCAAGACCTTTAAAGACTTTTGAAATGCCAAAGTAGAAATACATTGTATAAATAGGACTGACGCAACTCCTTTAAAGACTTATGGAATGCCAAAGTAGAAGTACATTGTATAAACAGGACCTACGCAAGACCTTTAAAGACTTTTGAAATGCCAAAGTACATTGTATAAACAGGACCGACGCAAGACCTTTAAAGACTTTTGAAATGCCAAAGTAGAAGTACATTGTATAAACAGGACTGACACAAGACCTTTAAAGACTTATGGAATGCCAAAGTAGAAGTACATTGTATAAATAGGACTGACGCAAGACCATTTAAGACTTATGGAATGCCAAAGTAGAAGTACATTGTATAAACAGGACCGACGCAAGACCTTTAAAGACTTTTGGAATGCCAAAGTACATTGTATAAACAGGACCGACGCAAGACCTTAAAAGGCTTTTGGAATGCCAAAGTAGAAGTACATTGTATAAACAGGACTTACACAAGACCTTTAAAGACTTTTGAAATGCCAAAGTACATTGTATAAACAGGACTGACGCAAGACCTTTAAAGACTTTTGTAATGCCAAAATACATTGTATAAACAGGACTGACGCAAGACCTTTAAAGACTTTTGTAATGCCAAAGTACATTGTATAAACAGGACTGATGCAAGACCTTTAAAGACTTTTGTAATGCCAAAGTACATTGTATAAACAGGACTGATGCAAGACCTTTAAAGACTTTTGGAATCCCAAAGTAGAAATACATTGTATAAACAGGACTGACGCAAGACCTTTAAAGACTTTTGGAATGCCAAAGTAATACCAAAGTATATTGTATAAACAGGACTGACGCAAGACCTTTAAAGACTTTTGGAATGCCAAAGAATAAGTACATTGTATAAACAGGACCATAAGTTTTCATATATGCATAAAAATAAATCTATAGTTATGTTTTAATTTATTAAAAAACAAAATGATATAACAATATTTCAAAGATATTTCTACAGTGCTAAATTGACAACCTTTATTGACTTTAAGAATAAGCTTATTCAAATGAGAGTTAAGTTCACATGGATAGTATCTAAATTAACAGCTTCTATTTTAATAATTAAGATGTGATATCCTGTTAGTAATAACATCTCTATGACAGGCATTGTCAGTTCGTTTTTCGTCAAGATTATGAGTTTGACTATCCTTTTGTTATCTTCTGCCTCTCTTTTTCATCCTTAGGATGACCAATATTTACAGATTTGACAGTTACATATTACTGTAAATTCAGAAATTATTGCGAGGTTATTATTAATGCGAATAATGCGACTGAATGAGTATCACAATAATAAGAACTCGCATTCTTATATCTGATACATATATCTGTTTGCAGTTTTTGTCTCGCCTTGACGAAGTCAAAAAGCGAGACATAGGTATGTTGTTTCTGGCGTTGGCAGCGGCAGCGTCAACAATGTATTAGTTTGTGATTAGGTCTAGTTCATGGTGAACCACTAGTGGTAGGTCAGTGATATTTGGTCTGCAGTTGTATTAGCATTGGCACATCTCATTACCATGGAGATTATTTGGCCCCGCCCCCTCAGTCAAGGTCTATAGACTTTGAAACTTTGCTTAGTTTACATGTATTAGTTTGTGATTAGGTCAGTTTAAGGGGAACTGTTAGTGGTAGGTCAATGATAATCGGTATGCAGTTGTATAAGCATTAACACATCTCATTTCCATGGAGAATATTTGGTCCTCTCCTCAGTCATGGTCTATTGACTTTGAAACTTTTACTTAGTTTACATGTATTAGTTTGTGATTAGGTCAGTTTAAGATGAACCACTAATGTTAAGTCAATGATATTCGGTATGCAAATGTATTGGCATTTGAAAGTTTCATTTCCATGGAGATTATATAACCCCACCCCCTAATTATGGTTCATTGACTTTGAAACTTTTACATAGTTTACAAGTTAATGTTTGTGTTTAGGTTTGTTTAAAGGGTACGACTTATGAAAAGTCAATGGTATTTGGTTTGCAGTTGTATTAGCATTGGCACATCTCATTTCCATGCAGATTGTATAGCCCTGTACCTTCAGTCATGGTTCATTGACTTACATATTGCTATTTTAATTTCAACATTTGCATTATCAAATAACAAATAGGCGAGACATATCTCTGTGTTAACAGTTTATTCCTGAAATCACAATAATTAATCTCGCATTTTAGTCCATTCTAAAAAATTCGCAATAATAAATGCACACAATAATTTCTGAATTTACAGTACTATTGATTGAAATATAATGAGAACTTCTTCATTTTTTCAGTGTGTTTTTGTATGAGCCTTAGAAGTACCAATAGGACTCTGATGATGAAGGAACCAAACTAAATCTGAAGAATGTTTTGTTCTGGAGAGATGTACAGGTGTGCCTCTTGGTGATTTCTGATGTTTTCATACAACACATGTGACATATCCAGGGATGTTTCCAAATTATACTATTTATTTTAAATAAATGTTTGCCTATATAACTTTTAACTATTTTAATGTGTTTGTTATTTCATTGCATGTGTACATTTTCATATCCAAAAACATTTTGATTTTCTAAATATCTTTCCTGTTGAAAAGTTTTAATGAGATCTTCACATTAATATTCCTTTAAAAAGTACTGTAAATTAATAAATGGACGAACAAATAGAAGGTTTTTTAAACCTTCCAGAAACCGAAACCAGTTTAGAGGCAACAAATACGACCTGATATATTCTATAATATGTGATATCCTTTGGTGAATAAAACAAAAACTAGTTATGATATTGATGAATTTTTATTTTCTTTTATTATTGAGGTCACTGTTCATATCAACCACGTTTAGTCCAAAAATGGAAATTTAAGTTGCTGCAGATTCATTTATTTTCATGGGTACCAATTTTCATGGATTGAAGCATATTGATGGATATTTGATTTTGTGGTTTTGCCAACATCTACAAACAAGCCTAATTTGTAATTTGTAATTTGCTCAACATTTAAATTCGCGGTCAATCTGTACCCTCGAATTCCAAATGTATTAAAATTGATATCCCATGAATATTAATGAATCCAGAGTACCCATTGTTGTACTCATAAAATTGGCAAAATAATTTAGTGATTGGATGATTTGCATTAATATCCTACTTTAGAGATTATCTCCCCTTGAATTGAACATCTTTGATTGAAAAGGTGTCTCTCATGACCAAGAATCATAGGAGAGGCATTTCCAGTGGCCAGATCACAGATTTTGGGATCAAGTTCTGGTGCATTTTTAAAGCATTACTAAAAAAAAAAAAGATTAGATGTTTTACGCAATGCTATTTCCAAGAATGTTTGTGCTAGTGTATTTAAAACCAAAAAAACAATTATTACAGGCTTATGTAATTGAAAGCAAAATATTCTGATAATTGCTCATTTTAAATATTTACGTATGGCATGCCTATTTCAATGTTTACAACACATCCTTCTGAGACAATTTTCATTTGATACACTCTCTACCAAAAGTTTGGGAAGCTAAATACAGATGCAAATGGAGAGAAGGGGGAATCAGAATTTGATAGAACAGTAGACAAAAAAAAAGGCACAAGTAGCAATATATAAAAAGTGACCAAAACTATGGTATCTTTGCTATGAACTGTGATATTCCAGTCTCTCATGTTTCAATCACCTTCCTGGGAAAGATGGCTTACCCATACCTTTTCTTGTTATATCTGATTGTTTTGAATCAACTGGAATGTGAAATGAGTGTAAAAAAGAATAAAACACTGCTAAGACATGACTTGGACAATTTAGGCACCCTCGGGTAATCTCTTACCTGTACAAGCCTCATCTTGAATTTAATGGTTTGTTACGGTTTTGCTGATGACATGAGATAAATATGAAAGCAACACAGTAGTGTGAGAAAGTTTCTATTTTTAGGACATCGTAAACAATGTTCAATATTTATTTTCAATACCTAAATGACCATTAACTACAGGTGAAGTTTGGTTTAGACAGGTGATAATTACTGCTCAATACCTATGTTGATTTTTATACGACCGCAAAAATTGAAAATTTTTTGGTCGTATATTGGTATGACGTTGGCGTCGTCGTCGTCGTCGTCGTCGTCGTCTGGCGTCGTCCGGCGTCGTCCGAAGACACATTGGTTTTCGCACTCTAACTTTAGTTTAAGTGAATGGATCTCCATGAAATTTTACCATAAGGTTCAATACCACGAAAGGAAGGTGGGGATTGATTTTGGGGGTTATGGTACAAACAGTTAAGGAATTAGGGGCCAAAAAGGGGCCAAAAATAAGCATTTTTGTAACTTCCAGACAATAACTTGTGTGTAAGTGTATGGATCTCTCTGACATTGTACCACAAGGTTCCATATCACAAAGGGAAGGCTGTAATTGATTTTGGGGGTAATTGCCTCAAAATTTTAGGAATTAGGGGCCAAAAAAGGGCAAAAAAAAAAGCATTTTTCTAGTTTCATGACAATAACTTGTGTGTAAATGTTTGGATATTTCTGAAATTGTACTATAAGGTTCCATATCACAAAGGGAAAGCTGGAATTGAGTTAGGGGGTAATTGCCCGAAACGTTTAGGAATTGGGGGCCAAAAAGGGGCCAAAAATAAGCATTTTTCTAGTTTCCAGACAATAACTTGTGTTCAAGTGTATGGATCTCTCTGAAATTGTACTGCAAGGTACCATACCACAAAGGGAAGGCTGGGATTGAGTTTGGGGGTGATGAATCATAAGGGGGTTCAAAAAATTTGGGGGGGGGGGGGATTTTTTTTTTTCTTTTTTTTTCTTTTAAAATTTTCCATTTTAAGTTGGTTATTTCTGATTAATATTTAAAAGCAAATAATAATGATATGGTAGGAGATACACACCAAACAGGATGTGTAAATTATTATATAATAAGTATTGTGCAATAGCAAGAAATTTTCAATTGCACAGTATTGCACAATTGCAAGAAATCTTCAATTGCACAGTATTGCGCAATAGCAAGAAATCTTCAATTGCACAGTTTTGCGCAATAGCAAGAAATATCCAATAGCACAATATTGCGCAATAGCAAGAAATTGTCAATTGTACAGTATTGCACAATAGCAAGAAATATTCAATTGCACAGTATTGTGCAAAAGAAGATACTTCGTATAAATTGCTTATTTCTTGATCAATTTCAATGGGGTTTTATTCTTGAATTCTTGGGGTTCTTTGATATGCTGAATCTAACCGTGTATTAAGTTTTTGGATTTTGGGCCCCGTTTTTAAATTGGTCCACATTGAGGTCCAAAGGGTCCAAAATTTAACTTTGTTTGATTTCATCAAAAATTGAATTATTGGGGTTCTTTGATATGCTGAATCTAACCGTGTATTTAGATTCTTAATTTTTGGTTCCGTTTTCAAATTGGTCTACATTAAGGTCAAAAGGGTCCAAAATTAAACTTAGTTTGATTTTAACAAAAATTGAATTTTTAGGGTACTTTGATATGCTGAATCTAAACATGTATTTAGATTTTTGATTATGGGCCCAGTTTTCAAGTTTGTCCAAGTTGGGGTCCAAAATTAAACTTTGTTTGATTTCAACAAAAATTGAATATATGGGGTTCTTTGATATGCTGAATCTAACCATGTATTTAGATTTTTTATTTGTGGGCCCCGCTATTAAATTGGTTCATATTGAAGTCAAAAGGGTCCAAAATTAAACTTTGTTTGATTTCATAAAAAAATGAATTATTAGGGTTTTCTGATATGCCAAATCTAACCGTGTATTTAGATTTTTTATTTATGGACCCGCTATCAAATTGGTTCATATTGAGGTCAAAAGGGTCCAAAATTAAACTTTGTTTGATTTCATCAAAAATTGAATTATTGGGGTTCTTTGATATGCCAAATCTAACCGTGTATTTAGATTTTTAATTTTGGGTCCCGTTTTTAAATTGGTCTACATTAAGGTCCAAAGGGTCCAAAATTAAACTTAGTTTGATTTTAACAAAAATTGAATTCTTGGGGTTCTTTGATATGCTGAATCTAAACATGTGTTTAGATTTTTGATTATGGGCCCAGTTTTCAAGTTGGTCCAAGTTGGGGTCCAAAATTAAACTTTGTTTGATTTCAACAAAAATTGAATATATGGGGTTCTTTGATATGCTGAATCTAAACATGTATTTAGATTTTAGATTTTTGGTCCAGTTTTCAAGTTGGTCCAAATTGGGGTCCAAAATTAAACTTTGTTTGATTTCAACAAAAATTGAATATATGGGGTTCTTTGATATGCTGAATCTTACCATGTATTTAGATTTTTTATTTTGTGGGCCTGCTATCAAATTGGTTCATATTGAGGTCAAAAGGGTCCAAAATTAAACTTTGTTTGATTTCATCAAAAATTGAATTATTGGGGTTCTTTGATATATCAAATCTAACCGTGTTTTTAGATTTTTAATTTTGGGTCCCGTTTTTTAAATTGGTCTACATTAAGGTCCAAAGGGTCCAAAATTAAACTTAGTTTGATTTTAACAAAAATTGAATTCTTGGGGTACTTTGATATGCTGAATCTAAACATGTGTTTAGATTTTTGATTATGGGACCAGTTTTCAAGTTTGTCCAATATGGGGTCCAAAATTAAACTTTGTTTGATTTCAACAAAAATTGAATATATGGGGTTCTTTGATATGCTGAATCTAACCATGTATTTTGATTTTGGACATTGGACCATAATAGGTAAATTAAAAAAATTGAAGTTCTTAGACCACATTCTTTCTGTGTCAGAAACCTATGCTGTGTCAAATATTTAATCACAATCCAAATTCAGAGCTGTATCAAGCTTGAATGTTGTGTCCATACTTGCCCCAACTGTTCAGGGTTCGACCTCTGCGGTCGTATCAAGCTGCGCCCAGCGAAGCATTTTATTGTTGTCTTGCCTGGGATGATAATTGCAGAATGTGAGACATATGAATTACAATCTAGGGGTGGCCATGACAGCATAAACTATTTGTACAAAGCTTTATATGGTAACAGGTAGCAGACCTGGATACTTCATACCTTGTTCACAGATGGCTTTTGTTCTGAAGTTTCCATCTGTCATATGTCGATTGTCCATAACCTCATTTTTATGTTTGAATACCGGTAACTGCTAAAAGAACCTTTTTTTTTATCATTTTAATTTCTAACTTGTTAAGAGTAATAGGATAATTAGATTTGGTTTATCGGATCCTTGTAAGGTCTGCATGTCAATCAGACAGGGTTTACCTGACCTTGACCTCTTTTAATGACTTGGTGTTCATGGTTTGGTTTCCATGATCAAGTCAATATCTTGGATACTATAGCAATAGGTGAGCTACATTTTTTGTTTGGAATGATAATAGGGTGTATATGTCTGTCTGAGAGGGTTAATCTGACCTTGACCTTTTTTTCTGGGTTGATTGGTTTATGATACGTTTTCATGATTTGGTCTATTGCTTTGATACTATAAGAAATCGTCAAATATATTTGGTGAATGAAATTATTGCTAATTTTACGTGTTTGTCTGGCCGTGGTTCATCTGACCTTGACTTAGTTTACATGGATCATTGGTAATGTGAAATTTATGTGATAAGTCAGTAAGTAGTATGATATAGTTAAATTTTGGGTTGCTTTCATTGTGTGAAATGAATCAGAACGCAAAACAACATTATGTAGGTCAACAATAGTCCTCTTACAAAAAATGAGAAAAAGTTGCAATTAACATGAGCATTGCCATTGCACCGTCATACAATGAAAATAGTAAAAACATTCAACAAAATATAAGTTCAGCAATAATAACGTAAAAAAAAAGTTTTGAAAACTGTTGGTACATTAAAATCTTACACTTTACTAGTTTTCTTGCTAATTATCCTATATATTTAGACCAAGTATGTAGAATTTATGGCACATTTCATTATAAATCTAATTACCTGAGTTATCTCTCTTTATAAATATTAGGTCTAATAAAACAGTTATATAATAAAAATTCACAAAAACAGAAGTTGTTGTCTAAAGATGAAATGGTTTAAATTTCTTCATTGAAAAGTCCCATAAATGAATTGCATTTCTGGTTCAAAATTTGATTTCATTATTAATGGATTAATCATTGGCAGACATGCAATTTCATGATGGTGGAATAATCTGCTACTACCTATAATAACTTAAATTACTACATGAAATAAAAACAATATGAAACTGTGTCTTATAATGGAGTCAAACCAACAAAACATATTTGAAGCAGGACTTCAGACACTATATAAATAACACATAACTGAGAGGGTGATAGAGCAGATTGTTACCTCGAGAAAATATTGTTAATTTATTATACTGAATGTTCTGGTATTATTGTCTAATAAATAAATTTGGTGTATTTACTGTCTTCTGATTGGTTAAAAGTATTACCTTTATTTTCAATATTGTCAATTTTTATGGCGACACGCCCACTCTGACGTGTATTCATACGCCAACATGTGTGTACATTGTTATTGTTAATATAAATAATATAAAAAGCTCTTTGAGCCTTATTTTTAATAGAAATTTATTTATAATGAATGGCTTTTATTTATTTTGAATTTATTGAACCATAAAATTAATTTTTGACTCTTCATATTTAATAATAGAGGTGAAAATGCCTTGGAAAACATTGAAACAGAACATTTGCTTGGAAACATGCATAGGTTTCCCCATACTTTCTAACTATTTCCCCTCCATCCAATCCCTATTCAATATGGCTGCAATAACCATGAAGTGGCCTATTGAATATTTACTGACAGCAATACTGTATCTGATGTCTAACTTGTCATAGAACTTCAAAATGTCCAACTTTATGAGCTTTGGCATAGCAAGCATTATTGTCAACAACCTACAACTTCAGAATCTACTTAAAATTAAAATAATTAGAAAAGATGGATATTTTACTTATTTAGTGATATACCAAAATATATTCTCTAATAATCTAAAATCTTTTATATTTTAAATTTCCCACCAAATCTTCAGTGAAGGGAAGAAATCAATAGGTCAAAGTCCAATTTGTTGATATAATCAATCCGGCCGGTCAGAGCCCTGCAGGCAGGTGAATGTACTAACATTATTTTATTGCTGTGGTAATTTTAAGTTGAGGAATAGATCCTGCTTGGGTAAGTAAATAAATGCACAATTATAAAATTTTACAGAGTTTTTTTATTTGAATACAAAAATTGATTGACTGCATGAAAGACTTGGTGTGCAGTTTATCTAAATATAAGTTAGGCATGTAATTTGTAATCTTATGTTTTATTATTTACAGATGTGTGAAAGTGTGTGTTGATAAGGTTTTTTAAGTTAATGCAGTCTTGTGATATTTTTAGTAAATGGTAGAGCAAACTAGTATAACATAAAATATGTGGAACAATCCTACTGAAGTCTAACAGATTTTATGTTCTTTTGACATATATTTATTCTCTCTACATTTAACTGACAGTTTTGATTGATTGTTGTCTCTTATTTATTTATGTATACTGAGTATACTTTAAGCAACATATATTTTAATTAGAAAAACTTTAGATAAAAAAATTCCAAAGTTACACAAAAATTTAATGAATGAATGTTTGTCAACTAAAAATAGCACCTTATTGTTTATTTGCTTTCATACAATAACTTATTTGTTGTTATGTTTAGAGGTATAGTTAAGTTTTGAAATATAAAATTAAAGATATTTGTTGCTTAACTTTTTTTACTCAGTATATGTTTTTTTTTGCTTTTCAGGCCAAAACCTAGTAAAATTGAAATTGTGATTTAAATATATTTTAATGATTGAAGACAGAAAATAAATAGAGCATAAAAATATGAGTGGATATATAGCTAAATTGTAAGGAGAGTTCAATAAAAGATTTTAGATTTATATCCTTACATAATAATATATAATTGTAGGTACATTATTGCACTTTTATAATTTGTATGGTATTCAATCAAGCCTTTATTGTTATTTAAACTGTGACATTTAAAGGACACATAAAACATAAAACAAACATTCAGATAACATTAAATTGATTTAACATATAATTCAGACAGTTTTTTAAATTCATATCTCAAGGGGAAAACTCTTAAGACTTAAAAAATGTCAGAAGACTGCTATTAAATAAACGGTAAACATGAAAAATATTTGACATTTGAAATAGCTAGAATAGTTCCCGGCCCTCTAACCTCAAATCTTTGATTGTTTTATTGTTTCCTTGATCTGTCACAATAAAATCATAGAGTTTTCATTTAAAAAGATTTTTTCCGTACATAATTTCATTTACAATACATCATTTGGGGGAAAATAATTAAGTTTATGTGCTTGTTTTTGAGATGCAAGTATTTCAGATAAAAGAAAAGCATTCCAATATCCCTACCTCTGCAAAAATTTTATCTGTCCAAGGAAAAAACTCTAAAAAAAATCTTTTGAACTTTTCCTAAAGAAATGTAGCTGTGAATAAGCTTATAATACAAATTTCCATAAATTTCTATTTCAATCATGGGTGAATTTCCCATTAGTATTTTTGAACATCTTTAATTATCAGATTCTTTCTTAAAATTGCTCAAGATAAACCTTAAAGAAAATCAAGATTTTCTATCAAAATGAAGAGTAAAATAGAGAATCCTAGAAGGCATACCATTTTATTTTTGAAAATCTAAAACTTTTGAAGATTTAAATATATTTCTTATATTTTCAACTTACAAGCATTTTCTGTTACAAATTATTTTGGAGTTTCCCTGATAGCAATACAAGGACTTTGCCATATCTACAAAAGATAAAACCTTGATTCTATAACTCCTCCTGATTAAATTAATGTGTCTTTCAACCAATTTTTCTATTTATTTTCCTAGAAATAGCCATGGCTTCTAACAGCTGTATACACAGAGTTTTTCGGTCAAGTCGATCACTGCTTAATTTGGCAAAAAGGAATAAAGATAACAGGACTGGTGTGGAGACAAGTGTGAAGAGCTTCAGTACATCAGACCAAAGAAAAGTCCACAGAAGTATTATACCAGATATAGATATCCCCAACTGTTCTCTTACAGACTTCTTGTTTCCAAGATTTGACAAATTCAGTAAAAATGTTGCCATGGTGAGTAAATATGAAAGCAACTTGCACACACATTTGAGTTAAGTCCCTTTGATTCATTTGTATAGGATAGGTTTTGGGAGATGAGGTTTCTAATAAAGATTTTATGAAATTTTACGAAATTCTTCAGATATATTGAGCTTAATTTTTTTTTATTTTATTCATTTGCGTATTTTTTGGCTGATGAAGTTTTTGAAAAAGAAATAGTTTTACCACATTCTGCTGACAACTTTCATATTGTAATTTTGCCCATTTTTGATCAGGCTGTTTTGCATGCTGGGAAAAAAGTTGCTGTAAATGACAAATGCTGTTATGTTTGAGTGAAATTATTTTGACATTAGTGACATTAAACTGTTAGGAGCAGATCCTTGAATATTGTTAAGAGGGAATGATAATAGAAAAAATGTTCATAAACATATTTCAGAGTGTTGGGAAGGAAAAAATGCTGTAAAATACGTATTTAAGGGAAAAACATGCTTTTTTTTTAAAATAAAGATAAATTTGTTTTAAGAACAGAATGGAAGTAAACTTTATATTTTTCAAAACATTTTTTTTCATTTAAGGGGAAGGGGGTATGGGGTTTTGACATGCCTTCCTAAGCCTTCTTCCAATTTATACTTGGTTGAATCCCAAGGCAAAACTAGGATCTTCCCTTATAAAAATACATCAACAAATTTGAAAATTGCGAAAAAAAAATAATTTGTGAAGTCAGCATAAACTTTTTATAAGAGGTCTTATCACGAATAAAAGTATATGCAAAAATAAGTTAGTTTGCAGTAATTCTGTTCAGGTTGTAACGAATATTTTCTGTCTCAATATTACATCAACATCACATTTTAACAGGTAGAATCTACCACTCAGAAATCCTATACCTATTCAGAACTGAAAGAGAACGCTATAAAAGTAGCAAGTGCTTTAACCAGAATGGGATACAAGAAGGGAGATGTTTTAGCCATATATTCTACAAACAGCCCTGAATTTACCATGGTAATGTTAGGTGCAGCAGCTGCAGGCATTATTGTCACAACAATGAATCCAGCCTACACGTCAGGTTTGTTTTCATAGTAATTACCCTCTTGCAAAGGAATTTTAGGTAAAATATTATAAGCTGATTGATAAGTGATCAGTCTGTCTAGTCTGTTTTTTGTTTAAATTAGATTTAGAGAATTATTTAATAAATATTTATTTGCATTATTTAAAGTCATAACACTTATAGGTAAACAATGAAGCTTTGATTTAAACAAAAAAACATACCCAATATCTGTACCTGGTATAAAATCTCATAATAAAACCCTCAAATGAAGTATCCTCAAAGGTGGGTCTCATTGGGGTCTAAGCGTGACTCGGGATTGGCAGATTTTTTTGTAAGCGTGACTCCTGAAAGTCAAATTATTCTGCGTGAAAACTGGAAAGGAAGTTGGCCGGGATAAGTGAAATTACAAGTGCTATTATTACAATGATAAGAGGGATACAGGAATCTGACAAAAAAATAAGCGGAATCCAGGATCAACCACCCCCCCCCCCCCCCTTTTCCCAATGAGATCCCCACCAAAGCAGCTTATCTCAAACAATGAAAAATCTAATACCAAAGAAATTAAACAAATGCAAGGTATCAATTAAGGGAAATATAGGGCATATCCATAAGATTCATTGGTTTTGTTTTTGATAGGTTTTTCATTTAAAATGAACTTTAGTATAACAATGTGTTTTTTATGTTACAGGAGAATTAGCTAGACATTTAGAACATTCAGGAGCTAGCAGTTTATTTACAATTCCTCCATTAGTTGGGACTGTTAAAGATGCATTAGAAACTGACAAAGTTCTCAACAGTATTATTAAGGTAAGGTTATCCCTTAGTTATATAAAAGTAAGAAGATTTGGTATGATTGCCAATGTGACAACTCTCCATCAGAGACCAAATGACATTGAAGTCAACGACTATAAGTCACCGGTACAGCTTTCATCAATGAGCAAAACACCATACCGCATAGTAAGTTATAAAAGGCCCTGAAATGACAAATGTAAAACAATTCAAATGAGGAAACTATCAGCCTGATATATGTACAAAACAAATATGATATACAGTAACAAACACCAACCACTGAATTACAGTCCCCTGACTTGGGAAAGGCACATACAGAATGTGGTGGGTTTAAAAATGTTTGCTGGCAACAAAAAATTACTGTTAAATATGGACTAGAAACTGACAAAGTTCTCAACAGTCTTAATAAGGTAACATTATCCTTTAGATAGGACTGTTAAAGATTTTTCTAAGAAAATATAGATATGAAACAGCAAATCTAAAACACAATAGAACTAGAAAATAAAGCAGCATAAAGTTTTAGCAATAAACAATTGTCCATACCATATATCATTTGCTATATCACCCAAAGTCTAAAAAAGGGTAATAGGGAAAAACAAAGACCTATAATCTACCCCTAATTCCTTAATTTATTTTTGGTATATTCATTCTTTTAGCTATTTATTTTATAGAACATAGTAGTGTTTGGATCAGCAGACGGTCACAGACCATTCTCGACCTTGTTAGAGGATGATGGTAAAGCCTTCCCAGAGAACATCAATATTGATCCAATGGAGGACGTTGTGGTTCTGCCTTACTCCAGTGGTACTACTGGTCTACCTAAAGGTGTTATGTTGACACACAGTAATATAGTTTCCAATCTGTTACAGTTCAGGTGGGTGTTAAACACTTTTAAAAGTAATTTATTTTAATTTTAATTGTTTCTAATATAGATTCATTTATTTTCACGGGACCAATTTTTGTAGACTGAGGAACATTTTTATTTTCTTGGTTACTGGATTTTGTGGTTTTTGACAAATTATGCCCATGAAATTAACAAAATATAATACCCCAAGAATAAGACTTTTTTATTATTTTTGTTTAAAGTATTTCCTTATCATGGTTTCTAAAATGGTCATAATCTTGCCTGTTCAACACACATGCAGCTATAAAGAATTACAAAAAGGTTATTTTGCACAGGAAATTTATTTTGTAATTATCTACTTGCTGGTAGAAAGTTATGTAAGATAACACTTAGGTGCAACATTTTGATTGGTCCAAAATGAAAAAAGAAATTAGCATATATTTGCTTAAACCTGGCAACCTGTTATGTCGTAATATGAACGACAACATCATTTTAAAATCTTAGTTGATGTTTACATATTCTCAAAAACTTTTAAAAAATAAAATAAATAATAGTAGCATTTAAATTTTCGTCTTTGAATTTACAATGTCATATCAACCCCTATACATAATTTCTTTTTCAAATGAACTTGCTCTGATATTTAGATAAACCAGTGCATATGTAAGTTATTGACTCAAAGGTTGAGATTTTATCTTATTTACATCTCATTAAAATAAATAGAATTATGAAATAGACCAGCCTCCATTCTTGTCATATCAGGAAACAATCTTCAAGGTCTTTGGGGTCAAATAAGGACAAATTCTGTCACTGCTGAATAATTAACAGTTCAAATGAAATTTTAATATGATAATTTTGAATTTAATTACAAACGTAGTTCCAATTTTTTAATTCTCATTGAAAGAACAAAATTTTTATAATGAAAAGTATTGTTTTTTTAGGTTTGAGTTAAATTGATGGTCACGGATATATTATACTTTGATTAACATCTGAATGTTTTAATAATTATTTTAAAAATTCAACAATTCAACAAATCAGTATAGATCATGTTGATAAAACTGAAGAATTCTTATTTTAATAGTCAGATACTGTGGAATCATTTATTATACCCCTTATCAAAACGAGGATGTTTTGGGTGGTATATAGAAATCCCCTGGTCTGTCTATTTGTCCATCTCTCCCAGTGGCGGATCCAGAAATTTTCATAAGGGGGCCCACTGACTGCCATAAGAGGGGGCCTGCTTAGTCATGCCTCAGTGATTCCCTAACAAATCAACCAAATTTTTCCCACAAAAGGGGGGCCCAGGCACCCTGGGCCCCTCTAAATCTGCCTCTGTCTCCACTAATTGATGATGATGATGATGGATGGCTGCTTAACGTCCAGTGGCAAATTAATATGCATATTCAGAACGAGAAAATGTTAATGTATTATGAATATTAACCTGCTTTTGAGCCAGATTTTTAAGGGGCAAGTTGACAAGGTAACAGTCTGCACAGACTCTAAGCCAACCAGTCTTTACTCTTACTCTGTAATGCTAAGTGCTTAACGGAGAAGCAGCAAATATCAATTTTTTAGGTCTTTGGTTTGACCCGGATGGAGTTCAAACCCACAACCTCCTACACTCAAGGCTAACAGACATCTACGAGACCACTTAGGAGGTACTCCACTAATTGAGTGATCATAGTTAGTGGAATATAACAACTAGATTATTCAGGTTACTAGAGCTACAGATTAAGTAGGAGTGGCCTGAAATATATAATCAGAATGATTTTTTTCCAGACCATTAATTAGTGTAAATGAAGAAGATACATGTTTGGGAGTTCTACCATTCTTCCATATCTATGGTTTGTCGCCAGTAATGATGGGAGTTCTTCAGGATGGTGGGAAACTTGTTACACAACCAAGATTTGACCCGGAAATGTTTCTTAAAGCTTTACAAGGTTACAAGGTTAGTTTTTTAAGCAGTTATTTGTCTCAAGTTAGAACTTAAAGGTTTAAATGACTAATTTGATATTTGCCTTTATTTTATCAATTGCAGACAGATTAAATATGACCTTGTCCTATTTTACTATTTTTATAATTAAGTTGAATGGGTGCAATTCTGCATGATTTGTCTCCCTTTTTTAAGAGAATCAAACTCTTGGACACAAATTAAAATTATATTTTTTCAAATAAAGATATCAAGTATAAACTTTTACCTCAGTCATATTAAACTATTTATTTTTTTTTATCTCTCAACCCTCCCTCTTTTAATATTCATGCAGCAAATTATTTATATATCTCTACAGGTAACACAAGCACATTTGGTACCACCCATTATACTGTTTTTAGCCAAGCATCCTGTTGTGAGCAAGTTTGATTTGTCCAGTATTACCAAGTTAATTAGTGGAGCAGCACCTCTGGGAGATTCCCTGACAGAAGAGATTATGGAGCGGCTCAAAGCACCAGTATGTCAGGGTAAGTTATTACATGTACTCTAATAAAGATGCAAACAATGATATATGGACCTTTAATATGATGTTTTCATGATTTTGGTGGTCAGAAAGTAATCAATTTGCAGATATTCTTTGATTATTTGTTGCAGGATTTCAAGATTTCTTTAAATGCCTTTTTTGTCCATACACATTGTTTCAAATTATATCAAGGCAGGTGTGGATTGGGTTTAAAATATAGAGAAAAATGGACAAAAAAATTACAAATAGAGAATAATGGGGTTAAAATATAAAGAAAAGAGAATAATGGGGTACTAAAATACTATAAATCAGAAATTATTGCGTGCATTTATTATAGGGATTTTGAAGAAAGGACAAAATGTGAGGTTTATTATTGTGATTTAAGGAAAATCTGCATACCCTTATATGTATCAGTATAACATTACAGGTACCAATTTGTCTGCACCAGATGGGCATTTCGACAATAAATGTCTCTTCAGTGATGTTTAAGGTCAAAATATTTGAAAATCCAAAACTTTAAAAAAAAAAAAATGAAGAGCTTATAAACCAAAAAGGACAAAAAGTATTGCCAAAGCCTTGCAAGGAATCAGAGCTTTTCCTGAGGGAGAGCACTGAAGTACTGGCTACTGGGCTGGTGATACCCTCGGGGACTAACAGTCCACCAGCAGAGGTAGATATCAGAATGTGAGTTCTTATTAGTAATGGGATTATTACCCAGTCGCATTATTCACAATAATAAAAACCTTGCAATAATTCCTGAATTTACAGTATAAAGAATAGAGAATACTGTAAATTCAGATATTATTGTGAGGTTTTTATTAATGCGAATAATGCGAATGGGTGAGTATCGCAATAATAAGAACTCGCGTTCTGATATCTGATATATATAGCTATGTGAAGATTTTCCTGAAATCGCAATAATAAATCTCGCATTTTTGTCTATTCTTGAAAAATTGCACTAATAAATGTACGCAATGATTTATGAATTTACAGTAATGGGCAAAACAAATAATACAGAAATGATAACCCCCACCCCATCCATAATCTCATGTACAAATGTAGTATATTGATTTTTCTTATTTCGTAGGCTATGGAATGACAGAGACCAGTCCAGTTATCCATGTTGATACAGTGCCAAATACCAAAGGATCTGTGGGAAAAGTAGTCCCAAATACACTTTGTAAAGTATGTTTAGTCTTTTCTAAACATGGACCACACCAGATTTTTTTAAAGGCTATATACAATTATTGTTCTATTGGTTTTTATCAACAAATTTCTGATACTTCAGCAGTTTTCTCCCAGGGGCATTTCAGCATCAGGGTGCTATGATGCTATAATTTTCCTATCCTATCACAAAATTTTTTTTTTTCAAAGGTTTATCAATACTCTTTGGCTAATAAATCTATTTGTTCTTCTCATTTAAAGTAAAAATTATTGTGTGCAGATATTTTGGCCTGTTAAATTGTGTATGTTCATATGGGTAATAGTTTTATTCGAGATTGCTTTATTGAGCAACTAATAACTGCATTTCATTTCAATTTTTCAATGCAAAAAATAAGAAAGAAAATTTTTGTTAGGAAATAAAAATATTGCATCACTTCTTATTCCTTTTACCAGCATATTTAGTCTTAAAAGAATGATAAGAACAAAATTTTTTTGTTCTATAAAAATAAGCAGATGTGGTATGATTGCCAAGGAGACAACTCTCCACCAGAGACAAAATGACATAGAAGTTAACAACTTAAAATCTAGCCTTTTTAAAAAAATTTGTACTGACTTATATTACTACAGTATATCAAAAATAAGTTTAACTGTCTATATGTTTAGCAACTAATTCGATTTGTTATGATTCGTGACATAGTTTATCATTTTGTAAACATATCCTATAACTGTGTCAGTAATTTATCATTAAATGGCCATGTCACCTAATTTATCAATGAAGGAATGTTTGTTTTACAGATTGTCTGTCCAGATACAGGCACCCAGTTAGATAAAGTAGGAGAAGTCGGTGAAATGTGTGTTAAAGGGCCACAAGTTATGAAAGGCTACCTGCATAATCTAACAGCTACAGAAGAAATTATAAGAGATGGATGGCTTCATACAGGTTATACCATTAAATGTTTCATTATTGGCAGTCATCATCTATACTCCTTTAAGGATGTTTGTTACTCTGTTTCAAAATAACAAGCTTTTTAAAAGACTGTTATAAATTGATAGTATATAAATAACGGAACTTAAAAAGCAGAAAAAATGAAGGGTCCATGAATTTGTTTTCGAAATATAAGCCATTGAAAAATTGGTGGGTTATGATTCTCTTTAGATTTTTCATACATTTAACATTGGCACCTTTTTTCTTTCTAAAACTATGAAAAAATAAAAAGGATTTTATAAGAATTTCAAATATGGCTTTTTAAATTATATGTAATAAAAGTAGGGGTTAGCAGGTAAAATATTTATTAGCACTACATGGATAAAACCAGAGCATTCCGAATATCTGACAAAAATTCAAAAACAAGAGGAGCAAACATCCTTAATTCTTATAAAATAAAATGACTGATTTCATACAGGGTATACATGTAGGCTTGAAATAAAGTATGTAATTGACTTCTAGATTTTTTCAATTTTTTGTCTCCTTGATGTAAATAACACTATTTATATTATATGTCCGAAGCATTTTTCTGGATACACCTCCATCATGTATGCTCAAACCCAGTATTTGAAAGCCAAGTATGTATAAGATCTGAAAATGTGCACATCTATATGACCAAATGGAACCTTACAATATGGCAAAATTCATCTAAGGTCAACTTTACCTGAGTGAGTTAGAACCTTTCATTACTTACAAATTTCTTAATATATCAATGGAAAATTTAAAATATGATTTACTTGCTTAAGGAAGTGCACAACAAACAAAGTGGATCAAGTGATCAATTCTATTTTGATTTTATGAAAAAAAATGGTTGAAATAAATATTACGTGTTGAAACCTGAGACTGCTAAGGTGAGTCCCAGGACTCATGTCTGAAACCTACTTGATTTTAATACCTGGTGCCCAACAAATTATTAAAAAGCTGCAGATAAACTGTCCATTTGAAAGAAAATAAGTTAACATTGAAATGAATGTAGCTTTATATTTTACAACTGGTAACTAATTATTATTTTTGTATGTAACATCCCACAAAGCTTTGGTACTGATTGCAAGTACAACATGATATTCACTATTTTTATACGACCGCAAAAAAATTTTGTGGTCGTATATTGGTATGACGTTGGCGTCGTCGTCGTCGTCGTCGTCGTCGTCTGGCGTCGTCGTCGTCCGGCGTCGTCGTCCGAATACATATTGGTTTTCGCACTCTAACTTTAGTTTAAGTGAATGGATCTTTTTGAAATTTGACCATAAGGTTAAATACCACAAAAGGAAGGTTGGGATTGATTTTGGGGGTTATGGTACCAACAGTTATGGAATTAGGGGCCAAAAAGGGGCCAAAAATGAGCATTTTCTAGTTTCCAGACAATAACTGTGGAACGGTGTATGGATCTCTCTGAAATTATACTACAAGTTTCCATACCACAAAGGGATGGTTAGGATTTGCTTTGGGGGGTTATGGCTCAAACCGTTTAGGAATTAGGGGCAAAAAAGGGGGAAAAACAAGGTTGTCCTGGTTAATGGACAAATACTTTAGTACAAAACATAATTTAAAGCAGTGTAAGGGAGATAAATCAAATACATCATTGAAATTATCTCCCTTACACTGCTTTTAAATTATGTATAAAGTAATGGTTAATGAACAATAAAGATAATCTAAAACAGTGTAAGGGAGGTAATCCAAATACAACGTTTTGGTTACTTCCCTTACACTGCTTTTAAATTATGTTTAAAGAAATGCATATTTATAAAGGAAGACCAGTAAAAATATCTGCAAATGTTTTCAACTTTTTTTTTTACAAAAAAATCCATATGAAAGATTTGACACTATTTTTATTAATTCTATTATAAAATAGATTAAGTTAGCACTATGGTAAATTTAAATGGGTAATTATGGTTGCCAACTCCATTGGAAATTTGAATTGAGATTATGACCATATCTTGAGGGAAAGAATTTTTTTTGGGGAAAAAGGGGGGGGGATAAAAAGAAATTGTGGGGGGCCAATTTTTTCTCATTTCAGATTTCAGAAATTAAAAAGAATTATTCTTCAAATATTATTTTTTTTTCAAATTTCAAATATTGAAAAATTTCAAGAAGTAATCTTTAATTGCACAGTATGGCGCATTAGATTTGTAAAATCTTTTATCACATTTATTTATTTGTTATGCCGAATCTAACAGTGTATTTAGATTTTTAATTTTGGGTCCAGTTTTCAAATTGGTCTACATTAATGTCCAAAGGGTCCAAAATTAAACTTTGTTTGATTTTAGCAAAAATTGAATATATGAGGTTCTTTGATATGCTGAATCTAAACATGTATTTAGATTTTTGATTTTTGGCCCAGTTTTCAAGTTGGTCCAAATTGGGGTCCAAAATTAAACTTTGTTTGATTTCAACAAAAATTGAATATATGGGGTTCTTTGATATGCTGAATCTAACCATGTATTTAGATTTTTTATTTGTGGACCCCGTTATCTAATTGGTTCATATTGAGGTCAAAAGGGTCCAAAATTAAACTTTGTTTGATTTCATCTAAAATTGAATTATTGGGGTTCTTTGATATTCCAAATCTAACCGTGTATTTAGGTTTTTAATTTTGGGTCCTGTTTTTTAAATTGGTCTACATTGAGGTCCAAAGGGTCCAAAATGAAACTTTGTTTGATTTCAACAAAAATTGAATATATGGGGTTCTTTGATATGCTGAATCTAAACATGTATTTAGATTTTTGATTATGGGCCCAGTTTTCAAGTTGGTCCAAATTGGGGTCCAAAATTAAACTTTGTTTGATTTCAACAAAAATTGAATATATGAGGTTCTTTGATATGCTGAATCTAACCATGTATTTAGATTTTTTATTTGTAGGCCCCGCTATCAAATTGGTTAATATTGAGGTCAAAAGGGTCCAAAATTAAACTTTGTTTGATTTCAGCGAAAATTGAATTATTGGGGTTCTTTGATATGCCAAATCTAACCGTATTTTTAATTTGGGTCCCGTTTTTTAAATTGGTCTTCATTGAGGTCCAAAGGGTCCAAAATTAAACTTAGTTTGATTTTAACAAAAATTGAATTCTTGGGGTTCTTTGATATGCTGAATCTAAACATGTGTTTAGATTTTTGATTATGGGCCCAGTTTTCAAGTTGGTCCAAGTTGGGGTCCAAAATTAAACTTTTTTTGATTTCAACAAAAATTGAATATATGGGGTTCTTTGATATGCTGAATCTAACCATGAATTTAGATTTTTTATTTGTGGGCCCCGCTATCAAATTGCTTCATATTGAGGTCAAAAGGGTCCAAAATTAAACTTTGTTTGATTTCATCAAAAATTGAATTATTGGGGTTCTTTGATATTCCAAATCTAACCGTGTATTTAGATTTTTAATTTTAAGTCCCGTTTTTTAAATTGGTCTACATTAAGGTCCAAAGGGTCCAAAATTAAACTTAGTTTGATTTTAGCAAAAATTGAATTCTTGGGGTTCTTTGATATGCTGAATCTAAACATGTGTTTAGATTTTTGATTATGGGCCCAGTTTTCAAGTTTGTCCAAGTTGGGGTCCAAAATTAAACTTTGTTTGATTTTAACAAAAATTGAATATATGGGGTTCTTTGATATGCTGAATCTAACCATGTATTTTGATTTTGGACATTGGACCATAATAGGTAAATAAAAAAAATTCAAGTTCTTAGACCACATTCTTTCTGTGTCAGAAACCTATGCTGTGTCAAATATTTAATAACAATCCAAATTCAGAGCTGTATCAAGCTTGAATGTTGTGTCCATACTTGCCCCAACTGTTCAGGGTTCGACCTCTGCGGTCGTATCAAGCTGCGCCCCAGCGAAGCATTTTATTTAATGATAATTTATCTGTTATATATTAACAATCTGGTGTGTTGCGTCTGTCCCAACTTTAGAACGAAAGTGTACATAGGCACAATTATCACACATAACAATATTACAGTCAATACATTTCCATTTGATTGGTAAAAATTGTTCACATAGTTGACATGGAATGATAAGTACAGGTTCACTATTCACCATTGAAACATGAACTTTCTTGCAGAAAAAGTTACCCATTCTGTTGAATCCTGATATGAATATAGCGCTAAAAATGTTTTGAAATTTTATCCTTGCCAAAATCGATCTGCTATCCAATACCTTACAGCTTTTATTTGTCATCAAGAATTTATTTGAAAAATCCTGATTAACTGCTTATTTTGATCTCTAAATCTTCTGGCCTTAACCTGTCTACTGTTCAGAACTTGACAACTTTTATTTCTGTCAAACAAATTGTACGAAAAAATTCAGATAAGCTGCTCAAATATTTTTCTCTAAATCTTTCTGTCTTGTTTTTTTCTTTAGTAGCTCCTGCAATTAATGTCATGTAAAAATATCATTAAGAATGGTTATCCTGCTCAGATAGTTCAGAGCTATGTCCTCACTTACACATATATATGTGTTCCATAAGTCTGAAAGTTTATATGTAAAGCATCTGATATTTACAAGGTCCTCTTCATAAAATCTCTTGATCAAAACTATTTACAGTTTGACAGTATTTTTATATAAAAGTATAAGATAAGAAAAAACCTCCAGGAAATAAATCCAAACTCCTGCTGAACATATAGAACTGAAACCCGGCTATGGTCGTCACACATTTGATTAAAACAAAAAATGTACAGTTTAAAACCAAGAGTAGTATTTTTATTCTGAATACTTATCTGACAGTGAAAAACATAAATGGCAACAACTGTATCACATCTCTTAGCCAAAGTTCTATTTACTTAAGACCAACTTTCTTTCTTAATATCTAATCATTTAAGAAAAAAAAGGTTGATAAGATAAGTTAAGTTGTATATGTTACAAGTTTTATATGAAAGGTAACTAATTATTGTATGTTCTTCTATAAATCTTTTGTTCAAATGTCCGAAGTGATTTCCAATCCTGTTAGCATGGTTTTTAAGTTTGAGGTGCGGATTTAGTCAAAATTATTGTATTTGTATTTATGTATTAATGGAGGTCATGAAATATTTCAGGATCTCCTAAATAATTTTGACTTAACCTGTGCCTCATACTTTAGACCTAACTATTTGTTATGATTCATCAACTAAATTTTTTTTCAATAAATATAATAAAGATATAATTATTGCCAACCCACAGAGGGTGTGTTGTGAAAAATTTGGAATGGTTGTCTCTAAGATCAAAGTCAACTGTACATCCTAATACACTAATATACAGATGTATCTGACTCAAAAGTTTTGAATACCTAAAAGGATGTTAATGATGCTTGATATAATTGTTGCCCCCATACATTAATTAGACAGCAACCCAAGAAAATGCAAAAAGAAAAGACATTTGCTTTATGAAATTTATCCATTATAAATTGTGCTGTTTTTTTATTTGCAGGAGATATTGGTTATGTGAAGGAGAATGGAAGTTTTGTAATAACAGACAGACTGAAAGAATTGATTAAATACAAGGGTTATCAAGTAAGTAAATACACTTATATTATGGCTAAATACTTTCAATATACTGTGGATTCATTTATTTTCGTGAGTACTAATTTTTGTGAATTGAGGAAAAATTGTATTTTTATGGATATTTGATTTCTTGGTTTTGCCAAAATATTGCATACAAGCCTGCAAACCAGTAGGTAAACAAAACCAAAATATTTATGAATATTGAATATCTCCCAAAAAGAGGCGTGGTTTGTGAAACAGCTGTATACACAAAGTGCAACCTAAAACGAAAATTGGAAATGAAATGAATAGACATATTATACATATAGTGATGTTTAATGACTTATGACAGAAGGAGATGTGGGGTATATGTCAATGGGACAAAAATGCCACATAAAATCAGAAAGACATTTAGAGGTCAATATACAGTCTTCAACAAAAAGTAAAATAACAAAAATACAGAACTCCAAGGGAAATTCAAAACTGAAAGTCCGTTATAAAATGGCAAAATGAAAAGCTCAAACACATCAAACGAATGGAAACCAACTGTCATATTCAACAATAGACAGGGTTTATACAATATTTGTCAATGTATCTTAGTCGAAAAAAGTGTCAAAAAGAATCTGCTGAGATAATATATCCTTAGCTAAGAACTTTGAAGAACAAGATCCAACTCTCATATTATACTCTTTATTTTAGGTTGCCCCAGCAGAGTTAGAAGATTTACTCCTGACCCATCCAGCAGTACAAGATGTAGCAGTGATAGGTATGCCTGATGATGAAGCTGGAGAGGTACCTAGAGCTTATATTGTTAAAAAACCAAACTCTGATGCATCAGCTGGAGAGATATCTCAATATGTAGAAGGTGGGTTTTTTTCTAGTAACAATTTCATACAATGTGGCAGATACAGGATCTGATAAATGGAGCCCATCGAAAAAGGCTATTTTTCGAAAACATGTAAAATAACAACCTTAAAAATCAATTTCTTTCATATATAAAAATAAGAAGATTTGGTATAATTGCCATTGAGACAATTCTCCACAAAAGACCAAATGACAAGAAATTAACAACTATAGGTCACCGTACGGCCTTCAACAATGAGCAAAACCCATACCGCATAGTCAGCTATAAAAGGCCCTGAAATGACAAATGTAAAACAATTCAAATGAATGAAAAACATATATGATACACAGAAACAAACGACAACCACTGAACTACAGGCTCCTGACTTGGGACAGGTACATACATATATATATTGAAATCATCAGATAATTCTTTGTTTTAACTTTGGGTTCCCTTTTTTGTATTGTTCGAATTGTAATTTACTTAAAAGACAGTTTGACCATCTTTACATGAACTACTAAGAGAATACTGACTAAGGTTCAAGTTATCATCAATGTTTATATTTTGGGCACTTTAAAATTATTATTCATTATGCAAGCATAACTTACTGAGAAATCAACAGACTAAAACAGGGAGGCAATTAGTTATATCTGACAATGAAAGTCACATGATCATTTTTAGCTCACCTGGTCCAAAGGGCCAAGTGAGCAATTCTCATCACTTGGCGTCCGTCGTCAGTCGTCGTCGTCCGTCGTCGTTAACTTTTACAAAAATCTTCTCCTCTGAAACTACTTGGCCAAATTTAACCAAACTTGGCCACAATCATCATTGGGGTATCTAGTTTAAAAAATGTGTCCGGTGACCCGGCCAACCAACCAAGATGGCCGCCATGGCTAAAAATAGAACATAGGGGTAAAATGTAGATTCTGGCTTATACCTCTGAAACCAAAGCATTTAGAGCAAATCTGACACGGGGTAAAATTGTTTATCAGGTCAAGATCTATCTGCCCTGAAATTTTCAGATGAATCCGACAACCCGTTGTTGGGTTGCTGCCCCTGAATTGGTAATTTTGCCGTTTTTGGTTATTATCTTGAATATTATTATAGATAGAGATAAACTGTAAACAGCAATAATGTTCAGCAAAGTAAGATCTACAAATAAGTCAACTTGACCAAAATGGTCAGTTGATCCCCTTAAGGAGTTATTGCCCTTTATAGTCAATTTTTAACCATTTTTCGTAAATTTTTGTAATCTTTTACAAAAATCTTCTCATCTGAAACTACTAAGACAAATTAAACCAAACTTGTCCACAATCATCATTAGGGTATCTAGTTTAAAAAATGTGTCCGATGACCCCGCCCGCGAACCAAGATGGCCGACATGGCTAAAAAATAGTACATAGGGTAAAATGCAGTTTTTGGCTCATATCTCTGAAACCAAAGCATTTAGAGCAAATCTGACGGAATAAAATTGTTCATTAGGTCAAGATCTATCTGCCCTGAAATTTTCAGACCAATCAGATAACATGTTGTTGGGTTGCTGCCCCTGAATTGGTAATTTTAAGAAAATTTTGCAGCTTTTGGTTATTATCTTGAATATTATTATGGATAGAGATAAACTGTAAACAGCAATAATGTACAGCAAAGTAAGATCTACAAATAAGTCAACATGACCAAAATTGTCAATTGACCCCTTAAGGAGTTATTGCCCTTTATAGTCAATTTTTTTTTACAATTTTCATTAATTTTGTAAATTTTTGTAAATTTTTACAAAATATTTTCCACTGTAACTACTGGGCCAAGTTCATTATAGATAGAGATAATTGTAAGCAGCAAGAATGTTCAGTAAAGTAAGATCTACAAACACATCACCATCACCAAAACACAATTTTGTCATGAATCCATCTGTGTCCTTTGTTTAATATGCACATAGACCAAGGTGAGCGACACAGGTTCTTTAGAGCCTCTTGTTTTTATTATTAAGTTCTATAAAAATTCTGTATCTTTTCTTTTAGATAATGTTGCTTTTTATAAGAAGCTACGAGGAGGAGTCCAGTTCATTGATCTTATTCCTAAAGCACCAAGTGGTAAAATATTGAGGAGAATTTTGAAAGAGTCCCTAACTCAAGATTAAAACAAAACATACAGCGAAGCCCTAAATCCTTCTAAATTTGATACTTCTCAACTATGCAGTTCATGTACATGATAGGGTTATCACAGATAATCTTGCAGCAGGATAATTGTGAGATGGATAAATTTAGTGACATCTGTGGATGCCCTTTGATTTTTTTAGCTAAATTAAATATCTATGTCATAATATGTCATATTTTTAGCATACTACAATGGAGCCATATAAATTATCATAAGACAAGGACATACTGTAAACCAGCTAATTTTCGCTAGTGAATAATTTTCGCGACTTTCTCGAGTAAAAAAATAACACAAATTGTCATGAATACGTGAAACTTTGATCTACCATTATAAAAAAATATCAAGAAAATGAGAAGATCATAAAAATAAATCGATTGAAGTTGGTTAGACAGTACTTAACGCGAAATAAAGTATACACGAAAATAAGTTTGTTAACAGTAATCTGCATACTTAACTCATATGTCATTAGTTTACTTATAAGTTTCACATAGACTCAAGTGTTGCCAGATTTTCAGATTTTTTTTCTTAATCATAGAATTACAGTTGTATTGTGATTGTGATAATGTTCATTGCAAATAAATTTTATTGATATTTTACCCCCTAAATAATATATGGTATTTAAGCAATTTTTTTTATTTTGCAGCATAATTGAACTGATATTTTACAAATAATTTTTAGTTGAAATTAAAAATGGCAGCAAATTATATTAATAAATATTGTTTTTCATACATATATATTTTTACATTTCTGATCAAATCAGGGTTTTTATTTGGCAAATAATATGCATGTTGTCATTTTTTTCCTCATAGCTAGTATGGCATTATTTTTATGAATTAGTTATTTTATGTTACTTTCAGTTTAATTTATCTTTATTTCATCTTTTTGATGTTATCATTCCTAAGGTCATGTGACCTCCAACTGATGTCATCTGTACTAAGGTCATGTGATGTCCAATTGATATTATCTGTACTAAGGTCAATTGACCTCCAATTAGTGTCATCTGTACTAAGGTCATGTGACCCCCAATTGTCGTTGTCTGCACTAAGGTCAAGTCAAGGTTATTATCTGACAACATTTGGTTATCATTTGTTTCTTGACATCTTCAATTCATAACTCAAAGCTGAAATGTTTCAAGTCTTACTTTGGAAAAGCATTGAACAACTCGAAAGAAAATTTGTTCTTTTTTTTACAACATTGAACTTTTATATAAACACTTATCTTAAACTATCTTCAAAAGTCAAATTTTATTATGCATTGTACATTCTTTACTAATTGGAATCTAGAATCCATCGGGACCCCCTTCCCCAAAATGTTTTAAAAGTATTATGATCTTTATCTGTTCTATGCCAAAATTTTTAGTTTAGAGAAAATCTTATTGCTTTACAAAGTGACCCCAGAGGTGGTCATTTATAAACAAATCTACCATCAAGATTTTTGGATTTTTCAATTCTAAAAGTCATGCATCATGATTTGAAGCTTTGATTCACATATATATTTTCGATGAAGGCAAAAAAAAATACAAATATTATTGTGGACCAAAAATTGACTTAAAACTTAGGACACATGTTCTTCATAGTGTATTTTTTTTAGAAATATATGCTAAATTAGGGTTGTGACTCACATTTTGCAGTTCACTGACCATCGAAAAACCTTAAAACTACCACCTTAAAAACATATTTCTGTTATATATATATACTAAGGCCAATGGATTCTACTACATTGAAATGCAAATGGTTGCTGCCATGTGATGCATTTTTTATAGTTCTTTTTTTAGTTTTTACTAGCCAAAATGTTAATGCGATGTATAATACTGTATGATAGCATATAAGATATGTTTAATGTTTTACCTACCTTTTAATGAACACTATTAACTTTATATAGACTGTAAACACAATGCAAAATTTACGTTGTCTTACATGACATTAAATATAATTATTTATTTCTTTGTTTTTATTTTCTGACATGTTGGCTAATTTGCATCTCATAATCTTAGGAAAGAAGGTATAATAGTTTAACCCCCTGCAAAAAAAGTTCTTAGATATAGGAATCACTCTGTCTGTCAAGTCTGTGCAAGTTGTGTCCAGAAGTTTTGAATGCTGTGAATGATATAAATGATACTTATATATTATTGTTATCCATAACAAGAGGGTGTGTCACAAATAAGACTGGAATGTCTTTCTGCAAAGTCAAGATCACAAACTTACTTAACATGTGGAATAGAATCTGCTTACCCTTCCGGATCGATGCACCTGAGATCACCCCCAGCTTTTCGTGGGGTTCGTGTTGCTCAAGTCTTTGTTTTCTATGTTGTGTTTTGTGTACTGTTGATTTGTCTTTTTCTTTTTTAGCCATGGCGTTGTCAGTTTATTTTCAACTTATGAGTTTGAATGTTCCTTTGGTATCCTTCGTCTCTCTTTTTTTAAACTTTACATGCAAAAATTAGCAGAGGTATACTACAACTGGTTTTTATATATAAAGATCAAACACTTTTGCAAATAAGACAACTATCCATAGACCAAAAGAAAGATTTGAACAATTACAGATTACTGTAAATTCAGAAATTATTGCGTTCATTTATTATTGCGATTATTCAAGAATGGACAAAAATGGGAGTTTATTTATTGCGATTTTTGTGATTTCGAAAAAATCTTTATAAAGGTCTATGTTTCAGTTATCAGAAAGCGAGTTCTTATTTTGGCGATACTTACCCTGTCACATTATTCGCATTAATAAAAACCTCGAAATAATTTCTAAATTTACAGTAATGTATAGCCTTAATCAATGAGCAAAACCCATACCATATGGTAAGCCAGAACCATCATGAGAAAATGTGAAACAGTTAAAACAAGAGGCTCTCAAGAGCCTGAATCGCTCACCTGCATTTCAGAGGAGAAGATTTTTAAATGTTAGCAAACTTGATGAACAAATTGTGTAAAATTGTCTTTAAAGGGCAATAACTCCTTAAGGGGTCAATTGACAATTTTGGTCACATTAACTTTTTTGTAGATCTTACTTTGCTGAACATAATTGCTGCTTACAGTTTATATATATCTATAATAATATTCAAAATAATAACAAAAAACTGCAAAATTTTGTTAAAACTACCATATCGGTGGCAGCAACCCAACAATGGGTTGTTCGATTCGTCTGAAAATTTCAGAGCTGATAGATCTTGACCAACTGAACAATTTTACCCCCATGTCACATTTGCTCTAAAAGATTTAGTTTTTGAGATATAAGCCAAAAACTGCATTTGACCCTTATGTTCTATTTTTAGCCATGGTGGCCATGTTTGTCGATGGATACAAACTTCCGATACAATTTATAAACAAGATACCCTAAGGAACATTTAGTTAAAGTTTGAAGGTAATTGGCCCAGTAGTTTCAGAGGAGAAGATTTTTAAATGTTAGCAAACTTGATGAATAAATTGTGTAAAATTGTCTTTAAAGGGCAATAACTCCTTAAGGGGTCAATTGACAATTATGGTCATATTAACTTTTTTGTAGATCTTACTTTGCTGAACATTATTGCTGCTTACAGTTTATATATATATCTATAATAATATTCAAAATAATAACAAAAAACTGCAAAATTTTGTTAAAACTACCAATTCGGTGGCAGCAACCCAACAATGGGTTGTTTGATTCGTCTGAAAATTTCAGAGCTGATAGATCTTGACCAACTGAACAATTTTACCGGATGTCAGATTTGCTCTAAAAGCTTTAGTTTTTGAGATATAAGCCAAAAACTGCATTTGACCCCTGTGTTCTATTTTTAGCCATGGCGGCCATGTTTTGCGATGGATCAAAACTTCGGATACAATTTATAAACTAGATACCCTAAAGAACATTTAGTTAAAGTTTGAAGGTATTTGGCCCAGTAGTTGCAGAGGAGAAGATTTTTTAAATAGTTTACGACGACGAGGACGACAGACGACGGACGACGACGGACGGCAAGTGATGGCATAAGCTCACATGGGGCCCAGGGCCCCGGTGAGCTAAAAATGAAGGCTGACAGCTTGATTTACGCTTCAAAATTGTGCAAAGAACAAATATAATGGCAAACAGAAACCAATGGCAGCCCCTGGATTACAGGTTCTTGACTCGGAACATTCCCATAGTAAAATAGACGAAGTATAATTCAGTTCAGACATTTTTATACACTTGAAGAATACTCATGATACTTTGTAATATTGTTGTCCACTACCGGATGGTGTGTCAAGAATAAGGTTGAAATGTCTGCATGGTCAAGGTCTCAAACATAGTTTCAAATACTGCAAATTTAAATATTTTTTTATTGTTGAACAATGGGCAGAAATGCTTATTTAATTGTTGTGATTTCAGGAAATTCTGCATACAAATGCTGCATTCAAAATTTAAAATGTGAGTTTTTATTTTTGCAAAACCTAACCCATCACAATTTTATAAACACTACAAAAAATTCTAAATTTTCAATGTAATAAGATGAACAGGAAATTTTGACCGCTTTAAAGGATATTTTCATGCTTGATATTGTTATTGACCACCACCAGACAGTGTGGTGAATATGATTGGAATATATGTCTGCAAAGTTAAGGTCAATACTTCTTATAGTAAGATGAAGTAATAGAATGACAGAGATCATTTTGTGAGCTTTGCTTTCAGTACAAGTTGATTTTGTTGTTTGTCAATATTAATAGAAGGAGATGTCAGGTACACATAAATGAGACTGCAACCCAATGACAAAAATACCCAAAAGATATCTAGAGGGCAAAAATAATCCCCAATAATAATAGACAGTAAAATAGACCACATCATCCACCAAATACTGACTCCTTTGAAAAAAAAACCAGACATATAAACAAACAAAAACAAACCTAACCCTAACAGACAGCCTGACTTGGTACAGGCACAAAATGTGTTGGTCTTAAAACTAATACTCATTGCAGGTTTCATGTAATCTCATCATAAATATAACTGAAAGCACTACACTGCTACCTTTGCATAGGTACTATTTCTGTACTTAATTACACCTTATGTAAGAATCCTTGGTTTTGATTGGTTGATAGCCAGTGTATTTTTCACCAATTTACTGTTATCAAATGAATATCGTTCATTTTTTAACGCCGCCGGGGTATATGCAAAAAGGATATGCCTTTTTTACCCTCTCTGCCGTGGTATTTGCCAAAAAATACCAACTGGACGCTTGTAACATCACGATCATCAATGCGCTTAATGTTAACATTCGGTGTAATTAAACAGATATAGCATGTTCTTGAGGGGTATTTGCGAAAAATACCAGTCTTGAGAATGAATTTCCCTCGCCTTAATGCTCGCGAAATTTAACATCATCTCGACTGGTATTTTTCGCAAATACCCCTCCTTAACATGATATATCTGTTCAAAAAATCTGTAGTACTGGAAATTTACTTTTAATATTAAGTACTATTTCTTTACTTTAAAATTCTTGTAATATTTAGGTACCTGTATTTTACAGTACTTGATTTGTACTTGAAATTTTTGGTACAGAAGTAATACCAACAGTGATAACAATATTCCACGTTTGAAAATCATAAATCAAAATGCTGAAAATGTAACGGTGTAACCAAAATTTTGTAGTACTTAAATTTCAAGTACATATCAAGTACTGTAAAATACAGGTACCTAAATATTACAATAATTTCAAAGTAACAAAATAGTACTGAATATTAAAAGTACTATAGATTTTTGGTACAGAAATAGTACCTATGCAAAAGTAGCTGTGTATAGTATTTGTGAAAGGCTAGTGAGTATTTCAAATTTGCACACAAAACACTTCAAAACAAAGACGATAATTTACCATCAAGGCCAATTTTTGAAATATGAGTAAGTTGTTAAATTTTGCATATTAAATATTTTGAAATTTTCCGAATTGAGACAGAAGCAGAGATCAGAAACCTGAAAAAAAAAACCTCCAAATTGTGAAATTTGGTCCATATTGAATGTCTGTGATTTTGAAATGAAAAACAAGAAGGTGTGTATTCCTTCACTTTTGAGTTTTGTCGAGTGCATGTTGACATTTTATCAAAAGACTAAAACACCATACATGTCTTTTGAAAGGCTATGATCTGCTGTCATGGGTTCATGTTAAACTCTGCCATGTACATTATTCATCAGAGATTGCTCCTAGGTCTGATGCTGTTTTGAGGACTTGGGCCAGGGCAATCTCAAACTAATCTTTATTTGTCAATCCATAACAAGGATTGATAGATTGTTTCTTAAACATCTTGTAGCAAACATTTCATGCATATTCAGGATGACACAAGTCAGGAGTCTGCTATATTCCATTGACTGTGGTATTAAGCCATAATTGTCTTTTGTATTTTTCTTCAGCTTAACCAGGGATCTAAAATAGCTTACTTAACCACCTATGTTTTGCCCATAGCTGAAGGCCATACTGGGACATGCATATATGTAGATATTCATTTTCTTAACATTTAGTTTTTGGTGGATAGTTGTAGCATTGGTAATTTAATCAGCATCTCCCCATCTTGTTATTGGCAAAAATGTTACCAGTAGATATAATAACCTATATTTGTACACATAACACCACAAGGGCCTTCATAGAAAAGTGTTACCATTAAATTGTACCATAAAGATTATCCACTTTGTTGTATTAACAGATGTTTCTTATTGGTGATTGATGACACAGGGCTATTTTTAGTTGAGATATCCCATACATGTAATTTATCAGCATCTGCAACTATCATTGCCTACCACTTAATACAACAAAATCAGATTTTATAGAGAGTTGGTGACCTACCTCACTGTTCTGAGTATTAATTGAGGTCTAATGCAAATATAAAATTACATTTTTTTATTAAACACAAATTTAATAAATTTTTCAATTTTATTCAACTATGACATAAACAAATAAAATCAATAACATATCACAACATACAATTTAATTGCACTATTTTTACACTAACTTTTACATATATTTCTCACACTAAATTTTAAATACATATATTTCTAGTACATTTGTCGTAAGAGGACAACATTTGATATTCTAGGAGTGTCCAGGAAGATTTTTTCCAGATTTTCTATTGTTGCTTTGCATGCTTATTATTTTTCAGCTGCTTTGCCGTGCCAAAAATTATTTTCACTTTTGTACACAATTGTTTCCTGCATTTTATATTGCAGAATATTCATTTTCAATCCTCCTGACCCATATATACATACTATTATTCAAATAGGGAGAAATAACCTTGTTTTTATCAGTGTCATGCTCAGAGAGTATGAAAGCTATCAAATCTGAAAGTCCTTTAACAGTTGATTCTATGCAAGACTTTATACAAGCTCTTTAAAAAACAATTGATAAAAATATTTAACTGCCACTTATTTCATATTTTTGGCTGGCAATCAATTACTCCAAAATGTAGAAAAAAAATTTATGTGCCTTCTTGACCTATATTTTGAGTACATCTACTTGACAAGATTTTTGTGAGGTAGACAAATCCAGCCTTGAAATGATAAAAAACTCTTTTCATGTTCAAATAATGACAGATCAGTGATATTCTGATTTTTTTATATAAGAAATATGAATAATAGTACATTGTACTGAGAAATGCAATTTTTCTGTTAAGACACAATGAGGTTTACCTTGCATAGATGTCCCTAAAATATATTTCAATGTTTCACTTCAATATAATAAATTATTCAAAGAATGAATATGCATGATCTGTAAAGTTACTGTAAAATTTTGTGGTAGGGGTGAACAGCTGTCAGAGGCATTCTGTACCCCCACCTGTTTCATATACTTTAAATATCAAAAATACATACCCTTTCATATATTTTTTTACAAAAAATGTATCTATAGCTATCATGATTACAATATTTCATGGAGATATAAATAGGTTTGACAAATTTGTAATGCATTTATGACAGTGGTATTAATTACATCTGTGAAAAAATCTACAACTTATTATTTTCAGATACCGTTAAATTTGTTAAATAAGCCACAGGTTTTTTTCTCTGTCATTGTCCCTGCGTGTTATACTCAGGTGCGCTTTATGTACGTATTTTTTCAGTGTTTCAGGGCAAGTGTGAAAAAAATTATATCTGGATTTTTTTTATGGAGACCTTCAGATTGTCAAGTGCTTGCAGTGACTTGATAAATTGTAAATGATTTAATCAGCAACCTTGTCATACATTTCATCTTAATTTCATGACCTTATCATATATCATGAAGCTTGAAATAGTGACTTATTCCAACAGCTCATCCCTACCACACATAACTTAGTAACATATACAAATAATTCACAGATACATAGCAAAATCATTTCTTAAAATACTTCAAAAACTCTCATTCCTATTAATTCTGAGGTATTATTATAAAGTGCCTTGTGGCAAAGTAAACAACAAATTCCCTCACAAAATCTGTTCTCACACTATTGCAGAAAAAAATAATAGTAATTCGGTTTACCTTAAACCTAAAACATCCAATCAATTAGCATACAGGAAGTGTTAAAAGCACCAAATCATGCCAAAAAAGGTGTATAACATTTATAGTGATGCTGGCTCTATGGATTTTTTAAAGGTACCCTTATACAAAAAGTTTAGACAGAAATGAGTACAATGCTTTTCAAGCAACACAAAACCATGCATTCTTTTCACTAGACAACTCACAGGTTAAAAGTTCCAATAATTCAAAGAGTGACTGATAGCTAATAGGAAAAAAACAAACTACAAAAACAAAAACTTTATAAATTGAATGACAACAATTGCATCATTTCATTCACTTTCTCTAAATTGTTTAAATGCATATTTTTTTTTATATATTAAGGATGTAGTCTAGTGAAATTATAAAAATCTGGAATTTAAAATTGATACTATAAATCAGAAGAGCATTAGTTAAAGAACAAAATAAGCTAAAAATATTGATAGGTTATGGAACTCCTTTTCGAGATATTTAATTTAAAAAAATGGCGGGAAAAAGCTGACTCAGACTTTTACCTTTTATTTAGCATTTGCATTATTTGGGTCGCAAATCGTAAGAAAAGAAATCTAGAATCTGCTTAAATTTTGGTAAATGACCTTAAATGAGCTATTGAAGTCTTATATGAAAAGAAAAATGGGCGATATGGGGCAAAATATGTTACCCTGTATCGTAGGAAAAAATCCATGGAGTCAAAACATCTGACAAAAGTTCCTAAACCTGACATGACTACATCCTTAAATTCTTAATGCCATTTACTTGATATGTTATTATAAATCTATTTTCATGGACACCTGTTTTAATGAAGGAAATTTGTATAATGTTATTTTTAAATCTAGGAATTATCTCCCCTTCTTAATTTTGGTATAGGGTGTGATTATAATCAAAGCAATAAAGCTTCACATAATGGTCAGCACAAACTTGAAAACATAATACCTAAAAACCTATTATATAGAATGATATTTTAACTTAAAAGGATAGTTAAATTAATGATGGTGAAAAGCAAATGTTAATGATAATTATAGATTATCGTTGATCATCTCAACGAGATTGATTTTCTCGCTTGAGCCGGTACGGCGAAAGTGAGAAAAGAAATTGAGTTGAGATGACCAATGATAATCTGTTTATCTCAATTTTTACCTATGACGACGTTGTCAATTTCATGTCAATTTCATTAGCAACGCCACGTGCCCTCTTAATTTCTAGTGATAATTTTCATATCACTCGACTCCACTGAGAAAGGAAATTATCAGTCAGCAAGATCAAAGGAAAATTTCGTAAAATAGCGATAAAAATACATATTTTTCTTTTCTGACACAGAAAATATTACAAAAAATTATACAAGTAAGGTAACCATTCTTGTGATCTAGACAAAATACAAAGGTGTTCAAATCCAAGTTCTGGAAAAGATATTTTCATTTTGATCAACATATAATGAATAAAATTAAAATTTTGAAACTTTGTTGAGGGCAACATGAATGCAGAAGGGATTGAGCATTGTACAAGCAAGTCTGAGTGATGTTATGAATTAAGAGAAAGATTACACAGCAACCAAAAATGTGGATCGTGAAAATTAATTTATGATTTTTCTTACAATTGACTGAATTCATGTTATAATACTAGGGTTTTTATGGAAAATAATATACGAATTTCATTTTAAATCATAAAATTTGTATAAAGACTAATTATCCTTTTATTATATCATATATGTTTGTGCAGTTATGCAGGATAAATATCAAGTTTTGTGGAGATTATGTATATATAAGTTATATGATATTTACAGTAAATTTTTGTTACGATTCTCTCAGAAGTAAACTCCTTCATACAATGTAAACATGGAAACATCATAACTTAAAATATGTTTATGTAGGTATGTATACTTGTCAGGAGAACTTGTTGATTTCCTCCATTACTTCTATAGAGAAAATACTGTAAATTCAATTTTTTGGCAAAAATTATAACGAGCCAGCTGTCGCAAAAAATAAAAATTCGCATTTTAAGTAGTGACAGTATTATGTGTATGCTGCATTTCCTGAGATTGCAATAATTGTCCAACAATCCCAATGCTAAAAATTTCTGAATTTACAGTACATGTACTAGTACCCTATAAAGGGGATATTCTTGCAAACATGAAATAAGTATTCATATTCCCCATTTCCATTCTCAATTTTATTTTTATATACAGTGGATTCAGTGTTATTTGTGGATTTCACTGATATAATTGAACTACAATTTTAAGTGCTTAACAAATGGAAATTTCCTACAGACTTGTGTGGAGAATTCATCAAAACCACGATATCAAGTATCAAGGAAACTACATGTACATGTAGTAAACCTAGAATGTATATTGCATGGTAATATATGGATATAAACAGTGTTCCCTTATGTTTAAGATAATTTTGGTCATATTGTTCGAGAACTTCGTTTTGACATGAGAAAGAAAAGATGGGACTACGTTGTTGGCAAGTGCAACAAGTATAGAAAAGATGAAATGACAAGAAAGGAATATATCAGATGTGTGGCATATAAATTTACAATTTTTCCTCAATCAAGGATAATTGGTTCCACATAAAAATCATGAATCCACAGTATTCTATTTGGATGAAAAGTTCTAAGCTTACAATTTGAAAAAGTTGTAAAGTCACTGCATCAAAGTTGCCAATGTATAGTTGTTCACTGGTTACAATTTGATTGTTTTTCAACAGTTTTTGTTTATTATACATAAAATATTGCTTCTTGTATGCCATAAATTGCTCAGCATTATAAAACTGTAAACATCAATAACTGCTGTACTTAAGTAAACAGTGAGCATTTCATCACTCTAGTCACAACAATTGAGGCAGAACAATGGAGTTTCTGTTTTTTATCACCAGTTTCAAAACAAAATCAGCTAGAAACATTAAAAGTTAACGGTTTTTGTTACTGTTATCTTCTGGACTTTTTACCACTCTGAAAAAGAAAAGAAAACCAAGCTGAACTGTAAGCTATGGCTCACTAAAAGTACCCCCAATAAATAAACAGAAGTTTGATGAGTGATGATGTAAAAACGCATCACACAGTATAGCATGTTCACTTAAAACTTGGTTCTAAACATCACAAAGCCTTGTAGATTCTCAGAAAAATGTGATGAAAATTTCATACATGGCCATTCTGTGTAATAATATATCAGTTTTCGGTTAACAGGAAGTTTATCAGTAATTAATCAGTATGTAATTCTTGAGAAACCTGTGACCAAAATTTTATGTGACAGAAACACAGACAGATGTAAATAAGTATACCCCTCAAATGTTCACTCTGACACATACAATCATTACAATAAGAGGACTTTCTACACTTATGTACTATGAAACAGAGCTTATAAGATGAGTAACCCATGGGCCTTAAGAGAATGGACTACTGTAATCTAATTCACCTAGACTACATATGAAAAATGAGAGAAATATTTACTAGAGACCAATGTACGAAGATGTAAACAACTCTAGGGCACTGTACGGCCTTCAACAATGAGCAAAACCTAAACTGGATAGTAAGCTTTGGAAATAAACCAAATGAATGTGAACAAAATATGATTTAAAAGGGGGAGGGGGTAGAACTAGGGTAAGGTATATAACTCTTTAAAATCACTGGTACGTTTTTAACACAGATCAGTTCTGTCTCACATGAGTGCTTAAAAATCATTTATGAAACTGACTATTACAAACACATTAGGAATTTAAAGAGTTATCTTCCTTTACCAAAGCCTAGCCTCTTAAGCAAGCCCCAATGAGATAGTTACCCAGTTTGGTAAAAAAAAAACAAATATATATATATACAAACCTTGGAAGACACTTGTGTTCTTAGTTCATCAATTTCATCTTTTTGTTGTGTTAATTTTTCATTAAGTCCTGCTAAATGTTCACTCATCATACTTAATTGTCCTTCATAACTCTTGGTAGTTGTCTGATATTCATCCTGAAGAATAATGATAACTTAACAATGTTCGGTAAAATGTACACTAACATCACAATAAATCGTGAAACTTAACACCTCAGATTACAATAAATTGTGAAACTTACACGTCAGATTACAATAAATTGTAAAACTTAATACCCCAGATTACAATAAATCGTGAAACTTAATACCTAAGATTACAATAAATTGTGAAACTTACACGTCAGATTACAATAAATTGTAAAACTTAACACTTCAGATTACAATAAATTGTGAAACTTACACTTCAGATTACAATAAATTGTGAAACTTAACACTCCAGATTACAATAAATTGTGAAACTTACACTTCAGATTACAATAAATCATGAAACTTACACTTCAGATTACAATAAATTGCACTTTCATTGAAATACACGGTGAAACTTACACATCATGACAATATGTGGTAAAATGATAAACCCTCTGACCGATTATTTGAATTTACACATGAACAAAAGTAACACCACCTCATAGGGGACTTCAAAAGGCCATTTATACTTGATTTCCTTCCACTCATCTGATCTTAAATTAAAATCAACATTTAATTTCACAAAGGAATTCAATGTAAACATAGATCTCGGCAGGCAGCTATTTTGAATTTCCAATCACATCAATGAAACAACACTTGTTATGGACATTCAAAGTAACATATTTAAATTGGTTTTCAAAAGATTTAAAGGTTCTTAATAATAAGTTTTTCAGTCCAGTCAATCAATGACTAGAATAGTCCATGAGAGCCATGTTGGAAAAGATCTTGTGGTACAAGAAGAAGATTAAAATGTAAAATTTTAACAGATAAACAACAATAAATGATGCACACCAAGTGATGGCAACATCTCACATGACCTTTGATTAAGTGAGCTAAAATCTTGAGGTTCATGATACAAGCTGTCATTTAGACAGCCTAAGTATCTATTAAAATAACTTACTTTAAGTTGAGCCAGACTTTGTGCTGTATCTTTAAGTTCATCCTCAGCTCTATACTTAGTTTTATCTGCTATCTGTAACTGTTTGTGTAAGGCTCTTACCTGCCATAAACAATTTATTCATAAAGTTGAATAACAGCTTGTTAATTACGTTAAATCAGATATTATTGCAAGGTTTTTATTATTGCGAATAATGTGACTGGTTGAATATTGCATTAACCATGTTAACAAGAACTCACATTCTCAAATCTGACACATAGATATAAGAAGATGTGGTATGAGTGCCAATGAGACAACTCTCCATCCAAGTCAAAATTTATAAAAGTAAACCATTATAGGTCACAGTACGGTCTTCAACACGGAGCAACATATATATTTGTATGCAGTTTTTCCTGAAATCACAATAATTATTCTTACATTTTGGTCTATCATGTAATAATCACAATAATAAATACACGCAATAATTTCTGAATAGACAGTATTTTAGTCAACCAGAAACTTAATTGTAAAATAAATGGTCAGTACAGTTGATACAACACTGAATGACAACATTTGTGAGGAGATTTCATCACTTATTTTAGGCAGTTCTATCAATTGTATTCTTTTGAACATGTTCAGAAGATATCCATTACATAATAAACCACAGTGCAATTTTCTAGAAAGTGATTAATTCTATTATATTTTATTCAAAAGATATTTTAAGTTCCAAGCTGTTGAAACAAAATTGCTCAGGCAAAATTAAAAGCAAAATAGCCAAAATCCATCTGTTTCACATAAGCAATATTCATTTCAATTCTTAATAAATGCTTTCAATTCTCAATTTAGTTAGCAGATGTACTATACTATTTAGTAAAACAATTTTTAAAACTTACCTCCGAGTGAAAGCTAACAGATTTGCTATCTGCATCCTGAAGCTGCAATGTCAATTCATTTATACGATTGGTAAAATGGTTTTTAATCAGACTTTCCCTAGTCTCTGCATCTGTTCCAGGTGAGGATATAGCTTCTAGTTTACCAATCTGTAAAAAATATAATAATATCTTAAATTAGATTTGAACTACTGTGAATTCATTTATATAAATGGAAACCTCTTTTTGTGAATTTCAACAAAGAAAAATGTTTATTTTAGAGGTTCTTGATTTGTACTTATAACAAATTCTGAAAAAAAATCAGTAAAATTTCAAAAGATCATCTGGTAAATTTATTTGAAGTGTAATAAAGGAAAATGAATGGGGAATGTGTCCATGAGACACAGATGATGCCCCCGCTTGCATATCATATAAAGTTATAAAGGGACATAACTGAAGAACGGTAAAAGTGACACTACCCAAATTTGTACTTGATCTGAGTTTTGTGGTAATAGGTATTGTGTATAAGTTTCATAAAATTTGGTTGAGGCAAACTTAAGTTAGAGAATGGAAACGAAAAATTCAGCAATTTTTCCATTTGTAAAGGGGCATAACTCTAGAACGGTTAAAGTGACGCCACCCAAATTCAAACTTGATCTTTGTTTATTGGTAATAAGCATTGTGTTTAAGTTTCATAACATTTGGTTGAGGCAAACTAAAGTTAGAGAACGGAAACCAACTTTGGGACGGACGGACAAGGGTAAAACTTAATGCCCCCTCCACTATGGCGGGGGCATACAAAGAGTATTTTTCAACTAGCTGCCAACCCTTTCACGAAGTGATGTAGTACTCTAGCCCTGGTCCGCTTCATTGGTGTCATTAACACTCACACTTATGCCTGTCAATTTTTGGGACAGTTGACTTTTAAAACTAGAGGACTCTAGTTATACCAAATAATGTGGTGCAATAATACCAGCACAGAGAACTGATTTATCAGTTTTGATCCTGTAACGAACTATGTTGTATTGCAACACTTGTTTGTTCTCTGATATTATCACACCACCATACACTAGTGAGTAATTAAAATGGTAACGTTACTTTTATTCAAATGAAATTTTCAAGATGATTATACCAAATATTGAATAAATTTAAGCTTTCAAACTATAATTCAAACAATATTATTAGAATCATCAGTTTATTTTTGCTTAATTATCTTGAAATAATGTCAGTTCTTATAATAATACATAATAGTAAATATTTTCTAAATCTTATCTATTTTTTAAAATAAAAATTGCATACATCTAAGGGGAAGCAAATCCAGTAAAACTAAATTACTCTTCTGTGTGTTTATCATAATTTTCATTCTGCAGTGTTGAAAAGGTCATGTGACTTGTTTTGAAATGTGAATGCAAGTTAAGTATCCTAACATCGATGTACTTGTGTGGCATATTAGTATAATGTACATTTTCGTCCTAGGTTCAAAAATCTAAATACTCAAGATGGCCAGAGAACAGTTTTTCCGTAGTGCATTTCTTAAAGAAAATAAATTCAAATTTAAAAAATCGCACCTGCTCTATCTCAAAAAGATTTTTACAGTGTAGTGTTCTACTTTTGGGACAAGTCATATCAAAATTATAGAAAAGTCTACCATCTCTAACTCAAAATATGGACAATTCTATAATAAGGGGGTCTATAATTCAGTTTGACAGCTTCAGAAATACTAATTTTTGACCTTTTTAAATTGGACCAAATCACTACATTACCTAAACATTCATCACCCACATTTTTTTAACATGTAATTTCATCCCTCTACTTAATATTTCATGCACAAAATATAAAGAAAAAATTTGGAAAGAGTATGAAAAAATTTGCAATTTATACAATGTCCACACTAGGGACTATATTTGTAGACAACAAAAATCAAAGGATGATAACTGTGGGTAGTACCCTAAACCCCATAAAAAATATGTCAAATTTCCATATTTCAATCAAACTTCTTTAAATAATAAAAAAAAAAACACACTGCTTTTACATTACACTTTGTGCCTGAATTTCCCTAAAAATTGCCTGATTGGGACTTAGACCGGGATAAACTCGTTATCTATGTTCATATCCATAGATATGGTTAGTTTAACGGTGCTTTGCTTTTGCGCCAATTGGCATTTCATTTGAGCCAAAATAATCTTTCATTTGCGCCACAAACTATATTTCATTTGCGCCAAAATAAAACATTTCATTTGTGCCAATATTACAGGTAAATACAGGTAAATAGTATAAAGAATAGTTTTAATAAAAAGGGACTTTTAATAATAACTATAAAACTCAGTTTAAACTCAGTTTTTGATTGCATAATAAAACATATTCCTCCGAAATCAGTCATCCTAACCAAAATGAAAGCACTATACACTAAAACGTTCTTAATAAGAGACTTTTCATAATAATGTTATGTTCGGTTATAAATTAACGGTATCATAAAACCTAAAAGAAAGCACTATACACTGGAGTAAAACCAAAAGTTGGTTCTGACACAAGACTTGTAGGCAACGGCTCGGATGTACTCAATTACACAGGATAACCTATCTGTGTGGTCATAAAAAATTACAGACATTTCCTCTATATACAAATAAGGAGATGTGGTATGATTGCCAATGAGACAACTATCCACCAAAGTTTAAATGGAGTGGATGAAAGCCATTATAGACAAGTCAACCGTACGGCCTTCAAAAACCCATACCGTATAGTCGGCTATAAACGGCCTCAACATGAAAAATATGAAACAATCCAATTCTGAGAAAACTAACGGCCTGTTTGTCTCAGAATTGACAATGTCCATCTTGACATCTCAAACATGTGAACACTATATAATTTTAAATCTACATGACACTCTGTTTTATATTAAAAAATGAGTATGAACTTACTAAGTTATCCAGGGGGAATACTATTAAAAAAATCTTTTTTGCGATGTAGCAATGAATATTTAAAACTTTTCCGTTATATGTTACCTACAAAATGGCGAAAATGTAGTTTTTATTTTTTGGTGCAAATGAAATATAACCTTGTGGTGCAAATAAAAGATTGGATTTTGCAAAAATTGGCGCAAATGAAAGATTGGATTTAGCAAAAATTGGCGCAAATGAAAGATTGGATTTTGCAAAAATTGGCGCAAATACAATGCGCCTGTATATTAAGACCCTGCAGTACCCCAATTCTCAGTGTGTACAAGGAGAATAACTTATACTATGCCTTCTAATAACAGGAAACAAACAAATAAATCTTTGACCTTGCTTAGTTTTGATGGAAACAGTATGACCTTGTGATAAGATTCATCAATCCTTCTGTTACTAGTTACATACTTCACAATTATCCAGTAATTAAATCAAGTCAGCATCAAACTTTATAAATATTATGTGAGTAATACAAAGTACAAATTTATGCTGTTCATCTATCTATTCTTTTTCTCTGTCTATTTTTTGTTGGTTTTATTTCTATGTGATTTCATGAATCCAAAGTATCAAGTTGAACTGTGAGTTACTGCTCACTAACTAAACCCATGATTAAATTATTCGCTAAACAGGAAGTTGATAAGCAATAGATGTGAAAATGTATCACATTTTATTCTCCTGAGAAATAAGCAACAAAAAAATATCTGGGTATATTAAAAAAGAGGCAAAGGATACCAAAGGGACATTCAAACTCCAAGTCGAAAACAAACAGACAACATCAAGGCTAAAAAAGAAAAGAATATATATTAAATATCTAAATAAAAAAATCCCTTTCAATGGACTTTTCAAATTTTAATTGTGAAGTTACTTACTTGGCTGGTTAGCACTGAAGGCTTGGATTGAGTTTCACTGGTTGAGGCACTTGGCATTACTATTGTAATGTTATCTTCAATAGAATCAGTTCTTTGTGATCTGCGCTTTGTTTCTTGCAATTCTTTTTCTATTTTTTTCACTTTCTACAATTAGTTAAAGGTATTGTATTAACCTCATTTCTATATTTAATTATAATCATATTGAAATGGAAATGAACTTACCTTATATAAATTGGCCGAGACTATTTTGGCTTTTATCAAAAAAGAGCATTTTAAAAATTGATAGGAAGAAAAGAATAGCAGTATGCATGAAATATCTTTTGACAGACAGACAAGAGATCTGTCGATAGACCGACAGAATATATGTTGACAGACTGACAGAATATATGTTGACTGACAGTGAGAATATATGTTGACAAACAGACAAGATATATGTTGACAGACAGACAGAATATATGTTGACTGACAGTATGAATATATGTTGACAAACAGACAAGATATATGTTGACAAACAGACAAGATATATGTTGACTGACAGAGAGAATATATGTTGACAAACAGACAGTGAGAATATATGTTGACAAACAGACAAGATAAATGTTGACTGACATAGAGAATATCTGTTGACAGAATACATCTTGACAGACAGACATAATACCTGTTGTCAGACAGACAGAAAATCTATTGACAGACATGCAAAATATATATGTTGACAGACAGACAGAATATATGTTGACTGACAGAGAGAAGATCTGTTGACAGATAGACAGAATAAATGTTGACAGACAGAATATCTTTTGACAGACAGAGAGAATATTAGATGACAGACAGACAGAATACCTGTTGACAGACAGAATATATGTTGACAGACAGACAGAATATATGTTGATAAAAACTGAAGATCTGTTGAGAGACAGACAGATAATTTGTTGACAGATACACTGAATATTTGTTGACAGACATACCAATTATTTGTTGACAGACAGACTTAAGATCTGTTAACAGATAGACAGAATATTTGTTGACAGACAGACAAGATACATGTTGACTGACAGAGAGAATATCTGTTGACAGAATATCTCTCTACAGACAGACATAATATCTGTTGACAGACAGATGATCTATTGATAGACAGGCATAATATATATGTTGACAGACAAACAGAATATATGTAGACAGACAGACAAGATATATGTTGACTGAAAGAGATAATATCTGTTGATAGAATATCTCTTGACATAAGGACAGAATATCTCTAGACATACAGACATAATATCTGTTGACAGACAGACAGATAATCTATTGACAGACAGGCATAATGTATCTGTTGACAGATAGACAGAATATATGTTGACAGACAGACAGAATATATGATGACAGACAGAGTATATGTTGACAAATAGACAGAATATATGTTGACAAACAGAGTGAAGATCTGTTGAGAGACAGACAGATAATTTGTCGACAAGATACACTGAAGATCTGTTGACAGACAGACAGAATATTTGTTGACAGACAGACCCAATTCTATTGAGTCAGGCACATTTTTGACAGACAGACAGAATATTTGTTGACAGACAGACATAATTCTATTGACAGTCAGACACATTTTTGTTGACAGACAGACTGAAGATATGTTGTCAAACAGACACGATATTTGTTGACAGACAGAATATATGTTGACAGACTGACAGAATATATGTTGACTGACAGTGAGAATATATGTTGACAAACAGACAAGATATATGTTGACAGACAGACAGAATATATGTTGACTGACAGTATGAATATATGTTGACAAACAGACAAGATATATGTTGACAAACAGACAAGATATATGTTGACTGACAGAGAGAATATATGTTGACAAACAGACAGTGAGAATATATGTTGACAAACAGACAAGATAAATGTTGACTGACATAGAGAATATCTGTTGACAGAATACATCTTGACAGACAGACATAATACCTGTTGTCAGACAGACAGAAAATCTATTGACAGACATGCAAAATATATATGTTGACAGACAGACAGAATATATGTTGACTGACAGAGAGAAGATCTGTTGACAGATAGACAGAATAAATGTTGACAGACAGAATATCTTTTGACAGACAGAGAGAATATTAGATGACAGACAGACAGAATACCTGTTGACAGACAGAATATATGTTGACAGACAGACAGAATATATGTTGATAAAAACTGAAGATCTGTTGAGAGACAGACAGATAATTTGTTGACAGATACACTGAATATTTGTTGACAGACATACCAATTATTTGTTGACAGACAGACTTAAGATCTGTTAACAGATAGACAGAATATTTGTTGACAGACAGACAAGATACATGTTGACTGACAGAGAGAATATCTGTTGACAGAATATCTCTTTACAGACAGACATAATATCTGTTGACAGACAGATGATCTATTGATAGACAGGCATAATATATATGTTGACAGACAAACAGAATATATGTAGACAGACAGACAAGATATATGTTGACTGAAAGAGATAATATCTGTTGATAGAATATCTCTTGACATAAGGACAGAATATCTCTAGACATACAGACATAATATCTGTTGACAGACAGACAGATAATCTATTGACAGACAGGCATAATGTATCTGTTGACAGATAGACAGAATATATGTTGACAGACAGACAGAATATATGATGACAGACAGAGTATATGTTGACAAATAGACAGAATATATGTTGACAAACAGAGTGAAGATCTGTTGAGAGACAGACAGATAATTTGTCGACAAGATACACTGAAGATCTGTTGACAGACAGACAGAATATTTGTTGACAGACAGACCCAATTCTATTGAGTCAGGCACATTTTTGACAGACAGACAGAATATTTGTTGACAGACAGACATAATTCTATTGACAGTCAGACACATTTTTGTTGACAGACAGACTGAAGATATGTTGTCAAACAGACACGATATTTGTTGACAGACAGAATATTTGTTAACAGACAGACAGACTTCTTTTGACAGACTGACAGATCATTTGTTGACAGACAGATAAAATATCTGGTGACAGACAAGCTGAAGATCTGTTGACAGAAAGAAATAGAACAGAACAGAACAGGACAGACAGCACTTTGCATGTTTTTAATAAATACTGACTTCTTACCTGAATTTCATTGTCATATTTTATTTGTAAAAGTTGTAGTTCTAACATGTAGTGTTCTTTGTCTTGTTCAAGTCGACCCACTCTCTGCTGGAAAGTTGTTAACTGAAAAAAAAAACATATTTTAAAAGTCATTATTCCAGAAGGAATTTATTTATTTCTATGCTTTATACAGAATGTGCTGTGAGTAAGACAGTGAAAGATTACCCAAACTACATAGGAAGAAAGGGTACCCTAACATTTTAACAGTAACATTTTTTTCTGGCTAGCTGTTTTATAAGTGTTTCTCTGTGAATGCTTCAGTTGTTAACAAAGCATCTTTTTGTTTTCTGCATAACGTACATTTTCATGTTATTTACACTTATGTCATATTATAACCCCTTTAGATAGTCCTCCTTTACGTTTAACAAAACTGACCAGTGTATATGGTGAACAGTTGTTTAATTGTTACCTGTTTAGAGAGTCCCTCTTTACTTTCTGCTGAACTGAGAAGGGTTTTTCTGTTCTGAACTGCAGTTTTATGTGGAACTGATTCTGGACATGGCTGCAAACAGATTAAGAAAAACACTGTTGGATTTTTTTTTGTTCTCTTTTTCTGTACTAAAATTTTTACAATGTAGATTCTTCAACAAAACTAATTCCCATGGATTTCACTTGTAGAGACAGGTGTGGAAAAACTAAATAGACACACAAATAAATCAATTAGTAAAGCCACAGAGTATATTAGAAATTTAGAAAATAAAAAAGAAGACTGTTATCAGTATTATAGTCATAGTAGCCAAGGACAGGATGATCTTAGTTTTTACGATTGATATTTTTTTCAATGCTTTAGACATCATTTCTTGCTTTGATTTAATATTTTGTTATGTTATTCATTCAAGACCAATGACCTTTATTTTTATGAAACTTGTGTGATTAAAATTATAGGCTATTTATTTTGACAGTACTATTTAATAATAAAAATATAAATCACAGATAGCATTACATGTACTTACTATTGTTAAAAACGCTAATTAATTTGCAGTTTTTTTTTATCTAAACTGTACAGTAGCTGGGTTATACCAGTGTCTTCCTATTGAAAGTTCTATTCTAAGGTTATTACCAATACTTACTATTGTTAATAAGGCTAAATAGTTGGCAGCTTTTTGTCTAAACTGTACAGTGGCTGGATTAGACCTGGGTCCTTCCATTGTAGGGTCATTACCAATACTACTACCTCGTGTCCTGTAGCCACCTGTCTGACTGAAGAAATCAATATTTCCTGACAGGAACGATGATAGCTGTAAAAATAATTTGTCAAATTACACAAAAAAACATTTATTTGAAAACAAATTTTCCAGTAAGTTTTACTTAAATTTTATTAAGAGGTTTGAATTTTTTTAAATACAAATATTGGACAGGAAGAGCACATGTTAATCTCAGGTAAATTTACTTAAATAATACTGTGTCAATTGATCAACAAGAAATGATTGTAACAGGATGCTGTTACGAAGTCTCCCAAACGAAGCTCCCATAATTCGTAATTCCCAGGGTCGCCTGACATTGGGCAACGTCCAGTGAAAATTGGTTTGGTCCAGTAAAGTTATATGCATTAGTGATGCCTGGGGACTAACCTTGTATATCATTCAAATCATCTTGGCATGACAAACCAGAATATATATGGTTTAGGGGTGGGGATCTGAACCATTTACAAGATACTAGAATATTGGGGGTGGGGAGGAACCCCTGGGGACTGGCCCTATACGTCATTCAAATGTTCATTACGTGACGAACAGGAATATATATGGTTTAGGGGTGGCGATCTCAACCATTTACAAGATATTAGAACATTGGGGGTGGGGGAACCCCTGGGGACTGACCGTATACGTCATTCAAATGTTCGAGACATGACAAATAGGAATATATATGGTTTAGGGGTGGGGATCTCAACCATTTACAAGATATTAGAACTTTCTCAAATGGCAGGGGGTCGGGATGACCCCTGGGGACTAACCCTGTCTATCATTCAAACCATCTTCGCATGACAAACCAGAATATATATGGTTTAGGGGTGGGGATCTTGACCACTTAGAAGATATTAGAACTTTCTTAAATGGCAGGGAGTGGGGGTGACCCCTGGAGACTAACCCTGTATTTCATTTGATGTGCTTTATCATGACAAACCAGAATTTATATGGTTTAGGGGTGGGGATCTCGACCATTTACAAGATATTAGAACTTTCTCAAATGGCAAGGGGTGGGGTGACCGCTGGGGACTAACCCTGTATAACATTTGATGTGCTTTATCATGACAAACCAGAATATATATGGTTTAGGGGTGGGGATCTCGACCATTTACAAGATATTAGAACTTTCTCAAATGGCAGGGGGTCGGGATGACCCCTGGGGACTTACCCTGTATATCATTCAAACCATCTCAGCATGACAAACCAGAATATATATGGTTTAGGCGTGGGGATCTTGACCACTTAGAAGATATTAGAACTTTCTTAAATGGCAGGGGGTGGGGGTGACCCCTGGAGACTAACCCTGTATTTCATTTGATGTGCTTTATCATGACAAACCAGAATATATATGGTTTAGGGGTGGGGATCTCTACCATTTACAAGATATTAGAACTTTCTCAAATGGCAGGGGGTCGGGATGACCCCTGGGGACTTACCCTGTATATCATTCAAACCATCTCAGCATGACAAACCAGAATATATATGGTTTAGGGGTGGGGATCTTGACCACTTAGAAGATATTAGAACTTTCTTAAATGGCAGGGGGTGGGGGTGACCCCTGGGGACTTACCCTGTATAACATTTGATGTGCTTTATCATGACAAACCAGAATATATATGGTTTAGGGGTGGGGATCTCGACCATTTACAAGATATTAGAACTTTCTCAAATGACAGGGGGTGGGGATGACCCCTGGGGACTAACCCTGTATATCATTCAAACCATCTTAGCATGACAAACCAGAATATATATGGTTTAGGGATGGGGATCTTGACCACTTACAAGGTATTAGAACTTTCTTAAATGGCAGGGGGTGGGGGAGACCCCTGGGGACTAACCCTGTATTTCATTTAATGGGCTTTATCATTTAGAACATTTTCAATTAAAAAGTTTGTGTCTATCACGAACGGTTTTCAATTTATAATCATTTGAAAATTTAAAAAAATAAAATCCCATAGGGTTCTATAGTAAAACCCTCTTTTCTTTTTGCCCCTCAAAGTACCCCTTTATAAACCCCATTGCAAAAACAAAACCCTGATTGCACCACTAGACATGTTAGTCTAACATATTGTGAAACCCTAAGTTAATCCGACAAGCGGTTTTGGAGAACGGGTGCGGACAAGTTCAAATTTAAAAGCGGCGGAAGAAGAAGAAGAATAATAATAATAATAAGAACTGAGCAAAAACAATAAGTCTTCCCAAACTTCGTTTGGGAGACTTAATTAACATGAAGTATCAATCAAGGAATTAACAAGGTGAAATAAATAAACAGATTGAATAACTGGTTAAAAAATCTCATCCTATACATCATTGTTGCATTTGGTATAAAAACATTACCCACTGTAGCATTACTGATTGACAATAATTATGGTAAAGGGGAGAGAATTGAGAGATTTTTACTCTATACAAGAAAACTTTTATACATGTGTCCAATTTTTATTGCGAAATTTACACTACGTAAATAACTCGATATCCATCAAAATGCATAGCACAAAGCTCTTAAACTGGAATAATGAACACAGCAAAAATTTAACTGAGAACAAAACAAGGCAAGAAAATATCTGAACTTCCCTTAAAATACTGGTCTTAAAGGGGAGATTTTCATTTTTTAAAAAAAAGCTTGTAACAGATATTATACCAACAACAACAAACAACCAACTATAACCATACATATGATTGTAAAACAAAATAACTTACTTTACTTGTACATGTGACTAGAGATATCAATGAAGACACAACACATTCATCTGTAGTTTTGAGTTTCTGTGAGGCAGTAGGTAGTTGATGTTCTAGAGATACTTTAGAATTATAATGCTTGGATACATCTGTAAACATCACAAATATTAGTCAATTTTTGTACTAAAACAACAGCATATACAGTCAAACATGTATTAAGCAATCACTCATGGGAAATATTAAAAGTGACCACTCAAGAGAGTTGACCTTTTAAATGAGGTTCCGAAAAAAAAATGATTCCAACATCGCACGTGGACGGAATTGGGGCAAATTGTTTAAGTGTTTTCAAGCGGTCGAGTTATCGTTCGTGCAAGCAGCCAAATAAAAATGGTGAATTTTGGTGCTCTAAATTTGAATAAAACATTCAATATAGTTAATAATCGTAGAGAAATAAGTCGATAATACAATTTTCAATGAAAACTGAAAGGAGTGGAACAAGAGAAATTCACAAATTCACCTCCTATTGCGCGATCTCTGTTACAAACGGGTTCCAATTCTCATTTTTACCTCGATACTGAACACATATATTTTTCATCATGATTATATTTTGGTTGTTAAAAGTTGAAATGACGATTTTGTGTGAAAATTACCGGTAAGTGACCGCTGATCATGTTAGACAGGTGAGTGAGGTGACCACTGAAATGAGTTAAATTAAATAGTGAAAACATTTGGGAGGGTCTGAAAGTGACCTTTAGAGGCAGGTGACCACTGAAACTAGGTGATCGTAAAGGCAGGTTTGACTGTATAAGATAGATAAATCTGTTAACATCAGAAATATAAGTTCATTTGTGCACTAAAACAGTAGCAGTAGTATATTGTTCATGTACTAAAACAGCGCCATAGTTCATCCGTGTACTTAAACAGCTGCATAGTTCATTGGTGTACAGAAACAGGGGAATAGTTCCTTCGTGTACTAAAACAGCAGAGTTCATTCATGTACTAAAACAGTGCCATAGTTCATTGGTGTACTGAAACAGCACCATAGTTCATTCATGTACTAAAACAGCGCCATAGTTCATTGGTGTACTGAAAGAGTGGAATAGTTCCTTCATGTACTCAAACAGCAGCATAGCTCATTCAGGTTATAAAACAGCTGCATACAAGAATAATTCTGTGCTAAAGAATATGTGGATAATTTTCTTTGGACTTTGTGTGAAGATTTAATTTTGCTATTTTCTTAGCCTTCTATTTACATTTAAAAAAATCCAAATTTTCCATATTCACATTATTTTCGTATGTGCAAATGCTTATCAAAATATGTTTATTTACAGATAATATATAGATCCATATTTTTTTTTGAATTTGGAAAAGGACAATTGTGATTCTCTTTAATAGCTAGTTTGATACTATTTCTATAGAAATATAACGTTTCAAAAAATTCAAAAGATTTTAAAATTCTATGAGGAGAGCCTTCTTACTGAAAATATCAGTTGTAATCTAACTGAATTATAGAATTCAAAGAAATTATTTTTCTAAGTTTTAAATGAAATAAACAGTTTTTTTGATTCTCACTAATGTGCAAAAATTCCAAGGCGTTTTTATATATTTTACTTTAAATGACAATGCTTTTGAATTATATATGCATGTATATAGCAACAGATTTAGTGTCTCCACTGGCATTTATTTGAAGATATTAGTAATGTACAGAGGATGAAAAGAAATAAAGATTATCTATGGTTTTGAAAATGAACATGAGTTTCTCGGCTACAATCGCACTGAAGGGAGATAACCTTGAGATGAGATGTCGCTGAAAAACATCGTTGAGTTGTTTATCGCTATTTTCATAGGAAATGTCAATGACTTTGGCTTGTCCTCATTGTGTTTTCACTCTACTCGACTGAGAAAAACAATTCTCAGTGGAGTACCTTGATACTGAAAATTATCACACAAAAAGATTAAAGTAATATTCAAGAAAATATAGCGATAATGAAAGCTATATACATTACCTCTCACAGCATGGTCTAAATCTTTTAAAACTTGACAAAGTAATGTGAAGAATCTGGGATGATTTATTTTTGGATGCTGACATGTTTTAGAACCTACAAAATGAATGTTTAATACAAGTAGATGAAAAACAAATTTTTGTATGTACACATGGTTAATCCATTATTAAATACATTAATTTCATTTTATACAGTATCTAAACATTAAGAAACTAGCATTATAATATTTAAGGCCTTGTAAAATTATTTTTCTAGTTTTAAGGCAATTGATATTTTCAAATGTAGTGAAAGGCCAGTTTTTTTTGGTGCACTTTTTTTCTCACAACAATATCTGACAGAGATCAATGTGAAACATAATTGCTTTATTCTCTGATTGATTATATTAATTCATCAATCATTCCATTGTTTTCATTATTTATGATAATATCATATAAACTTGTGAATGAATATATCCATTTTAAAGGAAAACGGCAAAATAACTATGCTTATAAACATAAGCAAAGCTGCAGTACAGAAGTTGTGATTGCTGTTCAGAAATGGCTAAGCTACCGGGGGTATTCAATATTTTCATAGTTATTTGTAAATAAAGATTGTTTTGAATATTTTGATATTTTTACTATGAAAAAAGAAATGATATTCACTCTCAATTCTTACTTTGTGAGGCTAGAAGACTGATATAAGACTGTAGTTTATTGAAGACTTGATTTAGATCTTTAAATGATTTATGAAGGTCCCTATTTTTGGTTTCTAATGTTGATGTACAAGATGACACAGCACATTCTTCTTCAATACTGCAAAACAAAATTTACTTTATGTAATGTTGATATCATTGTACAAATACATTTGGTACTTTGTTGCAATGATTCAGAAAATGAAAATAATACTTAATAAATTGTGTGCATCGGAAGTGTTTTTCTCGTTGTACTTCATCAGGAACTTTCAAACCTAAATATTTGAAAACCAGGGATGTATAAATACGTAGAAACATTAAGAGCTACCTGACCAAAAGGGACTTAAAAATACCGGTAATAGCCAAATTCATCTAAGATCAACTTTGCCGGAGGGCGTTAAAAAAGCATATGCTATGGGGACAGGAATTTGCAGTAAGGTGTGAGCTTTTGCTCCATGTTGTATTTCAATACATTTCATGATTAAAATAAGTTATAAAACTTTTATCCACAATTACTAAATAACTTTCATATGTAGTAATCACTTAATTTATATGAAGATGTGTTGGAAGCTAATGAATAAATGTAAGACTTTTATAGCTTGTTATGAGTTATTGGTTTTGCTCATTGTTGAAGGCTGCACTGTGACCTATAGTTGCCTACATTCAGGTTTGTTGGTCTTTGGTGGATAGTTGTCACATTGTAATTGGCAATCATAACCCATCTCCAAATTTTCAAATATTTTTTTTTTCAGATCAATGAACCAGGATAAAAATATATATCTTGGCATTTCACTGATGAATTCCCATAAAAATATCATTTGCTGTACATTTTACTTTTTTTTAACCAAATGTGATATGTTAATATCTAAAAGTGTTACAAATTGAAATATATAATTGCCATATAATTATAAGACTTCCATTATACAGGAAAGTTTTATATTACATAACAAATTTTTAAGATATTTTTTTTTTACTGCTCATTATAAAAGCCTATATCTTTTCACATGTTCAAATTTTTTTTTTCAAAATTGGTATGACCCAAGACCAGCAAACTTGCTTATTTTCTCACCTTAATAACTGATACGGTAATAATTTATTAAAATATTCTATACAAGTGTTAAATTTTCTGGAGAATATCTGCAGGTCTGTTGCTGTCTCCTGCAATGCAAATGACACCTCTTCATAATTGTAGGATATGTATTTGTCATAAAATGTAATAAGTAACTTTATCTTAATGTTTTTTGTCAATAACAAAATCTAGTGCTGGTAGAAAATCGATGATACTATCTGCTAAATTACTCACATCTTTTTTCTAGATTCATATCTTGTGGTTTTTGTTTTGTAGGGTTGCTGCCTCATTGATGTATTCCCATATCTCCTTTTATTTGTATAACTAATATGGCATTCACATTCATTAACATAATGCATGTTCTTATTGAATCTTCAAGAGTGATTTTTCTGTCTTTTTCATTCTTTCATTTATAGAATCCTCACTATACACAATATGTGAAAAATTTGTGGGTTACAATGCCCACATTTAATACAATGAAAATTAGACAATATAAAGTATACTTAAATAAAACACTGAAAAAGAGACTTTTAATGACCCTTCAAGTTAGCTGTATTTGAAATGAACATTAAACAGGAAAGTACACAATTTATCTCCATTAAATCTATAAAGAGAGGATGTATGATTGCCGTAAAATAATCATAGGAAAAAAGAGCAAGGAGGTAAATACGTTGCCTGTTGTTGAAAACTGTATGGTCATCTCAATGTCTTTTTGGTTGTCATTTATTTTTTGGTTGTTGTCTCATCGAACTTACCCAATGTCTCTCTTTAATCATATTTCAAGTTTTTAAGCAAAAGCATTCAATAATTAAATTTGGGATGTTTTTTTTCAAATAAAAAATTAAATTGAGAATGGAAATGGGGAATGTGTCAAAGACAACAACCCGACCAAAGAGCAGAAAACAGCCAAAGGCCACCAATGGGTCTTAAGAATGGATTACCTTAGCCAATCAATAATTTGTGTTTGTATTTTTATGCTGAGTTATCATTAAACTTAGCAAAATGGACTCAAACAGAAAGAAAAAAACACAATAAGTTACTCAACCCAATACATGTATAAAGAGTCATGAACTGATACTGTATGTTTATCTCTCCTGAAATGACAAGATATTTTTTCGAGCCACAGCAATTGAACTGCAAAAAACAATTATGGAAAATAGAACAAGAAATCCTCATTCAAGAAAACAGTCAGCCTATGTCACTCATTCAATCCTACAATGTGTAGATTGACTACGAAGGCAACCACATGCATTAATTTGTAATGAAAATGAATTTGCATTTGTAATTTTAATAACTGTAAAAAAAAAAGACAATTTCTTTACATACCAATGTTGTTAATGTGTCTTCATTCAGAGTACTGAGGAAAACTTTGAAAGACTGTTCTAATGGTCGTAAATATTGCACATTTTCATGGAGATATTTACAATACTGAAATAAAAAAACAAGGCAAAAATATATCCATGCATATAAATATCTGTGGTGTTCTGCTGAAATTATTGTTCAACATTATTGCATTAAAGGACAGTACAACAAAATCAGGCAAAATAATATCAGCTTTTCTTTTTTGGAGGGAGGCTTCATTTTTTGTTGTTAAAACTTTGTGATGAAAGGAATTTGTTTTGGAAGGAACAACCTATAAATTAATGCAAGCAACTCTTCTCAGTCTCCCTTACCAATAAAATTTGAAGTTCACAGTGAAAGTTTTTTTCAGTTATTACCTGTAAGCTTGTGTTTGCAAAATTTCCATAATTCAATTATTTGCTAAATTTCATTTCAATTGCCATTTAAATTAAGTTTTATAATACACATCAGGAGCAGTCCTAGGTCATTTGAAAACAATGAAATGTAGGATTAAACAAATTTTTTTCTGAATGTTATTGATGTGTTACTGGCCCAATTAACTGAATAAAAGTCCAGACAAAATAAAGAGAGAAGTTTGTGAGTCAGTGGCCAATGATAATGAAAATCATGTCAGAATTATCAATAATTGAATATGTTAATTTATCATGCTGTCTTCAATTAAATTTTGTACATAGTTTTTTTTAATGCAAATGTATCTTATTCAATTGTTTTAAAAAAACTATTGTACTTTTTGCTGATTTTAATATTTAAAAAAAATTTAATTTGTAGCGTTGAAAATTTACCTGAATATTAACGGGACTCATTGGTTCACTAATACATTCTGCTGGGTAAATTTTAGATCTCTGTTCCGAGTATGTAAAGAAGTTAGACAATGCTTGGACCATATCTGTCAAATGGTTAGCTGTCTGACTGACTAATTCTCTGGCTCGTAGCTGGTGCTTTCTATCATGGGTGGGTAAATTCAAACCATTTAGTTCTCTGTTTTCTGTAAAATATTACAGCAATATATAAAAAAAAGCTGGAAAAAAATTCATGAAACTTTTTCTTGTAAAGTAAGTATAGAAAAATATTTTGCACATATTTCATTTTTAACATTTGTACATTGTTTGGCTTCAATATTTTGTTGTTTTGGATTTTGAAAAGGTACTGCAAGGAATTTCTTAAATGAAAACTGAAACTGATGTTGTTTTTGAAAGGCTAGGATTATTAAATCACCTGCACATATCCCGTAAAAGACAGTCAGTATATTCAAATTGCTTATTTCACAATTAAACTGATTAAAAGAATTTTCCAGGGAAAAAAAGCAGCAAGTAGATTCCCTATGTGTATACATACTTGTATCTATAAAAGGAAGTTTATCTGATATGATTTTGTTGGCATTATCTAGCTGTTTCTGTAGCTGACACTGAACGTCTGACAAACTTTCTTCTCTGTAATCATAAAAAAATGAATTCAATCCAATCACTATAACTTTTTTTCTGAATAACTGTAAAGTGAGAATTTTCAAGAAAGGTTTAAAATCAGTAATTTCAATATAAAGAGAAAATTAAAAAATATCCCCTGGCTTGAATTGGACTTGTGGAAAGTCTTAGTCAGGGACAAAAACAACATGAAATTATAACACTCAGAACTGCTTTTATCCGAGAATTTGTGAAATTTAAGTTCAATAAAAATAACAACATCACATTTCTACAAACACATTTTAAGATCTGTTAATCGATTCTGAAGAAAAGGGAGATAACTTTATTTTTACTATATATCAAACTGAATAAAATCTCTATAAAGCAGATGCATGTCAAACAAGAATGCACAAGTTGTCCTCGAAGCATACCACCTCTCGTAATTCAAAGTATGGGAAAGCAGAAAGTCGGTGTCTGACAACCTGAAAAGTGTACACACATTACAACTCATCACTGTTGGAACTGCTGACCAATATGAATTCAATCTTTTTCTGAGAAAAGCGGACAAAAGAACAGATGGATGGACAGACAGACAATGTGATTGTGATATAGCCCCCACTTTTAGAGTGGGGGTATAATCAAATGTAAAGCACGATTTGTAATTCAACAATTTTGTCAAATGTTGTGTTTATTATACTCATTAACTTTGCTACGATAATTATTACCTCTGTAGTCAATGTTAGAAAAATGCAACTTACGCTTTTTCTGATCGTGATCTGTACTTTTTCAAATCTGTTTCTATTGTCTGTAGTTTAACCTGTAAGTAAAACACATAACTACTAGATTGTTAAGTATAATTTCAGACTGCAAAAAATTGATCTTTGTACATAAAATATTTCAAGTTTTCCATCACTATGAATGATATATATGTTTTTAACTGTTATAACCAACTTTTTTGTTTTAAATGTTGTTTCAATAAAAATTGAACCGACTATACCTTTGAAAAATTAACAAAGCTCTTGTTTTAGATGTTTTTACAAAATCTAAGGTTATATTTGGGAGGGCAGGAGTTGTCTACCCTTGATGGATAAATTGAAATGACAAAATCCTCCAGGGCTGTGGTATACTGTGTAAGAAAGTAAAATTGTGGATTCATTATTATTTGTGTGAATCCTCTTTTGTGGATTTCATGGGAATAGGAAACAACGAATTTAAACGTTCAACGAAGCATAAATTTTCTATAGACTTGTAATCAGACTTTGAGCAAATCCATGAAATCCAATATCCTGTTATACAAATATCATTACCCACAAAAATAAATGAATCCACAGAAAGTGAAAATATCATTGATTCATGGATTTTTAAATATGATGTGTCAGAATGTGAACAAAACTAATCAATAGATAATACACATTTTATAGTCTGTAGTGAAATATTATATAGGTTTTTATCATTGTTATAGGCTGCATGATGATTATTTTTTTTGGGTATTAAATTTCCTAGTTTTAATCAATCTAAAAAATCCCAAAAATTTGAACCCCTTCAAATACAATTTGATCCACAGTATTTTGACTTACCTCAATCATGGCTTTTTCCTCCTGCAGTCTGTCTATCAATACTTTATTCTTCTGTACATTTACATCATTGACTTCTTGATGTTGATTAAATTTTGTTTCATATTCTTTAACTTTTGCCTCAAGTTCTTCTATCCTTCCTTGATACATGCGAGTACTATCATCTACCTAATAAAATATGTGGTCCAATTTTACAACTTCACACTATTTAAAACTACTAACAAATTCATTGTAAAACATCTTTTTTATTTTATTTTTAGTATTCCTGATTTTATATTCCTGTATATTCCATAATTCTTCTGGTTTCAAAATACTAGTTGCAAGAATCATGTGTTAATGGCTGTTAAAATACATATAGTACCAAGAGATTTCCCTTCTTTAGATAGCAACATCTCTTTAATGTTGGTATAATGTATGCTCATATGTAACAGACTAACCAGTCAGAGTGTATGTGAACTCACCTGTTTACTAAGCATAGCATTTTCTTCAATTTTCCTTTGAAGTTCTTCATTGAATACTCCTGCTGATATTGGGGATGGGTTGTAGCTTGTATCTGAATGTTTGTTCTAAAAAATATTTCAAATCCTTTAAATTCAAGAAACACTTAAACATACATTTCTGTTCTATTTATCTCTTCTTTCTTCCATATACTGCCCACTTTAACATTACCATTTTGTATATCTATTTATCATATTCAACAAACGGACCAATTTTATCAATGTCCTAACAATACTTTTGGAGTTCTTAAATTCACAAAAATTGTTAATGGACAGACAGACAGACAAAGGGAAGACTACAGGGCTTCCTGCATCCTCAATGTATGGTCCTAAATATTAGGTTTAATCTAAATCGTTCAAACACTTTGTTCATTTTAAAACTTCTTTTACATTTGTTGTTTGATACTGTTGAAAACAAATTATCTGATTGATTGATTGGGTGAATTGATTGATTGGCTTATTCAGTGGTAAAAAAACATGTACATATTTAATTTGTTTTCATGATGAAAATTTATGACAAAAAAATCTATTTCATTGACCAAGGAAATAATGTGGAAAAGTTATTAGCCAGCAGAAAATTAGGACATAGTTGGTAGGGACAATATTTGGCCCTGCAATGTAACCCTTCCACAGAGTAGTTGAAAGAGTTGTAGCGCTCTCCTAAAAGTATGTATCAGATTTACTGAAATATTTACCTGTAATAAAATGTAAACCATTAATTGCAGTAAAACCGACCTATGTAAACCATTAATGTCAGTAAAACCTACCTATGTAAACCATTAATTGCAGTAAAACCTACCTATGTAAACCATTAATTGCAGTAAAACCTACCTTTCCCTTTTTCTTATGTGACTGTGCATCATCCAATTCATCTTGTAGTAGTAATACACGTTTTGATAACTGCTGATTTCTAAAGGTTAAACTGTCAATCTCCTGTTCGAATTTCCTGACAGCTTGCTCTTTTTCCTTAAGTTGATCCTACATATACATAATAGAATAATGACAAATGTAAATAAACTGCTTCACTGAGCGCAGCTGGATACGCCCGCAGAGGTCCAACCCTGAACAGTTGGGGCAAAAATGAACACAATATTCAAGCTTGATACAGGTCTGAATTTGGATTGTAATTAAATATTTGATATATTATAGGTTTCTGAATAAATGTAGTCAAAGAACTTGAAATTGGTTATATGAAAGATTTCTTGCTGTTGTGCAATACACTGTGCTGTTGCGCAATACTTAGTAAATCTGTTGTCAGACTATAAACAAATAAAATCTTATAATTCGGAAACGTACAATTGAAAATTTATAAAAAACAAAAGGGAGCTTACAAAAATAGATATAAACAATTTACCAAAGTTTCACAAAAAATGCTGAAAGCATTTTTGAGTTATTGTCCGAAAACTGGAAAATCCCCCTTTTTGTAATGAATAAAACCCCATAAATCGGAAACGTATAGTCTGAAATTTATAAAAATCAAAAGGGAGCTCATGTCGATAGAAATAAACAATTCTCCAAAGTTTCTTGCAAATTGGTGAAATTGTTTTTGAGTTATTGTCTGAAAACTGGAAAATCCCCCCTTTTTTAATGAATAAAACCCCAAAACTCGGAAACGGTAAATCCACAATTTATAAAAAACAAAAGGGAGCTCATGTCAATAGATATGAACAATTCACAAAAAGTTTCATGCAAATTGGTGAAATTGTTTTTGAGTTATTGTCCGAAAACTGGAAAATCCCCCCTTTTTTAATGAATAAAACCCCAAAACTCGGAAATGGTAAATCTGAAATTTATAAAAAACGTTAATTAGAAGCAAAACATCATATTACTATTCAGTTTGTTTTTAACATATACAAGTATTTAAGTCAAACTGTATCAATTAAGAAAGTACATTAGGGTAATTTATTATTTCAGTACAAAGTTATACAAACTAATTATATTGTATCATATAGTACAAAAATAAATGGAGAATGTGACCATGGGACACAGATAATGCCCCCGCTTGCATATAACGTTATAAATGGACATAACTCAAGAACAGTAAAAGTGACGCCACCCAAATTTGTTCTTGATCTGAGTTTTGTGGTAATATGCATTGTGTATAACATGTATAAATTTTATAACATTTTGTTGAGGCGAACTAAAGTTAGAGAACTGAAACCAATTTCGGGTACAATGTAGTACGATTATACATAGGGACGTACATGGACAATGGTAACAATTAATGGCCCCTCCGCTGCAATGGGGGCACAAAAAGGGTTTTAACAGGAATTGCTAAAAATACTGGACAGTATAACAGACCACATCAAACATCAGCACCCTCTGACATACAAAAACAAACAAAAGCAACAAAAAAAAACAATGATCCAATCAGCCGGACTTGGTACAGTTAAAAAAGTGGTAGCGTTAACCCGAATATCATTTGTGCATAAATCCTTTTGCCTATCAGATACCATTTATATACATTTATGTGTATATGTGTACATATATACAAACACAAAAAAAAACCTGCACAATGCAGTTACCATCAATATGATCACTTACTTAAATGAATACATGTATAAACTATGTACTGGTTTGAATTAAAATACAATATTGTTTAACATACCTTTACTTCACTACATGCTGTTTGTTCGTCTATATATGCCTTCTTTAAAACAGGAAACTGTGCCTTCAACTGTAATGTAAATATGAATTTCTAACCCAAATAAACAACACCTTTTCTTCATTTATATTCAAAATAACAAGCCCACAAACATATTTGACATAAAAATCAGACACAATATAAATCAAATTTACCATCTAAGAGTTATACAACATTTTACAAAATGTAACAGTAGGTACACAAAAATAAACCTTTTTTCTACCTTTCAAATCTCCCAAGTTCTTACTACCTCAGTGTCTCCCCATAATCAATAAAAAAAGTATATTATTATGACATCTTGGATAGCGTGTCGAAAATGTTCCACAGACGGAGAAGCTCGGATGTCTGGAGGTATGTTGTTCCAGGATATGATGGTGGCAGGAATGAATGAGTACTTGAAACAATCCAGTTTGGCCCTTATCTGTCTGCTGTTATTAGACGCCGAACCAGGGGTTCTGGTGTTATGGTGGTTGATCAGGTGGTGAACAGGAACTTCTACGACATGATTTATTATTTTGTAGAACATGATAACTCTGTTCCTGGCTCTTCTGTGTTCCAGTGGTTCCCAACCTAGTTTTTGAGTCATTTTGGTTACGCAACCAAGTTCCCTCGAGAAGAAGTCCCCCATTCCAAATCTGGCAGCCCGGCGTTGTACATTTTCGAGTTGTTGGATTTGCTGATGCTGGTAAGGATCCCAGACAGCACTGGCATACTTGAAGACAGGCCTCACTAAAGCTGTGTAGGCTTGACTTTTTACTTCCCGAGGACAACTCCTGAGGTTCCTACACAGGAATCCAACAGATCTGGAGGCTTTTGCTGTGGTCTGGTTAATGTGTTCACGCCAAGACAGGTCCTTGCTGATGTATAAGCCAAGGTATTTCCCTCCTGGGACGCTTTCAAGGGTGTGGCCATGCAGATGGTAATTGCATATGGAGGGTTTGCATTTCTTGCTGATATGGATGGTGGTACATTTATGTGGGTGGAATGCCATTTGCCAATCGTTTTCCCATTTTTCTAGTTTATTAAGGTCGTCTTGCAGCTTGGTGGAATCGCTAGTGGATCAAATAGGACGATACAACAGGCAGTCATCAGCAAAAAGTTTCACGCTAGAGTTAACAGATTCTGGGAGGTCGTTTATGAAGACGAGAAAGAGCAGGGGTTCCATTACTGTACCCTGTGGTACACCAGAAACTACCTCTGCTTCATCTGACATTGTTCCCTCCCACTAGGAAATGTTGTTTCCTACTGTTCAGGAAGCTCTCCACTCATTTGAGAGTAAAGTCACTGACTCCGTAGAATTGGAGCTTATGGAGAAGTCTCTTGTGTGGCACCTTATCAAAGGCTTTGGCAAAGTCTAATAATATTGCATCAATTTGTTGGCCATCTGATAGTCCACTTGCCACTTCATGAATTGTGGCAATCAGCTGTGTCTTTACAGTAATACACCTACCAAAACTCAATTCTCAATTACAAAATTTTTAAACACAAAACCAATAAAAAGGGAGCGAACCTGTAGGGTGCCAACAGACTTTAGGTGCGAATGTGTAGGGTGCGAAAGTGAAAGGGGGCGAACGTGAATGGGCATGAACATGTTTTTGGGCGAACGGACCCGGATTCACCTCGTGTTAGTATCCTCCTCTGTGAAGACTGATTTAAATTGGTTGTTGAGGATATTGGCTTTTATCTTGTGCTGCTGTAGGATTCATTAAGCAATATATGATGAATTACAAAATGGAATTTTCTATCACTGTAAATTGATTTTTCCAATTTAGTGTATAATAGACGTCATAATACCCATGAATGAAGATCTTCCCAAACCTGCTGCCTGGCATGTATATATGAATCCTAAAGCAGCATGAGATAACTGTTTACAATTACAGCAGAATAATTTTCGATGATAAAATGAGAAGCAAATAAAATTCATCAACAGAACCAACTCCCAGTCAGAATAACAACAAACTCTTAACCTTAGTAAACATCGGACAGTGACAGTCTAAAACACTAACACTGAAAAGGGGGCGTTGCAATTTACGGATGGTTTGAGAAAATGAAACTATTGTCCGAGATAACATTGAATAATTTTGGATTGGTTATCTTGTTTGTTTATCTCTCTCGAATTAATTTAATATGGATCAAACCTTAGCGTATTCGCTGGCTAATTTCTGATATTTTGCTGCATCTGCCATCCTCCACCCGGAAGACGACAACTGATAGATACTACTCTTACCGAAAACGGAAACATTTTCCGGATCTGTAAAGATCATTCTTGAATGAGGCTCTGGATGGGGTTACAGAATACATAATTTCTTGATTACATAAAATACATCAATTAACTGACCATGAGATGACAAAATTAATTACTGACCCTTAAAAAGTTTGTGAAAAAAATTGCCAGTTTACTAATTAGGACTTTTATCTACACATATTGTGTTCCTGATAATTTTCGCATTTTCCATCTTTAACCTAGCAGTAAGCACCCCTAAAGTTATTTAGATAGCAGCCACAACTGCAAAAACAGAAAAATCAACATTTCAGGGCCAATATCTCCGAAAAAGGTTGTGAAATTTTAGAGTAGATAGATCTTGATGTCATGCTGATCATTTTTTTTTCTTCAGTTTTTCACTTTTAGCTTAGCTCCTGTAGTTTTTAAAATAACAGCAAAAAATGGAAAAAATGAAGAAAACAAATATTTACCCTTTTAATCTAACTCCTAAATTTTTCACAATAACAGCCAAAAAAAATTTTTCCTGCATTTTTTATTAGTTGTAATCTCTGTCCTGCCTTTTTATTTTTCACTCTATTCGGTCCTGCCTTTTTTTATTAGTTTATCCTGACTTTTTTTACATAAATTGTCATCCTGCCTTTTATTTTTTGCAAAGTTGCTCATCCTGCCTTTTTTTTTACTCAAAACTCCTGTCCTGCCTTTTTTTTTAAATTTCATCTTAGCCCATCAAATTAGGTAACTTGCTATAAACAGAACCTGGTGATGAATCATACTGAGCAGTTTCAGTCCTTCGTGGACTTTTTTTACAGTTAGAATGATGAATTAATTGTCGCACTCTCTTTCTTTATATATACTAGAACACACCCGTGACATCGCAGGTAAGTGACTGAATTAAAGTATCTACGCCTTATTTTTAGCCTGGGTTTTTTAGTATTCGTATTGTCATCTGATAAATTCATGCTGATGATAAGGTGCACAGTTTTCTCTGCTTTCATAATCTTTCTGTTTAAACCCGTCTTTGTTTTCTCCCTACAACCTGAAACTACATGTGACAATGAGTGAATTTAGTGTGTCAATTCCTGTATAATGACGAAGTTCAGGTGTGATTATGAGCGGTGTATATAGCAAATCCCAAATACACCGTTTGGTGGTGCCCCCAACAGAGGCAGAACATACAGGTTAGTTAAGAGGTAACGGGTGATATATACTATTGGTATCGGTATCGGATTCGACCTGGAACTTGTTAATTATTGGTAATATTAATTATGCGGACAAAAAGGCTTGGAACGGTATACTTTTTTATCAACACTTTTGTCCTATATTAGTTATATATAGAGTTGAATTCTTTGATTCGTTGTTTTTACGTCATGTCAACTAACAAATTCGACCAGGTTATTTTAGTAGTAAAGATATATATATATATATAGCTTGTGATAGTTATCTGTGTCCCTCAATCAATCTTCTGTGTACATTGAATTTATTGTGAACTGTTCATATTTCTTCGACTTATGATGACTATTGTTTATGTGTTTGTCTTTTTTGTCTTTTGGTAATGGTTTTTGATTGGCTCCTTGGTAACTTCTACCAGTTTTTACTACCATTATTAAGGAACTCATATTTATGCTCAAATACTGTGACAACTGACAAAGCCAATTATCAATTCTTGTGTTCTAAAAATTCTTTGGACATCATTTGTTTTTTGGGCCCACTGAGGGATGCACACATGGCTAAGGTTCAGGTTACTTTTACTAATATTTCAGTATGTTTAGCCATGCATGGCTAACCCTCCTTAATTTGGTTAGTAAGATATTTGGATGAAAAAGTATTGTTTCTAAATAACCAATTTTGTTCATAAATACCATCAAATTTTATCTTACTTAACTTCGACTCTAAATACTAAATGCAACTGTTGTCCCTGCTAGCATTGGATATTATTCTTAGAACTTCTCACAATAATCTTTGTACTAAAAGTGGGACAACTTTTCTTTTCCCATTGTTAATTGTCTTTTCTTGATGGTAATGTTCGATCGGTTCCCATTTATGACTTTTTTTTTGCTGTTTTTGGCTTGTTGTCTCTTTGACATTTGAAACAATGTATAGAAAAAAATTACTTATGAAATTATCAAGGAAGTTTTCATATCCAAGTCCATAATTGCTCTAGTAAACCAGTGTTCCTCATAACTAATTTAATCTTTCAAAAGAAAAAGAAGGTCAATCACTGAAATTGGATGATAAGAATATTTTTTATTATACCTCACTTGCTTCATACCAAAAATTAACCTGTTGATCACAACTTTTTTAAATCTTCATGTTTTTAGTTTTATGCTTTGTTTTCAGCATAACAAAGTTTTGTTAACTTATTAGGTTTTTTTCTCTCTATATTTTGTTAATTTTTAGTTTTTAACTAATCTGTATGTGCTTTTTTCATGTTGCAAACCCCTTTACAGCTGTTTACTTTTGCTTTTGTGTTTTTACCCCATAAGTCCATGCTTCAATATGTGTGTTTAAGTTGCTTGATAGAACTTTTGTGTTTTATGTATTGCTTTCAAAGTCTAATTTTGTTGATACTGCATGTATTGTTTGATTGTTTTTATTTTGAGAGTTTTAAAAGCTCTCCCCAGCTTATGTTTGTAATTGTCTTGTATATGCAGACTTTAAATAAAGCTTTGTCTTATGTCTTATCAGTTTGTGGAGATGAATTCAAACTGCAACTTGGAAGTATATTTTGTCCATATTCAATTAGTATTATGAAAGGGAAAAGCCTTTCAAATAAGCACAGTAAGATGTTTTAACCTGAATCCCTTTGTTTCTTTAAATCTAATGTAAATAAATTGGGAATGTGTCCATGGGACACAGATGATGCCCCCGCTTGCATATAACATTATAAAGGGACATAACTCAAGAACAGTAAAAGTGACGCTACCCAAATTCGTACTTGATCTGAGTTTTGTGGTAATAAGCATTGTGTATAGGTTTCATACCATTTGGTTGCTGCAAACTTCAGTTAGAGAACGAAAACGAAAAATTCAGCAATTTTTTCCATTTGTAAAGGGGCTTATCTCTAGAAAGGCAAAAGTGATGCCACAAAAATTCAAACTTGATCTGAGTTCTGGGGTAATAAGCATTGTGTATAAGAGTCATAACATTTGGTTGAGGCAAACTAAAGTTAGAGAACGGAAACCAATTTCAGGATGTACGTACGTACGTATACAGACGGACAAGGGTTAAACTTTATGCCCCCTCCACTACGGCAGGGGCATAAAAAAAATGTGTCAAGCTGCCATGATATTTGTAAAATGAATTATTGCAACCAATTATACCTTTCAGAAGCCCTATGTTTCATAATTCTTTCACAAGCATTATTATTGTGTCTACTTGTATCTGTATGCAGCCAGAGTAAAGCCAGCCCTACTTAGATGAACAAAAGAATATGGATAGTGGGGCCGGGCTGGCTTTAGTTTCCATGTTTATGTCAGGTGATCATTGAAATCAATTTAAAATGAAAATCATGTTTTCTATGAAAATAGAAAATATCTACAAACAAATACGATATATACATGATTTAATTATGACGACATAAAATATGAAAAAATATGACATGATTCATAGTCCAACAAATTACATATAGAAATATTGTCTTTAAAATTTGAATTCTTTGTATTTTTTGGACGATTTTCCACTGTCTTGCTGTTTCTTTCGTTTCTGAAACAAGAAAAAATTTAATAAAACTATATGACTATATATTTTTATTAATATCAATTATTATTCTGTTACATTCAATTTTGCACTATGTGATGGAAATTATCAGAAATTTTAAAATGCAAAGCTTTTTTAGAAAAAAAAATATAGCCTTGATTTGATAAAAAGCTGTAAAACTTCTATGAATCATTATCATTGTAATAGACGTGTGTAGATTAAGACACATTAAATAAAATGCTCCGCTGGGGCGCAGCTTGATACGACTGCAGAGGTCGAACCCTGAACAGTTGGGGCAAGTATGGACACAACATTCAAGCTTGATACAGCACTGAATTTGGATTGTAATTAAATATTTGACACAGCATAGGTTTCTCACACAGAATAAAAGTGGTCTAAGAACTTAAAATTTTTTAATTTACCTATTCAAACCATATCATTATTATTTGCTTTTATATATAAATCAGAAATAACCAATTTAAAATGGAAAATTTTAAAGAAAAAAAAGGAAAAAAAAATCCCCCCCCAAATTTTTTGAACCCCCTTATGATTCATCACCCCCAAACTCAATCCCAGCTTTCCCTTTGTGGTATGGTACCTTGCAGTACAATATCAGAGAGATCCATACACTTGAACACAAGTTATTGTCTGGAAACTAGAAAAATGCTTGTTTTTTGGCCCCTTTTTGGTCCCAAATTCCTAAACGTTTAGGGCAATTAACCCCAAACTCAAACCCAGCTTTCCCTTTGTGATATGGAACCTTGCAGTACAATTTCATAAAGATCCATACACTTACACACAAGTTATTGTCCTGAAACTAGTAATGCTTGTTTTTTTGCCCTTTTGTGGCCCCTAATTACTAAAATTTTGAGGGAATTACCCCCAAAATCAATTCCAGCCTTCCCTTTGTGGTATGGTACCTTGCAGTACAATTTCAGAGAGATCCATACACTTGAACACAAGTTATTGTCTGGAAAATAGAAAAATGCTTATTTTTGGCCCCTTTTTCCTAAACTTTTTGGGCAATTACCCCCAAACTCAATTCCAGCTTTCCCTTTGTGATATGGAACCTTGTAGTACAATTTCATAAAGATCCATACACTTACAAACAAGTTATTGTCATGAAACTAGAAACATCAGTGTTTTTTGCCCCTTTTGTCCCCTAATTCCTAAAATTTGGAGGCAATTACCCCCAAAATCAATCTCAGCATTCCCTTTGTGATTTGAAACCTTGTGATACAATGTCAGAGAGATCCATACACTTACACACAAGTTATTGTCATGAAACTAGAAAAATGCTTGTTTTTTGCCCCTTTTTGGCCCCTAATTCCTAAAATTTGGAGGCAATTACCCCCAAAATCAATCCCAGCATTCCCTTTGTGATATGAAACCTTGTGGTACAATGTCAGAGAGATCCATAAACTTACACACAAGTTATGTCTGGAAGTTACAAAAATGCTTATTTTTGGCCCCTAATTCCTTAACTGTTGGTACCATAACCCCCAAAATCAATCCCAACTTCCTTTTGTGGTATTGAACCTTATGCTAAAATTTCATTGAGATCCATTCACTTAAACTAAAGTTAGAGTGGGAAAACTAATGTGTCTTCGGACGACGACGACGCCAACGTCATACCAATATACGACCACAATTTTTTTTTTGCGGTCGTATAAAAATTACCTGGTTTTCAATTGTATTTTTTTTACTGAAACAAAAGTGCCCTAAGAACCAGATACTTTATTTCAATAATATGACCTTATAACAAAATATTTAAAATGTTTACAGGGCAGACCTGTTATCATATTTACATTCCCAATTTTGGGATTTTTTGCAAAGATTAAACTCAAGCAAGGTTTTGAAAAGAAATTTTAAATAAAATATGAAGGTAGTGCCTTGAAAAATGAAGGCCATAATCAACCAATAAGAATGAATAGTAATTTATTTTTACAAATCCCCTTTCTGAATAAATGGTCCCACATATCAGATTTTTCTGATTATCAAACTCCTATCAGGTTTTGGTGAGTGAACACCATCATCCGAATTTTTCAAGGATCTGATAAAAATGAAGGTGCTATATCTGCAATAAAAATCAATATGGGATATTTTTACAAGTTCCCTTACAAAAAATGGTCCCACATTTCAAATTTTTCTAAATTTGAGGAGGATCAGACAAAAAAATCCCCCCCTCATTGTGTGGGGTATAATTACCTTTTGTTTAGCGGCATGTTCTGCTACCATATCACTGAGATCTTCTTTCGCTAATTGAGACTGTTGTTCTCTCATTGTCTCATCATACTTAGCTTGCATGGCTGCTGTGTCAAGGTCTAATTCTTCAGGGTTCAAGGCCACTTCTATACCCTCTGTGGAGACCTTGTCTGTTTTCTTTGCCCCAGGTTGGACCTAAAATATCATAGTAAACAGTTTATTTCATTTGTGGTACACAAAATCACAAAATAACTGCTTTAATATGTGTATTGTTTTTTCAAGTTAATTCTATATGGTAATTCAATGTTTTCATTTTTTGATATTCATGATAGTTTTGAATATGATTCAAATCATTTAAAGCATCCATATTTTCATGTACAAAGCTCAAGACCGTCTTTGTCACAGATACTGTCAAATAAAATCAGAGGAAGGGCTAACTCATGAAAAACTTATATCATTTTACTGCAGCTCTTGCAAACAACACAGTAGAACAAACAACTAATGATGCTCTCATAACCAGTTTTACATAAATCTGACGTGTGCAACTCACCCCCGTCATGTCATATATATGACTAGATCCCATCATGGCTGCACCGACTTGTTGTTTTTTCTCTGGCAGTATAGTATACAAAGCAGGTGTTTCTCCTCCCTGGTCCATAGCATCTTCTATTCTTTTCTTTCTCAGTTCTATCATATCTGGTGTTTCTACACCTAAAGGTACTGAAGTTATTCCACTTGGTGTTACTAATCTGAAAATATATGTACAATAATAATTATAGCTTAGAATATATGTTCTTTATATACTATTTTTTTTGTCTTCTTTTTTTTAATTGTTACACCAAATGCATGGAATTTATCAAGGATATCACAACCTAATTTATATAAGTTAATCTCCTCTTTGATGATTTCTGGCTGTCGTTTTTCTCTCCTAGAGTTATGGGACTTAAGAATTCATTAAAAATCTTAATATTACGAGCACATCTAGCGATTCTTAAACAGATATGTATGAAAGGCTGGCAAAATGTTTAGCTTCCTTTTGTCAATTTTTTTTAAACTATGTCAAATTATAAGCAATTTTTTGTGTCTGAGTGTCTCGTGCAAAGTCCAGTTTCTTTCACTTATCCCATTCATAATAATCAAACAATCAATAAAACCTTCTTCTCTTTAAATTTTCAATGTATGATAGGACCTAACTACCAAACATACCCTTCTGGACCAGGAGTTATTAAGCCAGTTTCATCAGGAAGTTCCTCCTCTTCCTCCGATGATTCCTCCTCCGATGAAGATTCTTCTTCAAGCTCACCCCATAATGATTTATCAATTTCTTCTTCTTTAACAGGAGCCTGCAAAAAATGTTCCAATTTTATTTTTATCTCCCATGAATAAACTAAATCAACTATTATATGAAAGGTATCTAGAAATTTTAAGGAGCAAAAGAGATAGAAGTTTAGGCCATGAAATTTAACAGTTTTGTATATGAATGAAATATCTGCCACTTCTCATTAAAAGGTGAACCAACGTGGCAGACACCAGTTTTCAAAAAATATGAGTCACTTCTATAATGATATTACATACTCAAAGGAAAGTTCACTACATAACATAGATTATATAGTTTACAGTATGCATGCATATAGTATATTCACTTACTTGTCGACAAGTTTGTTTCAATTTCTTGTGTTTTTTTTCTGTATTTATGTTACCTTTTGTGAGTAAATCTGTTTGTATTTCAAATGCCTAAACTGGTTTAAGCTCCAAGTGTACATTGTAAATGTTTAATTACACACTTATAATTACCTGGAAGTCAGCACTTTGTGTACCGAATACATCACCATATAAAGGTTTACCATTCTCATCTACAGGGGGTTTACCCCAGCCGCCAGCATGGTAACCAAATGAACACCCCTATAAAATAAATAAGTTTTAAACTGAAATCCTTACACTGATAATATAAATGAACATATCTCTTAAGTGTGAACAGTAATCCCACTCTCAAGAGAGGTCTGCTCTCTTAAAAAAAATCCAATGTATAAAACAAACAATAATTTCTTACACAAGGCTGTTTCAGGAGGGCCATTTCTTTCCAAAGGCCAATCTTAATGTATGTAACAAAAAGTAATTTCTCCTGATAGGCCCCTCTCAGATTTGTCAGGCATTTTTTTCTACTAAATTTTCTAAAAATATTATTAGGAATGAAAGTTCTTGCCATCACCCTTGGTGGGTCTTCATATAGAATTGCAGATAAAGTGTAATTCTACTTGCTTCTGATATTTTTACAGTAAGACAGGAACTATAACTTCTAGTATTGGTGCAGGAAGACCATAGATGCCAACCCCTTTTGGTGCAATCAGTAAAAAAGTATTAGAATTCTGTAATAATTATTCATAAAAGTTTTACCATAATCACAGTAACAACTAGGCATAATCACAAATAAATTATTTCCTTTATTTAAGACAACTAAGATTTAAAGTCGATGAGCAAGTGAGGAACATTGACCATCTTGCTGAATGGAAGTCTTCTTTACAATATTTGCAAAAGAGGCATAATGTTCCAGTTTCCCATTACCTTGTCCAAGATTTCCTTTTCTGCACTGCAGAAATTCAATTGTTCAATCAGACATCATGAAACTGAAAACAAAAAGTTATACCAGGAATTTTACTTCGTTCTGGTATTGTTGAAGTAAGACTGTGAATTTTACTTACTTCTGGAATAGCTGCAGTAAGACCAGGAATTTTTAGGTTAGGATAAGATGGTGGAGGACCATATCTCTGCATAGCTATCAACCATGGAGGTGGAAACTTCTCAGAATTCTGAAATAATTTATTATAAAATAGTTGTTAAACATCAGTAGATTGTGGATTTTTACTCCTGATATTAAAAATACAAAATTTACATAAACAAGGTATTTCTAAAATAGATACTTTTTTTTATTATGAATGTCAATACAAGATCTATCAACAGTGTTACACAATTTGTTTCTGTTTCACAAATAAATGTATTTTATTTGTTTGTTTGCCTTGTATTTTTGATTTTTGATGTTTTTACCAATTCTTTTCTTTTTTGGGGGGGAGGAAACAGGGTCAAAAAGTTTTAATTATCCCACAATACATGAAATTCTCATTGATCACTTCCTTTATTTCTCGAAACTTTATCTTAGAAATCATCATGCATCAAACTTTATTTGTATAGTACCATTCCTTCCCAAGCATCCCACCCTTAAATATATATTTCAACCTTTGCCACAGTCATGTAGGTTATACTAACTGATACTTTTACTCACATGTCCAATAGGCATTCCTAATGCTGTTCTTAATTCATCTGATAAATTTCCAGGTTTCTTTTCTTTTAATCGAGTTTCAAACTCTTTCCCCTAAAGAATATGAAATAGCATATTTTCAAAAGCTATTATAACATTAACTGCCCAGTAATTGTTTATGAAACTACATTTCAATTAGGGTCTTTTCCATTCAAAGGATAACAGGGTATTCTGTATTTGTAGTAAACATTTTGTTTGTAATCAGCAGCTAATGGAAAAAACAATAAATAGTTATATGTCTATTAAATCATGGACTACTCTTTCTTATCAATAAATTTGTGCTGCCATTTGCAGAATATAAGGAATGTTCAAGGAAAAGTGCAGATGTCATGTGACTGATTTCAAAATGTATAAAGCAGTGTGTTTTTTTTTTCAGTTGCATTAGAATGGGCATAACAGTATAGTATTTGAAAATTTTCAACCTTATTTTTTTTTATGGTCCAAAATTGACTTTATTGGCTACATGTTCTAAGTAAAAAAGAGGTAAAATATCATTATAAAATTATTACTTGTGATACAGTAAGTATCTCAAAATGATAAATACGCTTTAATTGATAATTAAACAAATAAAAAAGAAACATTTCACAATAAAATTAAGGAATATTAAAAGTACAATTTTTATATACACATCTCAACTGTTTTGTTTCAAGTGCCACTGATTAGTTTTATGAAGACAAAAGGCATGTCTGGCTTTATACTCATTGTTATTATCACTAATATTCTTTTAATATTCACCTCGTAATATAAATCTCCATGTATTGTCATTTTAGGTTTGGTCTGCCACCTGAAGAAAGCATCGTGTAATTTTTGATAATCAATATCAATTTTTCCCATTTTTGGTCGGATCTTTTCTCTCATCTTAGATTTTAATGTTTTCTGGTCTTCCTGAAAATAATTATTAGGAAATAATTATAGGATTACAAAATTTATTCAAGCTTTACAAGCCACCTTTTGGGAACCTCCATAAATGCTGGAATTAAATAAAAGAAGAATGTGTCCATGAGAAACACGTGCCCTTGCTTGTAAATACGCACGAGTCAATAAAAGGGACATAACATGAGAACAGTGAAAGTGACGACACCCAAATTCAATTTTGATCTGTGTTTGGTGATAATAAGCATTGTGTATAAGTTTCTTATTATTTGGTTGAGGCAAACTAAGGCTAGAGAACAGAAACCAATTTCAGGACAGAGGTATGTATGGAGAAGGGTAAACCTTAATGCCCCCATCACCTTGCAGTAGGGGCATTAAAAGCTTTGGCAATTCATTAAATTTTGTTTACCTTTCATTTCAGAGTTTCAACAAGGTAACATGGATTGAGCATTTCTGTTTTTGAACTCTACCAAATATTTCTGTAGAATTTACAGAACTATGTATGCAAAACATAAATACCACACACACACACAAAAGTCAATTAAACTTGACCTGTAACAGCCAAAGTGTACGAAAAGTAGACATATATTATCTTCAACCATGGACAAGTACTATCCACACTAAATAGCATACTGTGAATTCCTTATATTCATGTGATACCAATCTTCCTGGATTTCTTTGGTAAAGGTGAACCACCAATTTATATTTGCCACTATGGGTGGGTGCAAAATATTGTGTTGAACGGGTGTAAAATTATGTAGGACTCTAAAATCGCTTCTATGGGTGGTCACTCTGTTTTCAAAGTGCCTTCCCTAGGTACCATGTATGTTTTGATGGAACAGCCCTAAGTACACATTTTTTGTAGGCTTGTATGCAGACTTTTGTAAAACTAAGAAATCAAATTTCCAAGAAAATTCAATTTTTCCTTAATCCGCAAAAATTGGTACCAACGAAAGTAAATTAATCCACATTATCTTAAATTGTGAAGAGTTTAGACAAGTTGTGAATGGAATCAACAAAGACAACCATAGATCCTATTTAATAATAGACCAATAACTCACAATAAGAATCTGTATTGCCGAAAAACATAATATATCAATCTTTCAATACCATTTCCTAGTAAACAGTAAATAAAGGGATCTATGATGTATAAGTACTAGATTTTATTGCTATCAATTTACCTTTTCTTGTAAAGCTTCTCTCATCTCCATGATTCCTGTAGCTTTGATAAAATCTGGAAGTTCAAATGGTGGCTTTTCAATACCACGTTTTCCTTGTAAATATTTCCTTTTAAAACACCAATGTCTTGGTACAGGTACTGTGTTCCTTGTGGCCTTCAGACATACCAACAATCGAGGATCCTGTGCTGTAACGTCATGCATTTCTACTACGTCAGGTCTACCAACAAGTTGCTTTAACTGGGCCACAGACAATCTTGTCATCTTCTTTAACTTTTTCTTTGACATTTTTGGATGATCTTCTTTGTTTTCCTATATTTAAAATGTTTATTGTTGTATTTTAGCATTAAGGTCAAGTTTAAATAATTTATGGTGACTTGCAAAATTTGACCTTTCGGCATGCTAATAGATTGAACAGAGATAACTATACAGATTATTCCAGCTTCTTTTCACTCAAGAAGGACTTGCAATGTCCCTTTTTTTGCTACATTAAAAAGGTATGATAGTGAAATCTGACTTTTTAAAGATTTTGAAAAAATATTTGGTTGGTATCTGGGCTTGATTTTTCACCAAATTTTATTTTACTTTTAATTATAATTGGGCAAATTGGTTGAGGCCATTCTCCTTGATTTTCTATAATAATACTACAAGCATTCTGACAAACGAATAAAAGATTTGATTACATGATTGCTACTCAATGTCCAACAGAAAATTTTTACATACATATTCAGGACAATAATTTGTTAATATGATATCAATACATATTCTGATTTGATGGCTACCAGCCTTTGCACTATTGCTCCTTAATGTAGAGTGCTAAGCAGAAAATACTAATTTTAAAGCCTTTGCTTTGACACAGTTAGAGGTAAAACCTACAACCTCACAAACTCAAGGTAAGCATACTATGTATCTTTTCTAATGCAAAACATCTATATATATATGATATGATGATTCCCAAATAATTTTCTTGTTTATTTCCCTCTTACATCGGTTTCCATTTTCTCATCTTCATCATCCTCCTCTTCGAACATTCCTCTGGGTTTGACCTCTTCTGGTTTCTTCTCTGCTTCTTTCTTTTCTTCTAAAACTTTTTCTTTTGGCTTTTCTGCTTCTGAGATCTACAAAATGGGGTTAATGAAATTTTGTATTCATGTCCTTTGTTTATTGGTAAAATTAAACATATCATGTATCTTCAAATTGTTGTTTAACAAGCACAGTGAGCTCAAACAGCAACATGTATGACAATAAAAAGATCTATTGAAAGCTATAAATGATATCTTCATACTGTAACATTCTCATGGGTGCCACAGATTGGATTTTTACATTAATTGTTTTCACATCATCAGAGCAATCAAATGTGTACTCCTGAAAATTGATTTTGATAGTAGGTGAGCTTGTTGTAGAGATGCATACAACTGCCCAATTGTATTTTTTGGCAAGGGCTAGTTAATATAAGGGGAAATATAGATGAATTCATACTGTACAAGATTATGACATTTCAAAAGTTTGGTCAAATTCAAAAATTCAACTTCTGTCACGATCTTTCCTTATGAATACATCTGGGCTAATCAGAACATCCAAAACAGTGGAGTTCCCATAATGCAACACAAATTCTGAATTGGTCTGTTGAACCCCAAAAAACCAGACACTTACTTATAAGTAACTAACTGAAAATAATAAACAGAATAAATAAACTGCACTTCAAAAAACAAAAGACAATGTAATAAAAAAGTTCTTTATGATACTTAAAGGGAACACAATGTATTTTGAAAACTGGCAATATTACCTACCTTAAAAGCTTCAAATATTTTGGCAAATGTGTAATAATTAGGATCAGAAGGATCCAGCTCTAACTGTTCCTGTACATATCTGAAAAAATGCATTATCATGAATATACAAAACTACAAGATTATATATAAAAATTACAAAAAAAACAACAAAAACAATCACATAACACACCACAGAACAAATGAACAAAACAAGCTACATTCCAGACTTTGTCTATTGTCATTTCAGTGCATTTGTAAATCTCTAAACATTTAAAGATAAAAGAAGAATGTGTCTGAGGACACGCATGCCCCTGCTCAAGCTTCAAACAAATAAAAAAAGGGACAGACGGACGAAAAGACAAAGGACGGAAGGACTGACAGTCCAGGGTAACCCATAAATATCAAAATCAGTGTTGTTCCATTATAAACACAAATATGGAAGCTAGAATAGACTGTTTGAAATTCAAAACTATGTATACATGTCATCATGGTCATTCTGGACTCCCTCCTTAAAATTAACACTTTCCTTTTAACTTGATGCCTATTTACAGTTAACTTACTCTTCATTTACATTTCCAATTCACTTGTTGTTTATTAACAGTAAACTTACTGTCATTAACAGTTCACTTGTTGCTTATTAACAGTAAACTTATTCTGCAAATACAATTACCATTCACTTGTTGCTTAACATTAAAACACTCTAAATTAACAGTAAATTAACTCTAAATTAACGCTAAACTTACTCTAAATTAACATCCTCCCTTTTACTTTTTGTTTATTAACAGTAAACTTACTCTACATTAACAGTTTCCTCCGTAGTTGTCTCCTTAGGTTTGGGTGGCAGCTGTTGCTGCATCAGTCTGTTCTTTTTGGACTTCTTCTTCTTCTTTTTCTTCCTTCTATTCTTTGACTACATAAAATAAAGGAATTAATACTACATGTCTACTAAAAACTGAACTTTAGACCAATCGGAAGATTTTTATTTTCATGAATGAGTTACATAGGTTGACTCAAGGTAAATCAGGGTGAATGAGTTCATTGAACAATTGGTTCTTACTCTGACATAAGAACATAATCATTGAGCATAGAAATAAGGGAAAGTGCACTAAATTAAAATTCGTCTATGGCATGATGGGTAAAAAAGATTCCCAGATGGCAAGGGAGAGGACTGTTTAACTTACCTCTTTACTTGCATCAGGTTTGTCAGTCTCTTCATCAATATCATATGTTTCATATCCTATATCTTCATCTATTTCTTCTGTTTCTTCCTTTACTGTAACAAAAAAATAATGTATGTAGTTCAGTCTATTACATCTTTAATCTTATTTGGATTAATGACTCATGCATTTTTATCATTTTATATTTATTAATAATTCTAAATTTTATTTCAAAACATATTTGCTATCTTAGGGAAATACTTTTTATTTTCATGAGACAGAGATTGATAAGCTGATATTGTGAATTTCAATTAAGTTTATGATATATTTACACTGTACTTTCCTTGTTTGATTCCATAATTTCCTACAAAGAGGTTTAACACCTTCAACAAAATATAGATTCTATACAGTAGGTGTCTTTTGGTTATTTGTGTGAATAGGTTGCTGCCAAAATGATATATTCTCGATATCTCTTTTTATTCATATTTGTCAGCATAACAAGCGTTAGTTAATTTTGACATCACATGAAAAATGTGGGATGCCACAACATAAAAGTGAATGATGATGTATAGCATAAATAAAGCAAGGTGTTGTAAACTCTTGAGTAAAGTGTCACATTCTGATATTTAGGAGACCCTGATCAATTAGGGTAATACTATAATGGTGATGTACAGTACTTGTCACAAATACAGGAAGTTGTGGGTTTCACTGAAAACCTTAAAATAATTATTTGCTTCTTTTACACTTAGCAAGCAGCAAATAAGTGAGAGCAAAGAATATTCATGTCAGATTGATGATATGTGTCTTGGTGGGTGGCATGCATTCTTACAGGCTGATGCCTTGTGAGACACCACTTAAATCTAGCACAGTATGTCAGTTTGGTACAAAGCAAGGTTGGTATTAATAGAACACTGAAATGTTCCCATTTTTAATATGCTTGAAAGATTGCTTGCAGCATGTAAGACATTCACCCATCCATCAACATAGGGTCATACACTATTTCAGGATCTATAAAAGAAGAATGTGTCTGACGACATGAATGCCCCAACTGAAGCTTCAAACAAACGAAAATGGGACAGACAGAGGGACAGAAAGATAGAAGGTTTGAAAGACAGGACGGAAAGACTGAATGACAGATGGTCAAGGGTAACACTAAATGCTCATGTCGCCTATAGCAGGGGCATAAAAATTGTAGATCTTAAGGATGTTCGCTCCTTTGTTTTAAAATATCAAGCTTTTTAAAAGACTATTATAAATTGATAGTATATATGCAAAGAAACTTAAAAAGCAGAAAAAAGTGATAGGTCCATGTGTTTGTTTTTGAGATATAGTCAATTGAAAATTCGGCAGGAAATGATTCTCTCTAGATTTTTCATACATTTAACATGGCACCTTTTTCCTTTCAAAAACTATGAAAAAATAACAAGAATTTTATAAGATTTTCAAAAATGGCTTTATAAATTATATGCAATAAAACTGTGAAAAGAAAAGTAGGGGTTAGTGGGCAAAATTTGCATTGGCACTACATGGATTAAACTAGAGGATTCCGAATATCTGACAAAAAGTCAAAAACAAGAGTAGAGAACTTCCTTAAACTGATTTTACTGTGGATTCATTATAATTTGTGGGATACCAATTTTCATGGAATTCATGGGTTACGGTAAACCAAGCATATTTAAATGTTCAACATATACATATTCTATATGCTTGTATGTAAACTTTGACAAAACCACAAAAATAAATTTTTTCTCAATCCACAAAATTGGTATCCACAAAATTAAATGAATCCACAGTGATCAAATAACCTTAATATTGATCTGAACTCTTTCAAACATACTCAGTTCCCCATATCAATAACCATAACTCTTTCAGACATACTCAGTTCCCCATATCAATAACCATAACTCTTTCAAACATACTCAGTTCCCCATATCAATAACCATAACTCTTTCAGACATACTCAGTTCCCCATATCAATAACCATAACTCTTTCAAACATACTCAGTTCCCCATATCAATAACCATAACTCTTTCAAACATACTCAGTTCCCCATATCAATAACCATAACTCTTTCAAACATACTCAGTTCTCCATATCAATAACCATAACTCTTTCAAACATACTCAGTTCCCAATATCAATAACCATAACTCTTTCAAACATACTAAGTTCCCCATATCAATAACCATAACTCTTTCAGACATACTCAGTTCTCCATATCAATAACCATAACTCTTTCAAACATACTCAGTTCCCAATATCAATAACCATAACTCTTTCAAACATACTCAGTTCTCCATATCAATAACCATAACTCTTTCAAACATACTCAGTTCCCCATATCAATAACCATAACTCTTTCAGACATACTCAGTTCCCCATATCAATAACCATAACTCCTTCAGACATACTCAGTTCCCCATATCAATAACCATAACTCCTTCAAACATACTCAGTTCCCCATATCAATAACCATAACTCTTTCAAACATACTCAGTTCTCCATATCAATAACCATAACTCTTTCAGACATCCTCAGTTCTCCATATCAATAACCATAACTCTTTCAGACATACTCAGTTCCCCATTTCAATAACCATAACTCTTTCAGACATACTCAGTTCCCCATATCAAAAACCATAATTCTTTCAAACATACTCAGTTCCCAATATCAATAACCATAACTCTTTCAAACATACTCAGTTCCCGATATCAATAACCATAACTCTTTCAAACATACTCAGTTACCCATATCAATAACCCAAACATACTCAGTTCCCCATATCAATAACCATAACTCTTTCAAACATACTCAGTTCTCCATATCAATAACCATAACTCTTTCAGACATACTCAGTTCTCAATATCAATAACCATAACTCTTTCAAACATACTCAGTTCCCCATATCAATAACCATAACTCTTTCAGACATACTCAGTTCCCCATATCAATAACCATAACTCTTTCAAACATACTCAGTTCCCCATATCAAAAACCATAACTCCTTCAAACATACTCAGTTCCCCATATCAATAACCATAACTCTTTCAAACATACTCAGTTCCCCATATCAATAACCATAACTCTTTCAAACATACTCAGTTCCCAATATCAATAACTATAACTCTTTCAAACATACTCAGTTCTCCATATCAATAACCATAACTCTTTCAAACATACTCAGTTCTCCATATCAATAACCATAACTCTTTATCACATACTCAGTTCCCCTTATCAATAACCATAACTCTTTCAGACATACTCAGTTCCCAATATCAATAACCATAACTCTTTCAGACATACTCAGTTCCCCATATCAATAACCATAACTCTTTCAGACATACTCAGTTCCCCATATCAATAACCATAACTCCTTCAGACATACTCAGTTCCCCATATCAATAACCATAACTCTTTCAAACATACTCAGTTCCCCATATCAAAAACCATAACTCTTTCAAACATACTCAGTTCCCCATATCAATAACCATAACTCTTTCAAACATACTCAGTTCCCCATATCAATAACCATAACTCTTTCAAACATACTCAGTTCTCCATATCAAAAACTATAACTCTTTCAAACATACTCAGTTCCCCATATCAATAACCATAACTCTTTCAAACATACTCAGTTCCCCATATCAATAACCATAACTCTTTCAAACATACTCAGTTCCCCATATCTCTTTCAAACATACTCAGTTCTCCATATCAATAACCATAACTCTTTCAAACATACTCAGTTCTCCATATCAATAACCATAACTCTTTCAGACATACTCAGTTCCCCATATCAATAACCATAACTCTTTCAGACATACTCAGTTCCCCATATCAAAAACCATAACTCTTTCAAACATACTCAGTTCCCCATATCAAAAACCATAACTCTTTCAAACATACTCAGTTCTCCATATCAATAACCATAACTCTTTCAAACATCCTCAGTTCTCCATATCAATAACCATAACTCTTTCAAACATACTCAGTTCCCCATATCAATAACCATAACTCTTTCAAACATACTCAGTTCCCCATATCAAAAACCATAACTCTTTCAAACATACTCAGTTCCCCATATCAAAAACCATAACTCTTTCAAACATACTCAGTTCCCCATATCAATAACCATAACTCTTTCAAACATACTCAGTTCCCCATATCAATAACCATAACTCTTTCAGACATACTCAGTTCCCCATATCAATAACCATAACTCTTTCAGACATACTCAGTTCCCCATATCAATAACCATAACTCTTTCAAACATACTCAGTTCTCCATATCAATAACCATAACTCTTTCAGACATACTCAGTTCTCCATATCAATAACCATAACTCTTTCAAACATACTCAGTTCCCCATATCAATAACCATAACTCTTTCAGACATACCGTTCCTACTCGCTTATTAGTCGGAAAATTGGGAGTAAAATTCATAATCCAGAGAGGGGGACCGACTAATAGACGAGATCTAGCGACCAGAGGAAAAATCCAAGCTTGAGAAAAGTGGTCAGGAGTGAATTTCCTGGTCAAAACTACGTTTTTGATTGCCAAACCTACATAAATCAATAAATAAAAAGTTTTTGTTGAAAATAAATGACTACAATACTGTCTTTGTGTTTTATTTGTTCCTTGGTAAACATTTTCTGCAAATTCGTGTTGAAATTCTATTGTTTCCGGTTTGTGTATTGATTTTCATGGTCACATGATTTTCCTATAAACCCAAAAGAAGAGCCAAGAACCAAAAATGAAAAGGAGATAACAATGTACCAAATATGTGAAAGGATGTTTTCAGCGGAGTTATTGTGTCATTATTGTGATATCATGATATCAATTCAATGCTTATAAATCATATAATAATCAAAAAATAATTTTAAGATTCATTCCCAAAATCAAAATATTATTCATTAAAGTGTCTCAGGTAAACAAAAATTACAAAATTGATTGACAAGCCAATATAATCCATTGATAACCCCAATTAAGAGACAAAGAGTTGTATTTACTAAAGGTGTGAAAACTATCAGTGATAGGTAAACAGATGACACTAATGAGTTGGAGTTAGTTATTTTAATATATTGATTAGCTTCTCTTAATTTTTTTAATCCTTTAATTATCACAATATAATAAGAATTATGAAGTGTACATGCTCATTTAACACCAAGTTATGTATGCTGTGAAAAATATTTTCATCAAGTGTTGATTGACTTTAAATTTTTCAGGTTCATATTGGTTTATATTCGCTTTTCTCAAACAATAGGTTATTAGTCATACCCTACAAAATCATTGATGCATTATGTAAACAACACATGGCTAATCTAACATTTGAACAGTGAACAAAACAAGAGAAATGAATACATCTTTATTATTAACAGCAATATAAATTATCATGATGAGCATCAACTAAATTCAAACCAAACAAACATTAATGCAGAAATGAATATTATTCCTGGATTTGCATTGGTTTTACCGGCGTTCAGTTACTGTCAGCTGAAAAAAAAATGCCCAAATTTTGTCCGACTTATACGAGGGTCAAGACTAAATCCTTAGAATTTGGAGCTGAAAAGGGCCCCGACTTATAGTAGGATCGACTATTAGGCGAGTATCTACAGTACTCAGTTCTCCATATCAATAACCATAACTTTTTCAGACATACTCAGTTCTCCATATCAATAACCATAACTCTTTCAAACATACTCAGTTCCCAATATCAATAACCATAACTCTTTCAAACATACTCAGTTCCCCATATCAAAAAGCTTTTAAGATTACACTTACCTTTAGGTTTATTCATTTCCTCTAATTCTTCTGGTGACACACCCACTTCCTGAGCTCTGGCGTCTTTGAAAGCTAAGATCTTCTCCAAAGCTTGTGGTAATTTAACTTCTTTTTGTTTCTCTTCTTCTGGTGGTTCAAACTGAAATGCATAAACAGTATTTCCTAATTGTTTCAATGTCAAGAATATTGATGGTTACAATGAAAAAAGCTTGCACTTAAACTTCTACTCTGATCTACATGATGTACCAGACAAAGAATTAAAGATTTTCTGGATTTTGCATTCTGAATAGCTAAAAAAACCTTGTTTTTAGTCTCATTGTTGAAAACCTGTCAGTCCTTGTGATGGTGAAGAATTGTAATAAAGTGCTTTCCTTTGAAATTTAAATATCTAGAAACAATATAAAAATTTGGCCAAGTTTGGTTGAACAGTTCTTAAGTTAACACATAGAAACAACATATAGCCCCATTGTTTAATCATTCAAGGACCATAACTCCTGAACAGCAAAATGAAAATCGATAAAAAAGAATTTCTGTTTTGTCAGTAAAAACAAATTACAGGAGGTTGTCAAATGACAGCAAACCTGGTTTTTCTTACATAAATTAGTGTTCTTGTAAAAGCAAATAAGGGCTATAACTCCTGATCAGCAAAAGTGATAACAATCTTGACCTTCATTTTGTCATGAGAAACAATGTCAAAATTTGAGAATTTGTGTAGAAGTGTTCTAGATTTTGAACCTATTATTTCTGTGGAAAACCCTGTTATCTTTATAACATTTAATAAAATGCTCCCCTGGGCGCAGCTTGATACGACCGCAGAGGTCGAACCCTGAACAGTTGGGGAAAGTATGGACACAACATTCAAGCTTGATACAGAACTGAATTTGGATTGTGATTAAATATTTGACACAGCATAGGTTTCTGACACAGAATGAATGTGGTCTAAGACTACACTAACACACAAGTTATGTCTGGAAGTTACAAAAAAATGCTTATTTTTGGCCCCTTTTGGCCCCTAATTCCTTAACTGTTGGTACCATAACCCCCAAAATCAATCCCAACCTTCCTTTTGTGGTATGGAACCTTGTAGTACAATTTCAGAAAGATCCATAGACTTACACACAAGTTATTGTCATGAAACTAGAAAAATGCTTGTTTTTGCCCCTTTTTTAGCCCCTAATTCCTAAAATTTTGAGGCAATTACCCCCAAAATCAATCCAAGCATTCCCTTTGTGATATGGAACCTTGTGGTACAATGTCAGAGAGATCCATAAACTAACACACAAGTTATGTCTGGAAACTACAAAAATGCTTATTTTTGGCCCCTTTTTGGCCCATAATTCCTTAACTGTTGGTACCATAACCCCCAAAATCAATCCCAACCTTCCTTTTGTGGTATGGAACCTTGTAGTACAATTTCAGAAAGATCCATACACTTGAACACAAGTTATTGTCTGGAAACTAGAAAAATGCTTATTTTTGGCCCCTTTTTGGCCCCTTATTCCTAAACATTTTGGGCAATTACCCCCAACCTCAATTCCAGCTTTCCCTTTGTGATATGGAACCTTGTAGTACAATTTCAGAAAGATCAATAGACTTACACACAAGTTATTGTCATGAAACTAGAAAAATGCTTGTTTTTGCCCCTTTTTTAGCCCCTAATTCCTAAAATTTTGAGGCAATTACCCCCAAAATCAATCCAAGCATTCCCTTTGTGATATGGAACCTTGTGGTACAATGTCAGAGAGATCCATACACTAACACACAAGTTATGTCTGGAAGTTACAAAAAATGCTTATTTTTGGCGCCTTTTGGCCCCTAATTCCTTAACTGTTGGTACCATAACCCCCAAAATCAATCCCAACCTTCCTTTTGTGATATTGAACCTTATGGTAAAATTTCATTGAGATCCATTCACTTAAACTAAAGTTAGAGTGCGAAAACCAATGTGTCTTCAGACGACGACGACGCCGGACGACAACGACGCCAACGTCATACCAACAAAATTTTTTGCGGTCGTATGAAAAGGACTTGATGAACAGTTTCAGAGATTGATAGTACCAAGACATGATCAACCATTTTTTTTCACTCAGCAACACCTGTACATTTTCAGGAAATCCATATCAATAATTCAAACTGATCTGGTAGTGTCTGTAAAATCTATAATGTGAATGTTTGTTTCATGTTTTTTAGAAGTCTGCTCAACCAGATGTTTTTAGTAAAAATCATATATTTTATTTTTAGTAGCATATAAAAAAGACCCTAAACTTACCTTTGGAGGGGGTAGTTTCTCCATTGGCTGACCTGGTGGTCCTGGCGGACGACTCATTGAAACAGTTGTTGGTGGTCCTGGGGGACGACTCATTGCAACAGATGTTGGTGGTCCTGGAGGACGATTCATTTGAACAGATGTTGGTGGACCAGGAGGTCCAGGAGGCCTTCCACCTGGACCTGAGCCTGGTGGTCCACCCATTAATGACTGAGGTGGTCCTTGTGGTGGTCTAATCATTGGTGGCCCTTGCTGTCCTTGACCCATCTGTGGTGGCGGCTGTGGTCTTGGTGGCATATTTTGTGGTCTTGGTGGAGGACCTACACCTTGTGGTCCCATCTGTGGGGGAAACTGATTTGGTGGTGGACCCTGTGGTCTCTGTGGCTGTGACATTGTAACAGGAGGTGGACCCCTTTGACCACCGACTGGCTGTTGCATAGGTGGTCTAGGTGGACCATCTGACATCTGTGGGTGAGGAGCTTGGGGCATTAATGGAGGAATTGCTGATGGTCCACCACCAGGTGGCATGAATGGGGGACCAGAAGGTGGTCCTGAACTGGTCTGCATATGTGGAGGCATAGAAGACATTCCAGACTGCATCAAAGATGGAATAGGAGGACCAGGTGTTGTCTGCATTAAAGACGGAATTGATGTAGGGTCTTGTCCTGACTGCATCAATGGTGGGGGACCTCCCCCCGACTGCATTAGCGGTGGGGGACCTCCCCCAGACTGCATTAAAGGTGGAGGTCCTCCTACAGATTGCATTAATGGTTGTTGCCCAGTGTTCGATACTGAAGGTCTAATAGGCTGTGCCATTAAACTAGGTGGCGGTTGCTGGGGTGGTCCTGAAGCTGGAGGCCCAACTGGTGGTGGCCTGGGGACTGAAAATACAAATGTTAAAATAAAATTTTCATTTTCCCTAATTTTATTGGGTCTTCAATTCATTGTTAAAAAATAATGGAAAATATCAAATGAACGGTAAACATGCATGTTGTTGGGTACTAAACAGTTTAATGATGTTGTCTGTTCTATGGTCGGGTTATTGTCTCTTTGACACATTCCCCATTTCCATTCTCAATTTTAATGATGTTTTGATGAACAGTGAAATCTAAGAAAAATTTGCAGACTACAAATTTTTATTTTACGAGTATGGTAAAAATGTATTAAAAATCAAGCAATATAAAATAATCTTTTTATTATGTACCAGTTAAGAAGTCTAAAGATGAGGCAGGTAGTCCTCTTTTTCAATCATCAAGTGAAAATTTCTGCTTTAAACTCAGAATTTAGTCAATTATGACCATGATGACCAGTCCCTGCTTTTTGTTATTGTTTGTTACCTAGTGAAGCCTGTTCTTGTTTATTTTTTCTTCCTGCTTGCTTTATGTTTCCCTTTTGGAACCTACCTATTGGAATTGCTATTGTCTCATTCATTTTTCCCTTTTGTCTTTTTTGTTTCCCTCTTTGAACCTACCTGTTGGAGGTTGCTATTGTCTCATTCATTTTTCCCTTTTGTCTTTTTTGTTTCCCTCTTTGAACCTACCTGGTGGACCTTGCTGCTGTCTCATTTGCTCTTCCTGTATTCTTTTCTGTTCCTCTTTCTGAGCCTCCATCATTGCAATCTGTTGTGTTCTTAGTAACTCTGCTTCTTTCATTCTCCTTTCAGTCTCTACTTGATTAATTGCAGCCTGCTGTTGTTGAAGTAACTAGAAAATACTGATATCTGTCAGTATATGAAAATATTGCTTCAATCATACTAATGAATATATAATTATATAAAATACCAAAAAAACAAATACAAATGTAGTACAGTGGATTCATTATTATTCGTGATATCAGTTTTCGAGGATTTCATGGATATAGCTTAACAATAAATTCAAAATGTTCAACGAAGTTTCAAATTTTCTATGGATTTGTATGCTGACTCTCACTGGCAAATCCATGAAATCAAATATCAACCAAAAAATATGGTGTCCTCAAACGAGGAAAATTGGTATCAACAAAAATAAATGAATCCACAGTATCTAATTTCTTAATTCTTATAAATAACTTGATTCTTAAACTTTCATTATGGTTTATCTGCTTGTGTGGTTAGTTTTCTGTCTTACTGACTTTCATCCAATATCCTGTATTCTTTGATTTTCGTTTTTCTGCCAGGTGAACACTTCATCCTGTTATTGCCCTTAATAACCTTTTCTTGTTCCATCATTTGTTTTTGTATTCTTACAGGTGGACATATCACCTTGTTATAGCCCTGACTGACCTGTTGTTCCATTATTCATTTTTGAGTTCTGCCAGGTGAACATCTCACCCTGTTATTGCCCTGACTGACATGATGTTGATTAAATATTTGTATTTCTGCCAGGTGAATATCTCACCCTGTTATTGCCCTGACTTACCTGTTGTTGTTCCATCATTTGTTTTTGTGATCTTTCAGCCTCTATAAGCTGTTGTTGATGGCGAACTCGCTCCATCATTTCCAATTCTGACGTCTGTTGATTCTGTGATTCCAGTAACTGCTGCTGAAGAGCTACCTTTCTTTGTAAATCTTCATCATCACCATCATCATCATCTTCTTCCTGTATTTCCAATATTGAAAAAGATCACAAAAATATTTCATAAACAATTGTAGATCTTCTTTTAAAGGGGCACTAGCTACGAGATATATAAAAAATCTAATATATGATTTTTTTTTGTTCAATCATTAATGAAAGTGAAATAATGAAATAATATATCGCTTTTAGCCGCCAGTATGGTTCAATTTTGTCAAAATAAGCTAAGAAACATTGATGATGAATTATTCACTTGCAAGTGAATAATTCGACCTGAATCCGTATTCATGTGAACTTCAATTTAACCCCTTAGCTAGAGATGGATAACACATGAATTGTATGTGTAAAGTTATTTAAAGGAAAAGAATGTCAACATTGAAAGTGAAACAAAGGTAAATCATTTGATTTACTGATCCGATCCACAAAAAATCATTCTTATACAAGTAAAAACTATGATAAACATATATTTTTAATCTATAATATGAAATTAAAAAGACCTAGAAAAATCCAATAGCATGAGTTCGCTTAATCTATTTATATCTTTATTTATGTTTACATCGCTTATATGGTCATCGGATGACTTTGGAGGTCAACTCAATAGTTAATTAGATGGCGTCTAGACTAAAATACACACGAAACGAAGCTACGTGTTATCATGCCCATGTCCTGTTAACTGTTTATTTTAGACTTTTAATAGTTTTGATGAATGTTTTATATTGTTATAAATCAAATATGAGAATTTGAGTCAAATCAGTGAACATGAATTTGACAGCTAGTGCCCCTTTAAGTTGATTTTTACTATTCCTAGGGTAAAGATGGTATTTTTTCATAAGCCCTGACTATATCTATCCTGTAAGTAAGCATATTTTTGTTGGATGTTATTTTAATAATTTGACTTGTTCATCACAATACATTTTTTTAGAAATTTGCTGATTTTTTCTTTACTTCAATACACCAAGACAGGTGGAAGGACTTTTATTGGGTGGTCAGGATTTGGCCTTTATTTTTTTTTCTGCAATTCTGGATTTTTAATTCTGATTGTTCTGACAACCTTTTCACTTGAATATCGTCAATCTTATTATAAATTTTACTGTATAATCCATTAGTAATAGGATTCATATTCTACTCAAACGACACAAAATGCTATTTGTGGAATAATCTTTCGGAATTGCAATAAAATCTTTTAGGTTTTGGCAATCAAACAGATGGTTGGTTGGAAGGGAGGAAACAGATGCAGTCAAACCTGTATATAAAGGTCACACTTTGGACCAGAGAAAAATAACCTTATCAGTCAGGTGACCTTTGAACTGAGGTTCAAAATGCCATAGATATTACTACATCAGGATAGAAAAAGAGGTAGACAACCTTAATAGATGGTGACTTTTATAGCAGGTATGTCTGTATATGTATATTTTTTTTACTCATTAGATTCCCATAAATTTTATTTTCATAACAGCTTTTCCCAATTTTCATGTCAGCGATTATATTCTTTAAAATACCTTTGTACCCGTCAACATAGTATGGAGTAAACTTAATTTACTGCCATGAGCTTATACTACCTTTTACTGTTCAATAGGGATACACTAGTCTTACCTCTTCTTCTGAAAAATAGAAAAGAGTCATTCATTATATATACATGTATGTTGATTTCTAGTCCATGTAATGAAAGTCACATTGCACAAAAAAATGCATGTTTTAAAAATTAGAATCAATAATACTATTAAATCAAACTGTATTTATTCACATTATTTTTTAATTATTTTTCCCTACATACATCCCAACATGTTTACTTAGTGCAATGAAATTTGAAATGTTTATAGCTAGTATAAACAAATACAGAACTAGTATAAACAAATACAGATCTCAGTCATTTGTCAGTTATAAATAGGTGGCTAAAAATAATATTTTTTTGTTTGTACAACATTGTATTCAAGGCTGTGTGTAAAACGGGGAGGGGGATTTGGGGGGGGGGGGGTTCAAGGGTACTAGCATGTCATGCAGATTTTTAAGCCTTCAATAAGGTATGCTTATCTTGATTTTTTTTTCAGAAGATAAAATACTTAAATAATAAAAATAGTTAACACAGAAACAACTTTTCTCTAGTTCAAAACTGGATGAATCAGCTTTTACTTAAAACTCCAACATCAGTGATAGTATTTTACATTATTCTATAATTTTATGTGGTTACAACTATAATTTGACAAATAAAATTCAAAATAGATGATATCTAACCACAAGAAAAGAGAGTGAGTAGTTGTTGGTTGCATTTTGTCACCAAAGGGCCGCCTTATATAGCTTATTATAAAATATTGATTTTGCTAACTGTTGGTGGCCTAATAGTGACATCTAGTTGTTTAAATCCATGTCATTTGGTCTTTGATCTATAGTTATATCATTGGCATCATACCACATCTCCTTATTTATATAAAAAGGTTGACTTTGGAAACAAACAACAAAACAAGTCCTACATGATCAATAGAAAACATTACTCTAGAACATTATTTACCATTTTCTTGCATAGGCATTCCATCTTCTTCATCATCATTTTCTTTTTGGGACTCCTGATTAACATAAAAAATAGCTTACCAGTAGTAGGTAGACGAATTTAAAATTAAAATTTAAAAAAACACACTATATTTTAAATTCTGCAATTTCAAGCACTCATAGCTATTTTTTCTTAAGTTCAAACTAAGTGACAGTCTTTTGATGTCAAAACTATACTTTATCCTGATGTGTGCTGAAAATTAAACATACCTTTAATTGCAAAGTAGAGTTGCCGGAAGTTTGTTAGTACAAAAATAGGTACTTCTGATCTGAACAACAGGACAAATATGCCCTCCTAGTTTGATCTTATATATTTTTCTTATTATTCAACAAAAGAAAATTTCAACAAGACTCTACAAAACCAATTTTGGAAGGAGACTATAGAAATAATTACTAACGACGACTGCAGTCATCAGGGTTGCTACGTTATGTGCCAGAATAAATTTTGAAAAACATAGGACTAATCATGCCACTTTTATTTTAAAAATATGATTGGACCCCTGGATTAATTGTGAAAAGAAACCATAGAACTATAGAAATTTCAGTTTGTACATGTAGATTGAGCCTATGAACTAATTTGAATTTGAGACCAGCTGGTCATAGAAAGACAAATTAATTACAGTCAAAAATTTTAAGTTTGGTGAATTAAGATTCCTGAACCAATTATGAAAGAATATATTTGCACTATAGTTGGATTAGATAAATACATATACTACAACTTACAATTTTCCATTACTAATACACGAACAGCCATTTTGGATGATGGATTGGGCCACTTAAACAAATTTTTAATGGAGACCATTTTATGAAAAATCAACTATATGAAAAACTTACCTCAACATAATATTCATGAAGTCTTGCAATTAGATCTGCCTTTAGTCCTGTAAATAAATCATAAAATGTTTATAGGAAAATGTGTGGGGATAGGAGTTATAGGGCAAAATATTATCATTGCCTCCCTTTTTAGCAATCAATTAGTACAACATTATCAACATGTGATGTCCATTTCAATATGTGTCTTTTTTTTCAATTCCATACTTAACATAGAAATGAACAAACCAGAAACTATAATATAAAGGGATAGAAAGCATGAAAACAAAAAATATGGGTGGTAACCATTGGATTCATACTTTTCATAGGGGGTCTCAATGGGGGGTTCCGATCCCGGATCCTGCTTACTGTTTTGTCAGATTTCCGTATCCCACTTACACTATGTACGTAAACGATTCTCATTTTTTGTAATTTCCCGTGTCCCGCTAGACTTCATTTCCTGTTTTCACGGCACAATAATTTGACTTTCACGTGTCGCGTTTACAATAAATCGGCAATCCCGCGTCACGCTTAGACCCCAATGAGACCCACTTCATAAATGTTAATTTTTGTGGATTGACGAAAAATGACATTTTCATGGATATATGATTTAATTCTACATACAAACCTATAGAAAACTTGTACTTCTTTGGAAAAATTTAATTCAGAGTTTACATATACCCATGAAATCCATGAAAATCGAATAATGTACTAGTATGTTCCTGAGTCTAACAATTCGAAAGTAAGGAAGACTATATTTAAAATTTTTGGCATTCATTTATGTTTATACTATGCAGGTACAATCATTTTGAGTAGGAAACATTTAATAATACTAATCAAAAACTCATATTCTGTAAGCAAAAAAGACTAGCCAATCATTTAAATGGCCAAGTCACTGATCTGTTGTTTACTGTGAATCTGACCATGGAAACTATACCTTAAAGTTTACATTATAAAACAATTTTGATATTAAAATGTTTAAATGAAACTATCAACTTAACATCTTTTTATAAACATTAACTGCAAAAATGCTGTGATAGAGATTTTCTGAACATACAAATCGGTAAAATTCTCAAGCAGTCACAATGACATGTATATGATTTTCAACTTAATCGTTAAAAGTATCTAAATTATGCATATGTATTAAGATAGTAGTGGTGTACATGTAATGTCAATGAGACATCAAACAATAATTGAAAATTTGCAATTTACCACAAAATAGACATCCCTTCCTTTTCCATTACAGAGGTCTCCTTAACCTTTACAACATAGACATGCACTTAAACTCATTAGAAATTTAGCCCAGTTTAAACACACATTTCAGACACCTAATAATTTTTTCTTGATTTTTACAGAAATATCATATAAAGCAATTCTTCTGAGAATTTTCATTATAGGTTATCTTTTTAAAATTAAAAAAAAAAAATATTGTCCTTAATATCAGCTTTAAATTAATTTCTCAATTGAAAAACATTGTACATTGTATGGCAACCATAAGCAAGTAGTTCATATAAAATTCAAATGAAAATTTTCACAAGAATTGCTTCCAGGATACCTTTTAAAGCCAAAATGAATGGAAAAGTAGTTTTATCAACTGAAATCTGAACATTTGGATTTTTCCTAGGATAGAAATGTCAGAATGTGTTATCTTTTTCCAAACATGATTATCTGTATGTAAACAAAGATTACAGTTGAAAAC